TATAAATAATTGCTTATAAATTTATAACATAATAATTAGTAATATGAAAATAGAAATTTATTTGAATCTTAGTTTTAAAATATTATGCTAAATTTAAGTCTAATTAGTAATTCATTATATTAATATATAAATAATTATTATATAAATATTATATTAATCTATAAAAAAAAATCGTAAACATTAATTTATTATAATTTTATTATTCAATTTTATTTTCTTTACATGCTTTGTTTAATTTGTATTACCGAAAAAGATCCTTTCAATTGAATTTTAGATTATGCACTTTATACGTTATTAATTTTTTTTATTATTGTTATTTTACTATGTTTATTCATTTTAATCCTTTTTAAAATTTCTATTTCTATCAATATTATTTTATAGCCTATCATTGTGTTAGATTAATATGATAGATTTCTGTTATACCTATAAATGAAATTTTATATTGTAAAAAATTTTGAATTAAATTTTAATATATATTTACCATAAATATGTTGTAATTTTTAAATGAATAATTGTTAAAATATTCTAAAAGAAATGTGAACGATATTACATTTACTCTCTTTAACAAAATATATAGTATTTAAAAAATAAAACGCTATTTATGTGAATAAGAAATAAAAAAAGGTGACTATATTATATTATATTACCAGAATAAATTTAAAAAATATAAAACTTTTTCTAAATCCTTTTAAGTTAATTTATAAAAAATCTAATGTGCCATAATTTTTATACGTGATTTATAATAATTTTATGAAAGTAAATAGAAATGTATTTCTAAAAAACCGAATTTTATCCAATCTGATGATCAAATTTCGAATATTTCATGAAAGTTAAGTAAAGTTTTTATTATACTGACAATGTAATACATATAAATTCAATGTTTACTGATTCAAACTCTTTTTACGTTTATTTAAAAAAAATGTAAAAAAAAAATTTATGTTCATATTTAAAAAATAAAATTGTTTATTATTAAAAAGTATTTTACTTTAAAAATAATTTCAAGTGGACTATAAATAACTGCAATAGGATCGTAATCTGAAAGTTTATACTAAAATAATAAAGAGCACCATTTTTAATAACTGTATAATAATTATCATTATAAATGCATTTTTTCATATTTTTATTGCATTTAATCTATTTCATAGGACATGTTTAAAATAATAAGATACATAAGCAATTTTGTAATTACTAAAGTAAATAATTATCACTCAAACTTATTTAATTTTAAAAGTAAAAAAAAATTATTACTGGATCTCTACTTCTAACACTAAATTCATTTCTTAAATATGTTTTATTTTCACAATTATTTAAAAATATTCTAAATTATTCCATTCAAGATATAAATTCTGTTATAAATATATTGTTTTACTATGAAACCTTTTTAGACTGTATAACAAGAAAGTTTAGCAAACTTTATATCAAAGTATACATCTCATCTAAGTTTATCTATTTTATCTATCTTATAGTTCTTGCAATTTAATGGTATTTTTAACTTTCTATTATTTATTTGAGATTATCTAACCTTTTATTTATATTGATTGCTATTAAATAATATATATTGAGACATATAACAATTTTGTTATAAATCTATACAATTTATTGTGATAAATTGTATAGAATAATGAACCTATTAATTTAAAATGAACAGAACATTGATAATTACAAATATATGTATATGTATGGCTCTATTAAATAATCTATACAATTTTTATTAAATACAATGTTTTAACTATATGATTTTTACATTTATCTAATGAACAAAATAAAAATAAATAAAAAATAATGGTACTTTTTAAACTTTCATACATAAAATACTTAGTGCATATAATTTTTCTGTACAGACATTTTTTCAATTCCAATTAGAGTATTGAAAAATTACTTTTAAATTAAGTTTATATCAATACTCATATTTACTAAATTAATTTTTTTTAATCCTATTTTTATTCAAATTTATTTATTGAAGTATCGAGTTACAAATGTTGGTATAATATGTAATATAATAGGCTATACTATAAGTGTGTACATATTTAATTCTTTTGAGATATTTAAAATTACTATAAAATATAAAAGTTTAGTATTAGCATAAGTGATTAATTCTTTATGCACAGGCATGTGTGTGTGAATAAGTTATCTATTCCTACAGTTTTTAGAACTTTTCATATGAATTTAAATACATGAATTATCTGAAAATCTCGTTAAGACCTTAATTTAGTATTCAAATACTTATCGAAATAAAAATTCTTCATAATTTTAAAAATAATCCAGAGTATGTTCAATTTTTATGGTAAGCAAATAAAATCTCGTATATTTCATGGATATTCCATTTTCATGATTCATATTTAACTCAATTTTTTATCAGGCTCATTTAAACGTACGAACATGTTGCTTATTGCGGATGTGCATGTGATAAAGAAATATGAGAACAGATATAAAGCAGAATATGATGATAATATGAAAGAGCCTTGTCAAAGCCAGGTTACTCAGTTAAAAACTTTTGTTCAAGGCATGAATGTGTAAAAAATTGTTACTCCTAGTTATTCATTTTCTATTATTTCTTTTTTTTTTTTTTTTTTTTTTTTTACATATCTTTGTTGACTGGACTTTGTAAACTATCTGTAAGTCTTTTGTTCATACTGAGCATTAAGTTTCTCAAAACTTGCTATTGCTGGAGGATCTAAAAGAATAACGAAAGGTTTTAAATTTCGGAATCGATTATTTATACAATTCCACTATTTCAAATAATCAAAAAATTTAAATTACGTATTTATATTCATTTATTTGTCTAATTGCACAAATTTTATAATTTATTTATTTATTTTGAGCTAATTATGCGCTAATTATTTTGAGTAATTTAAATTTTAGATGATTCGTATATTTTGTTGGTAATTTATATTTTTATTATTAATTATTGATGTTATAAAACGTAATTAAATATCGATGGTAAATAAAAGAAAAATATATTAAAAAGGCGTAAGTAGTGTATTAATAATAATAGTATTAAAAAATAGTCATATTTGTATCATAAAAGTATGCATTAAAAGATGTTGGATCAGTTTATTTCCTGTTGCATTGAAAGTAATAAATCTTATATTAAATAATGTATTATTACGTAAACCTTCACTGCTTATTACAAATGTTCATAAGAATACTTTTTAAATAATAAATGATTATCTGTACATTTGATGTAAATTAAAAATATTCTTAAGAATAATTTTTTATAACAAATAGTTATCTGTATATCTGATATAGGAAGTAATTAAATATATTTGTATTACTTTAGACTCAATTCTTAATTTAATTATGATATTCATTCATTCGATAAATAAGTTTAAAAGGACTTTTCAAATTAATATAAGGTTAAGTATATGATGAAAAAATCGTAATGTGCAATAATTGTTTAAACTTAAACTTAATAATGAAAATTAAATTACGATTTTTTATTTTTACATTAAATTAATTATTTATAAAATAAATCTACGTTATTAAAGAAACATAAATAAAACTGTTATAAATAAATAATCGTTAATAATGATACATATAATGATTATATATTTCAAACTTTATAAATATATAAATATATAACCGTTATAACTGTTGTTATAAAAATAAAAATGAATTCTTACATGAAGAGATGTAATTTAAGTTTTATAAGAAAAATTTAAATAATATTAAATAATTAAAAATTTAACATTTAAAAATAATTAGTTTCTCTCTATTGTTAAAAAAAAATAATAATAATCGAAGAAATTACTATTAGTATATGAGTATATTAGTAATAATAAGAAATTCCGTATTATAAATATACATATAATTTTCATTTATATTAAATTATTTATAACCATTAAACAACATATAATCGAAGTACACAATAATATATAACATCTGAAAACACAGTTTACGACTAACTAATAATTGTTAATTATTAGATATTTGATTATATAATTTTCATTAAATTGCGAGAGTAATTTAGTCCATGAAGCTGAATTTGTATTATTATTTACATTTGTTATCTACAAATGAAATATAATGTTTCTTATAATTAGATGATATTAAAAGAAAATTATAGATTTTGAGTTGATAATTATGAATATAATGATTTCTGAGATTGAATGAATTTTCATTGAGAATTGAATAATTTGTGATAAATAAATAACATATATATATATATATATATATATATATATATATAGGTTGTTAATCATAAGACAGAATTAAATCTGGAAATTTTTTCTTATATATTATATAATAATAATATCAGGCTTAAATTCATTTATTTATATAATTATTTTAATATCAATGACTTTTTTCCTTGAAATAGTTTGCAATTTATTTTTCTCATTATTGAGAATTTAAATTTGATAAAGATTTTTCAATAGTCTTATTTGGGATATATCTAAGAGGTCGCTGATTTATATGAATATTACATTTAAATACTTGTTATTACTTGAAACAATATTAATTATTAAACGCGAATTTCATATGTCAATGGACAATCCAACATAAAAACTATTTTTCTATAACAAGAGCTATAACAAGAGTAAGAGTAACAATTTTTGAATATGCTTTAAAAAACATTATATTTTTTACTTTAATTAATTGCTATTGATGTAAAATAAAACAAGTAATATTTCATTGGCCAAAGATTTAATGAAATAGTATAAACGCTGGATACCGAACACATAGTTATAGCCATACTAAAAAAGTGAATAACCGAAATGCCTGTCCTTAACAGTGCTATTTCGTGTGTTCTGTGAGCCTGAGCGCAAGCTTCTCTTAAATCTAAATTCTTTTACGTATATTTTGAAGCAGCTCTGAAAGAGAGGTTAAGACAATTGAGTTAAGAAAAAATCTCTTCGGTCTAAAATAGGCGAGAACAAAGAATGGATGTTAGGCGAAAGGGGATGGAGAATTGACAGGCGTATTAATGCCGCACACATATAGGTGCGCGACAATAATGCTCTTGCTAACGAGGTTTAATTCGACCTCGGCTTCTGTTGCAGGACGAGAGCTGGAAGCTGTATCGGCGTAAATACTATCAGGAAGGATGGTTGGCAACGGGGAATGCGCGGGGCCTCGTCGGCGTGACCTTCACCACTTCTCACTGCCGACTGAGGACGCCTGAACTGCCGTTGCGTGCCAACTATAATCTGCGCGGACACAGGAGTGAGGTGAGCCTCCCTCCATTATACACTCGTCTCCCTTTGTATTCCAGCCACTAATAAAACACAAGGCTGAGCCTTACATTGGTCTTTTTCCCCGATTTGTCCATTTTTATTTACAGAATCGCCGCTGTTTTCTCTAATGAGTTGCAAGTTGCACGAGCTAGTAAGATAATATTAGTTTATTAATTAATTTATGTAACAGAACTGTACGTCAAATATAATCTTCTAATTTTATTAATTTTGTTAGTATTTGTGACATGCTAATGGCTTTCAGTATAAACGCGTCTCCATATTTTTTACTGTACATCCCTTAACAATGGGCGTCAATTATAATCTTTATAGAACTATAATTGTAAGTTTTCTATAAACTCGTCAATTAATAATAAAGAATTACTCGGAAAAGAACTCAAGATGGTACTTGGTAAGTTAGATTTTAAAAGTAATCGGTATTAATTTAATGTACCAATTATGTGAAAATTATTTTAATATTAATTTAATATACCTACATATTAATTGAAATATTAGTTTTACTAAAGCACTTTTTATTGTTAGTGAAGAAATTAAAAAAAAATCATGCTCAACTCAACTTTAACGCTTGCTTTCACCACTTGAACTTAAGCAACTGGGTCAGATCAACGAGGTTGAATACTATAATCGTGAATCACAGAGCTCAAGGGTTACATATTATGGTAACTTTTCGCTTCTTACCTACGCAAAATACAACGTTGGGCTTTCAATTCCTATTCTCGAAAATTCTCAAATTTCAGAAATTTTTTGCAAAAATTTGAAGTTACTCGCGTAATAATAGTTAACTTTAAATTAAAAATTTTTTTTAACAGAACAAGGGCCGTGTCTAAATGTCTACGCAATTAGAAACAAATTTAAAAATTTTGTAATCATTATATATTTTAAAGATTTGAAATTAAAAATTTTTAGATTTAATTGTTTACGCAAATCTATATGTAAATATATTACAGTCTATTAAAAAACGATATTTAATCGACATTTATTTATACATTTTACTAATACAATTTTCATTAAACAGCTTCTTTTGTCATCACATACTGAAATAATCAAATCGCTTTGGTAAATCGTGAAAATGCATCGGATACGAAAACACACACTTCACATGAAACATTTTTAAAATTAATTAACATTAATTATAAATTATTGTACGAAAATCTGTCATTTCAAAATGTTTCCACAGAAATATACAATTTATGATATTTTCTTTACTGGAAAGATATATTTTTAAATGAAATTATTCTACAGGCTGCTTTTATTATGCCTACTTTGACATTATTGATTTCAATAACTGAAATCTTATCAAATAAAAACTCATTCTAAAATAAGCAGTTCATTTTAAATTTTAATGATTGATTAAATTAATGAATCGGTTCATGTATTGCTTTTAACTTATACTTAAAGGAAAAGTTTATAAAAATAGAAACACAAAATTGACATAAAAAATAAGTAATACTTGATCAGTATGAAAGTATTACTTTTAAATTATTACTTATTATTTTGAAATGTAAATCCAGTTTTCGCGGCTTATGAAAATATTATCAAAATACATATCAAACTATAGACAGATAATTAATTATAATGTGTGATAATATTTTATTTAAAGCATACATCTCAAAGTTTATTCATTAATCAAAAAATTAAATGAATAACTACATTTATTCAAAATTAATTTTACCATCTTTGGCGTTAATTTTTTGAAACACCTTATCAAGTAATTTTTCTACTTTTAAAACAAATTCAAAAAAATACTTTTCGTAACTATTGTTGTATTCAATTTTAGATGAAATATTTGTTGAATTAGTCTCTTTAATACATTTCGTTTAATGTAATTTTACTTTTTTACAATGTTTGCCTTTAAAAATAGTTTTCTTTTCATTTTATTTTTATAATTTACTGCTATATTATAAATAATTCTGCTAATTTATAATTTTATATTTTATAGAATATATTTATGATCTTTTTTTACTTTATTTTACATTCTTCATTATAAATTTGAATATTATTTGAATTCGTAATGTTTATTTTTCCGTGCAATATCTTTCGTGTTACTGAAATTGCAAAATTATGTTAATTAAATATTTATACTTATACAAATATATTATTGATTAGTAGACTTACAAAAAGAAACAGATATTCCACTTGTCTTTCTAAGTAGTCAAATATTAATTTCAATATAGCTTACTTAATTTAAGATAAATCAATTAAATTTACTTAAATTATCGTATTTAGTTAAATTATTTGATATAATAATATCAGGCTTACGTTAAAATTTTAATTTAATAATTTCATATAAAATTTGTAAAACTTTAAAAGAATTCTTACAAATATGAATGCCATGGTGCAAAATTGATAATTCAATACTTATGTAAGATATTTTATGTAAAAAATCAAATTAAAAACAATACGATCTAATAATATGATATTCTATAAAAATGAGACCGGAAGGTGCATTTCAAATATTATTTTAAAATTAAAAGAATCTTGAAATTATTTGAAATCGAATTTTTTTTTTAAATAAGCTTGGAAAAAATATAACTGAAGAATAAATATATTTGTTAAATATTGTATATCCTTGTAAACTAAAATTGCATATGTAATCTACATATTTCTATTCCATTCTACATAAGCATATTATATAAAGAATTATGAATTAAATCAATTGATGGTACAACAACTTTGTTTTTAAAGTGCACAAATTATTTTATTTAAAATGGACGAAGCTTAGAAGGAAGTCGAAATAAGAAAAAAGATAAAAATTCAAGAGTTTCGTCATATATTGATTGATTTAAAACAATACTTACCATATATATAAATGTATATGTAGTTACAATTGCAATGATCGCCACTTGATGAGCCGACAAAAATGTTACCGTACAGATGTGATCGAGTAACAATAGGATTGTGAGTTATATAGTTATAATATACCCACAAGTCATCCCCTTTCCTCTCTCTCTCTCTCCTTCCTCACTCGTTCTCTTTCACTCCCTCTCTCTCTCTCTCTCTCTCTCTCTCTCTCTCTCTCTCACTCTACTTTCTTCTCTTTCTTTTCTTTCTTTAAAGCATCGAATGACACTAACATAGTTCAGACATTCTGTTGCGATGGAAATGATATATACTTATACACAATTTATTACAATAAATTACAATAGCCTTCATAATATATTTTAAATGTATTTAAGATGAAGTAATATAATTAAAAAACTATTGCTAATATTAAAAAATATTGTTTAATTAAATTATGCAATTGAAGGTTCAGATTACAGAAAGAAAAAATAATCAAAATAATTTGGATATGGATAAATAAATTAAATTAAAAATAAAATTTTTCATTTACAATTTTTATTCAACCTTGTATAAAATATTTTATTACATTTTAAAAAACAATAAACTATAAAAGGATGTGACAATTCAAATATAATATAATAAATCGATTTGAAGCTTGTGGGAGGTAAGATAAGTTAAAAATATTCACTAACTCTTTATCACTGATATAATGAAAATTATAATTATTTAACATAGACTATTATGAATAATCTTTTACAATAAATCCGAGCTTCGGAGTATGTAAAAAAGACGTTTTGATATACGCATTCACAGTCCCTCTTTACATATAACGAATCGCAGTACCACCCAATTTTACGATATCACCGCATAAAACTGTATCTCCTTTATCTGTGCTTTCTCTCTCTGCTCTCTCTCTCTCTCTCTCTCTCTCTCTCTCTCTCTCTTTATGTCTTTTTCTATATGTACTTACCTATCTATCTATCTATCTATCTCGTTGCTTTTAGCCGTATATACATTTTTCCGAATGTCTCGAAAAGGATAGAACTTTAGGGCCATTTATCAATATAAGATTTTTCACAATCTCCAGATAGATTGTCGATAATGTGTTGATGTATTTTATAGTTGCCAGATATACAATGATTCCACTAATTCTACGATATTACAATGGTATCAAAAATATAATATAATATATAATATATATTTTATATTACTGTATTATTTATTATACTTTTAATACTTTTATCATATTCAGCAATGAGTTAGTAAATTTTCTTAGTCATTTGCTAACTTCTGTTTCACAATAATCAAATAGTATTATTGCTCGAAAATACTCTTTGTTACATAAATATATTAATTTTACTTATAGATTATATCAATATGTATTGTAGGATACTATTTTTATAATGATACACGAATTTCCATAAGTATGAATTTATAATAATATTATTTATCGCTTACGAAATATTTATATTCAAATTAAAAATATTATTTCTACCATGAACCTCAACTTATTTTTACATATTAAAATTCTTCAAAATATAATATTAATTTAAAAATCATAATAATATAAAAAATCTATGTAATAATTTAATAATAATTTAATTATTTAAATTTTTGAAAAAAAACTATTATATAACTTTATAAAGGTTCAAATGGTGTAAATATGAAAAATTTTATTTGTCCAATAATTACATTTTTTATAAAAATTTGTTAAAAAAAATGAATTAACGAACGAATCAATTATAATGTAATTTTATCATCTCTAGTACTTTTATAATTTCATGTCAATTATTGTAAATAATTAGTAATAATCTAAGCAATTAAAAAAAGTATTAGCTTAAGTAATTTAAAAAAGCATTAATCTAAGTAATTAAAAACAATATTAGTTTATGTAAGAGATATGTATTATAATGAATACTACTGTGTGCAAAATTTTTGTTTAAACTTTTGACAAATCGTCTATAATTATGTTATAATTATCTTTTGGTATTCTATATTCTTTTAATGTGACAATAAAAATAATTGAATTTAATGTATTAAACAACAATTAAATATTACATATAAATTTGTAGTAGTATATTTATTATTATTACTCAACTATATCATTAATATTTAAATTTGTATGACATATACACACAAATAATAAATAATAGTAAACACATGGATAATTTATTATTTTCGAGTTAAAGGATCTTCGTTAAAGAATATTCATATAATAGCAATGAAAAAAAAAAAAAATAAAACTATTAAAAAAAATATTTCATTCATTTATTAAAAATAAAGTATTCAAAATTTTATTACAATGTATTTATTAAGTAAAAAATCTAAAGTTTCAAATATAATTGATCTGCTTTATATGTATATTAAAAATCATTTAGCAAAAAATTTCAAAAATTTTAAATATCATATTATATAGCAATATTTTACTTTAATTATTTCATGAATTCTTTAGGAATGAATCAACTAATGATTATACCTAGTGTCAGTATTTGAATTGATGAAATCACAATTCATCAATTTCTATTATATGATAATAATAATTTAAAATTAAAAATTTTTAATTTATATTTATAATATTCGTTATAAATAACATTTTTTTTTGTAAATTTAGGGTATAAATATAATTTTATTTAAATATTTCCATATAACTTTTTAAATCATTGATTTAAATGTACAACTATACTGAATGGAATAAAAATATATATTAAACAATAAAGCATAATAGAAAAATAATATCTTAACTTTTTATAGTTCAATGTTTTTAAAATTATTTATATTTAAATCATATTAAAAGTTTAATTGAACTTATATTTAATTTATTTGTTATAACTTTTTATATACCTAATTTTATATTTCAGAAAGTAATTATAAACAGTGGGTTATCAATTTTATTTAATATAGTACTTCTTTAAACTTATTATGTTTAAAATAAAAGAGATTTTTTTAAGTGCATGTTAAAATCATTTTTGCAGAAGTTGTGAAAACATTGAATGTAAATCACTTTATAAATGATATTATAATATAGTCTATATTATAAACAAATTATATCTACTAAGGGCATGAACGCTATAGAATAGCAGTTCAATAAAGTAAGGCACATATAACAGAATCCTCATTTTAGAAAAGATAAATTCTGGAGAGTAAAAAAGAGAAAAAGAGTGAAAAAGAATTAAAGGAACGCAAAAAAGATAGATAAAAGACGAAATTGTTTACCAAATAACTCGTTTTTTTTCTTTTTCTTTTTTTAAGTCACTTCTATTTATTACTTGTTTCAAAGTGAAAGGATCACGTTTACATTGGATATAAGTCGCATGGAAGTAAGGGATAAGTGTGGGAGGTACTGAAGAAAAGAAAAAAGTTAGTTTTGCACAATAAATGAAATGCAATGATGTGAAAGATATTCTAAGAGTTGCAGATAAAAAAGGACGGGCTCATAATTAATGTAGCGAGTCAATAACACCTCCATTGCAAATGACCGTCAAGTCAATTACGCTCAAGAATACTTAAAAACCTCGTATAGGCCATATGTTACAATAACATGTGGGTATACTAATCTACGTATAGGTACTTCCCTCCCCAATTTCTTTCCATCATTTTATTCATATTTCTAAATTACAAATATGTGTGCATTTGTATGTGCATCTTATCGAAAAATTATTGCTTTATTAAAATAATTTTGTTGAATTGAATTAATTTTTCAAAATTATCATTTTATTCATCTTTCAAATAATGTAAATATTTATAAAACCATTTGTCATAAATGATATTCCATATAGACCATCTTAATACTTGCTTCAAGGAATTGAAAAAATAACGGATATTGTGCCTTGACTAAAATTATGAAAAACTACTGTATTTAAGGTGAACATTAATATTCTAAATATTTTATATTATTATTATTTTATGTAATCAATATTATAATTATTAATATATTTACTGCAAATTCCATGTTTTGGAATACATTACAATTACCTAAAAAAAATTTTCAGTTCAATTTCACTAATTTTTCTTTCTTCTTTTCATTTGAATAATTCAGTCAAATGAACTACTCACTCACTTATATACATACATGCATACACATACATACATACATACATACATACATAATACATATATATATATATATATATATATATATACATTCACTTGCGCGTGTATTAATTAAATTAATAAATATTTATAACTTGATTCGTTTCAAAATTATTATAATAAAATCACTGTAATATTAATATCTATTTAATGTTTTTGGCATAGAAATTTGATAATTTTAAATAAAATATGTCGTTGTAGAGTGACATCATGTTAAGTGTTCATATTCAATCTTATAAATAGTATGTTTTCAAAATACATCTTTCATGCTTAATTAGATTTAATGAATAGGTTAGGAAAAGATTTTATAAGTAATAAATTAAAACATGAAATCATTTGAATTGAAGATTAATTGTGTAATTTTTATCAAATATAATATTAATCATTTGTTTAACATTTATTTTAAAATGCATGAAAAAGTAATTCAAACGCTGATTAGCTTTTGATGTAGTATTTTGATGATAAGAAATACAATATATTAATCGAGCATATTATAGAAAAATGATCAAATACTGTTGTAATAGAAATGTATAAGTATATTAGAATATTATATTATAGTATCCGATTAATAAACTTTACGAGCATAAATTATAAACCGATGAAATTTTTATTGAAAATTTCAATGATTAAAAAATTATTTTTGACATTTAAAAAAAAATTCTATCATTCCATCAACTTATTGAAAATGATATTTTCAACCATTTTTTAAATAAAAGACTAAAATTAACAGACACAATTCATTTATAAACATTAATATTAATAACATAGCACATTATGATGTGTCTTATCTTTGCATAATCGAAATGAAAACTATTTCAAAATATGGTATTAAGCCAATCTAAATTGTTGAATAGAATCTTCTTTTCAAGTTAATTATTGAAATTTTATAATAATTAATGAAAACGAATTGTGAACGGGTCGGCTTTAAAAGGTAATCGGTAATGTGATTCGAAGCGTAAAATTAAAAAATTAAAATGGTAGAAAATTTTCTATTTAAGTTTCGTTCAAGAAATTTCATCATTCTCATCCCATATAATTCCCATATGATCTGGAGTTAGATAAGGGCTACCCACCCGCCAGCGGGACTATATAAATTCTGTGCAAGCGGAACACTATAAAAATCGCGAATAAAGATTTAATTTATACCTGACCGTGAAAAGATAATACTTAACGATGATCCATATCTTTCGTATTTGCAGGTGATACTCGTAAAGTGGAACGAGCCTTATCAGAAGCTCGCTTCGTGCGACAGTACCGGTGTCATCTTTGTTTGGATCAAATACGACGGCCGTTGGAGTATTGAACTTATCAATGACCGGAGTACACCAGTCACGCACTTTTCTTGGTCGCACGATGGTCGCATGGCACTTATATGCTACAAGGTACATTTTGTCATTTCACCTCTGCTTATATGCCTGTCATACGTTTCTCGATAAGGATAATTCAATTTGTCGTCAATACATAAGCTCGAGTAATTTACATTGCGTCATTACTGAAGTTTTTCACTATTATACGTGACGTTCTCTATGTGCTTTAGCTTATTTTACAACGCAACGTGCATTCTTATTCTGCTATATTTTACATATTGATTTTATGAATGTACGTGCGTGTATGAAAATGCAAGTGATAATTGGCTCAATGCATCGAAGATACCTATAGTTAAGTGAATGCCGAATAATTTATCTTTTTAAAAATCATACCGCAAATTTTTTCTTAGGACATTCGGTATTTTATTCGATAAATATTTATGATACGTTATGATTATTCTCGCATTATTAGTTTGTAATAATAATACGAAGCTGTATTTGTATTTAAACTTAATTATTTTTAACGATACGATTACTTTTATTAGATTAGATATTCTAAAATATCTATAATACATTAACAGATATATAAAATTCTCTCGAGCATAAATTTTTGTAAAAAATTCATATTTACATCGAAATACATGATTTATAAATTCATGTGTGTAGTCATAAAGAATTATGTAGATAATATGGTTCGATATATGTTTTAAATACAAATAAACACATATTTAAAATATTGTCATTGTAAAATAATACCAGAATTACTGCAATTAAGTGAATTATATTACGTTTTAATATGAAAGTAATTGTAAATGTATATTATTCATTGAAATGGAAAATAGTTTAGAGTTTGTGGATCAAGTGTGTTGAATTTCATACTATAATAATTAAATGTAAAATCATATAAAGTTATATTAAAGCAAATATCTCTCATTAATATAATAAATCATTTTTAATAATCATATAATTTATATATTATGTAAAATTTATTAAAAGAAATTAATCAGACTATATAGAAATTAATGTTGAAAAATATAATATTATATTATAAGTAAATAGAATGTCGACATAAAATAACAATCGCATAATAATAAAATATGATATAAGTTTTCAATAATATAAAGTCAATTTTTAGATTTCATTAATCAATAATACAATATCAATTTATCAGTACATACATTCATTACAGCGTTATCGATTTTCTTAGTTTTTTATGTATTTAATATTATAATATGATTTAATATAAATGGTAATTAAATATTCATATTAATCCAAGCATTCTTAATGCACTATTTAATTAATATCGAAGTATTAGTGTATTTAAAATTCATCACACAACAATATATTTCACAATGGAAATATTCATATCCGGTCAATGGTTTTGTACCATTCGAATTTTTAAATTTATAAAAAAAAAAAAATTGCACCATCGCCTTCTCATTCCTAGTTTGAATATTAAACTACCATTGACTTTTTAACTTTAAGATCCGCCCATAAAATTCACAAGTAGCCTAGAGCGCTTACTTTATTTTCCATATTCCGGCGATAAATAGCAAATCGCATAAAAACGATCTTGTCATTTTGTCAGGATGGATTCGTGCTCGTTGGCAGTGTCGCGGGTCAGCGCTACTGGTCCTCGATGCTCAACCACAAGGCTGTGATCACCTGCGGCATCTGGACACCCGATGATCAGCAGGTCTACTTCGGGACGACGGCCGGGCAGCTAATTGTTATGGATGTCCACGGTGCCATGGTTTCGGAAATTCAGCTCGGTAAGACTTTGCATTTTCTGGGACGGCCTTGCCTTCTTAGTGCGGCACGAGTTTTCAGTCATTATCCCCAGGGATTTTTACGAGCCGAGTGAGATTTTCACAGTTGTTCTTCCTTGTATTGTGATTCGAATGATTGAGCCAGTTTTAAACCGTTTAGCATCAGCACTCGTTTGTTTTATCGTTTTATACAGCAACATTTATTTTCGTAACATTCATTATGATATTTTTTTATTTTATTTTTTTTTTTTTTTTTTTTTTTTTTTTGCTTAATTGCGTTTTTTCAATTGCGTTGATTAAGCAAATTCCTTATGTGAAATAAATTAAACGAATTACTGCAATCATTACACTCGATACTACGATTTATGATAATTAATATTTTTAATTTCCATTGATGTTTACGACTGATTATCTCTTAATTATCTAATAAATATTGATTGTATTTGTATTTTTGATTTATATCTAATTCATTTATTTTTCAATTATTAATCGTAATTTCAACTATTTATAACTTCTAGAGATTAAGATACTGCATGATTTACACGAATATCGATAACTTAGATTGTAATCTAACAAATTAGCATCGCAATATAAAAAAAATAGTGCAACATTGGACAATATAACACGAAGATTTTTTTTTTTTTTTTTTTTTTTTTGTTTTAATAATCTAATAAAATAAATTTGGATTTCTGTTTACAAAATATAATCAGTTTGATTACAAGGGTATTTTATACTTTTCTCACCAACGAAACACAAGGACCACGATAATATAATTTGAATACATTACTAATAGTTAGATATAAGCATATCTCTAATTATTTTATTACATGTAAGCAGTGCCAAATTACTTTCTTTAACATTAAATAATTCTTTTTATGTTCCTGTACTTTCGGAAATTATTAAGCGTCCGTTTACAGGTATAAATATTATGTTTTTAAATAATGGTAAAACAAACGCGATTGTTTTAAATCGTTGAATGATATCAGCTTCACCCTATACTGAAAACTAAAGGTATCTTTTTTATTGAATTTTGAAAACGTAAAACAGCTGTAAATGCAGTCACTCTAATAACTTTGATGTAAGATGCACAAATAATGCATAAAACGATAAAAATTTTCGGTTTTTTTTCCCTAATATTTAAGCAATATTTAATGAAGATTTTGATTACTTCATTAAACTGATGACAATGTACAATACTAAAATACGGCGAAGATTAGATATAATTATTATAATGTCCATTTGTATATTCGATAATCTTTTAAACTTCCATATTTTGTATTAAAAAGCAATTGTAAGTAAAAAAATGTATATTACTTTGAAAAAAAATTTTATGCGGAAATGAATTAACTTCATACTTCTATATTGTAGCTTCATTTTATAGATCTTTATGAAGGTTCCATGACTTTTTAATATTATAAATCGCCGGGAATATACGATGGAGATATGTACTCCATCGGGGTATATAAGCAATTTTTAATGATTAAAATTACCCCGGAATAACTTTTTAATATAAAAATACATTCTCATAGGTAATAAAACTATTATATTATTTTATTATTCTCTCTATTCGTGCTATTTATGCAATAAATACATTGTTATATTAAATATTTATATGCAATATAATTCAATAATCATAATAAATTAGTATAACGATAAAAAAATCATAATAAATAAATATAATAAAATGCGTTTTAATAATAATATATAATAATATAAAAAATAATATAATAAATACATCTAATAAAAATATACTGTCAACAAATATATACTTAAAATAAACGGTCTTTAATATCACAGCTAACAAGGATTTTATAATTTATTATCTTAAAAATTAGTATTAATGAATTAATGTATTATGACATTTTTTTAATGTAAGAAAAAGTAATTAAAAGCACTATAATGAATTTTAGTTGAATGTGTAATGGGACACTAAGGCCAAGCGTAAGTGCGTTAAAAGTTAATTCGAATAACTCTCATTAGATTCATTCGGTGAAAAAAATTCTGGCATTTACAAAATGACTATAAAATATTTAAATTTTTTAGAAAAAGATATCAATTAGAAATCAATAATTCATTTTTTTTTTTTTTTTTTTTTTTTTTTTTTTTTTTAATTTAAGGAAATTCATACGTATTGTTTATTGGGGTCAGTTAAACGATCGATTATTTAAAGAAACAGATGTACCATACATTATCATAAAAAAAAAAATCTATTTGATATTAAAAATATTAATATGTAACATTACTTTTTCTATATATTCTTTATTTAATTGTATAGCATTGGTTATTTAATATAAATATAAACAATAATTTATATTTTCAATATTGTCATTGCATCAATATTACAAGGCTTCAATATATTTGTATTTGCTTACAAGATTAAATACTTTACAAATAAAAGTTTAGAAGAGCTCATTTAAATTCTTTATACTGATTACGCGTGCACATTAACATTTATTCAAACCTAATAATGAGTCAACATAAAAATACGATTGCTTTCAATGGCGATTTCTGATTCTTATGTACCACTGATGCATTTCCAAAGATTCGTAGTTTATGCGACATTTTAAATATAATGACCCATGAAATTAAAATAACGCCTATAATTAGCCATTACATTAATTTGAGCGATTTATCAACTTGAAAGAGTTTCTTTAAAAATGTGCATATAATTCAGATCCGGACGCATATCCAGCTATCAACCACATAAATTCGGGTGATCCATGATTCTTTATTATTCGGAAATGTGATTGAAATAGTGGGTGATGTAACAGGTGCAGGAGTGACGTCAATGGCCTGGTCAGCGGAAAAGTTTAAGTTGGAAGAGGACGAGGACGAGGATAATGTGGATGAGGAGCATGATACGGAGGACCGTGACGAAGAAGAGGATCAGGAAGCCGGGAGCAGAGCTACGAATGCGCGCAACTATGTATTAGCGGTGTGCCTGGCCGATGGGAACGTTGTGCTTCTGAGGTCCTTCGACGATGTGTCGCCTGTTACAATAAGCACCGGCCTCAAACCCCCCTTACACGCCGAATGGAGTAACTCGTGGAAGCTCCTTGCGATTGCCGGCATCAAGGAACAGGAACAGCAGCTGCAGCAGCAACACCACCACCATTGCCATCCGCCAGTCATTGAGTATACAAACCTTTTGAAATTTTATTCTGATACGGGTATACTTATCTACACCATCGCCATACCCTATACTCAGGTGACTTTCTTTCGATTTTCTTATTTTCATCTTTTATTATTTAAAAGTTAAGTTAAATAATTTACTGATAAACTTTTACTTAAAAGAAAATTAAATTTGATACCTCAAACCATCAATGATACAACAATTTAAGATTATTGCCTTTAATATACTACTTAATAGGATTTTTTTTTTTTAGTTTGAAAATACGCAGTGTCAAAGAAACTGCAATTGATCTTAAAATAATTGTTTTTTACTGGTATTATTAAATATTCATTCATTAAGCTGACATGAAATTAAAAAAAAAACAAAAATAAATATATGCATTATAAAATATTAAATGTAATAATATTTTAATTACAATACTGATTAACAAATAATATATGAGTATAAATTGATAATTGCGGTAAAATTTGAAAATATTTACCTAAGTAGGTAATATTTAAATACTGCAATTCCTTAAATAGCATTTAATTAAATATTATATTAAATAAATTTAGCTATATTATGCATATAAATATGGACATTTTGTAAAAGCCAAGTACTGAAAGATGTACTTTTTCTACTTTTAGTCATTTAAAAGATGTAAAGCATTACCCAATTTTAATAGTCAATAGATTGCAAACTTAATTTAAGACTTTTTTGTTGAATTATATTTCTCTTTTTTTTATATAGAGTCCAGTGACCGCTATGACATGGGGCCACAATGACAGGCGACTTTTTGTTGCTACAGGGACACATGTCCATGCTGCTTGGGTCTCTAGGTATTATTCGATATATTATTTCGCCTCCTCAGATTATAATGTTTTGTTTCCTATTTATTACTAAAATTTTTTGGCGTTTTGACATAAGCGAGGCTCATAGTAAATACCAAAAACATATAAGTATATGCATAATTCATATTTGAATATTACATACATCAAAGCTAATGTTGCTAATGCGAGTGTAGTTTCTTGTGTTTTTTTTTTATTTAATATAATTCTAAATAGCTCTTTAATAATTATATGAAGTAATAATAAGAATTATGTAAAGTAAAACTGAGCTATAATATTATAAATGCTCTATATATTCTAATATATATATAATAATAATTATTATTATTGTTATTATTTATATAATTACAGTATTTAAAGGAATATTAGATTAGATACTAGAAAACTTGAAATTAACATGAATTCGACATTGAAGGCAATCAAATTTGGTTGAACTTATTATAAACTACAATTAATAACGTTATTTTCCATTAATTGTTTTATGAAAATACAGGTGATATTAAGTGTATATTAAGTTAATCTATATTAATATAAACATATTAAGGCACACAATATTTATGAAAGAACATTTATGCAAATCCACAATATTGGAAGACAAAATACTTGCCAATAAATTATTAGAAGTAATAGACGGAGATACTGTATCGCTCGTAATTTTAAGCATTTGCTTTCATTTTAGTAATTATAAATTTTTATTAATCGGTGAGCCTTATTAATAAATAATGAATATGGTTTCTTTTTAAAGATATATCTAAACAAGCGTAATAATTCGATCGACCGGCGATATATAAAATTATGTAGAGTAAAATGCATAATGTATTGTAGTATAGAGGGGCATGCAGGGGTGTATAAAGCAATTAACGCGTCCACCAATTCGATCGGAAGCTTATAGGGGATGTGTGGTATGGCAAAGTCCCGTATCGCGATCGGTGGACCACTGGATAATTGTCTGGTTTTGTTCAGGGGTGTCGGCTCGCTGCAGTTGTTGTCAAGGCTCGCACTCAAGGCCGCACTGACCAAAGAATCGAGCGTACAACTACTGCCCCTTCCACCCCGACTCAAGGCTCTCGTCTCTGGACTCTTCGCCAACACGATTCGGTAAGTTTTTATCGCTACTGGTAGCAGAGGCCAAATGGCTTTGAGAAATAGCCTCTAGTATTCTAAATTACCCCCACACAGCTACATATCAATATGTAACTGCGTAGTATGCCATACTATGCCCGAGATCGTGCGCATACGTATGTGAAAGCAATATCAATATCTTTCTATTACGATGTTTTAATTGCACGTGTGTGCAATACAATGCAAATTCAATATTTCAATATTTGATTGTAATGCTTCTCTAACTGAAACGCTCATATTCAATCAGCCTCTTCATTTTCATATCGATGTAAGAAATGAAAGTTAAAATTAATTGCTTAGTGCGATGTCAGTTCTGTTATTCGGAAAATTTAGAGCGCAAACTGACATTTTATAATAGCATCAATAACAAATTTACTTCATGTTTAATAAACTTAAGTGTTTTTGCAATAAGAAATAAAATTTATTTTATCGTGTAATGATTCACAAATATTCTTTTCATTCATTGAAAGTACTTCATTCTACGAGAACGTGACTGTCGTTCTTAATTAAATGGAAAATAAAGTAGTGTCTTTAGGCAATTGAAGCAATTGCTTTATAAAAGAAAATAAACGAAAAAGTGGGTATAAATATATATCCAAATATTTTACAGAAATATTCAAACTCGATCATAATATATAATAAATATATTAGTATAAATCTTATACATAAAGACTTTACATTAGAGAAAAAAAAAAAAAAAAAAACAGTAATCTAAAATAACAATGATTCCATTGATATTTCTGAAGATTAGATGTACATTAAAGAGAATAATATAATTTATTTTAAACAATTTCAAATTTTTATAAAATTAAGGACGTTTTATTCGAATGAATTTCTTTTTAAATTTATAAAACTATTGTTTTAATTTTTATTTAAATAAAGTTATATTGTATAAATCCTCTCGTACGCGTCTCTAACTCACTCTCTTTAACACATCCGCGTGCGCGCATTTAAATCAGCATACTTACTCGTAATTCTATTGATATTTATATTAAAAATTCAAATTGCCTACTAATAAAACTCTGATTTTTCATCATTTTAAATATATCTTATAATGATTAAATTCTTCGGGTGAAATTAAGAAAAGTGAATCATAGAAAAATTATTAAATAATCCCATTTGTTATGTAAGACGAAATACTGTCAGGATATCTTACATTCCACTTGTTCTGAAAGCATATAAATATATTTCAAATAAAAGAAAAAAATATGAGCATTAAGGAAACGAAAGACGGATATAAAACGGAAATAAGAGAGGAAATAGACTATAGTGAGAAAATTGGAAATAGGAGAATGTGAAGACAAGAGAAAGCCTGATGTTGCCAGCTTTTGCTCCTCTTATTCCCTGAGAGGTCTCTCCTTTTATTTTTTCGCTTCGGCTTTTCACTCTTGGGACTTCATCGTTGCCCCGTCACCTACAATTGATAAGATAATCTCCAGTGTACATTGGCCAGCGCCTCCTATATATACTTTTCCTTGCACTTTGATTCTTACTGCATTAATGGAAAATCCGTCGGTTGCAGGCAAACCTAAATACTCATTTCCAGTCTTATCATTCTTTTTCTCCTGCAATCTTTTATAATTTTTTGAATTTATGTATTAATCGAATAAATACATCGTAGCCCCGCGATTGTTAGCAGTTGGTTTCATGTAATAATATCCCGAGTATTTTCTCTAAATTAAATAAAATTAATCTCCCTCTCGAGAGCTCACTAATTTAGAGGAATTGAATGAGATTGAGAGAGAGAGAGAGAGAGAGAGAGAGAGAGAGAGAGAGACAGACAGACAGACAGAGTTGAAAAATAAATAAACGTTGACAAAGGGAGAAATATAATAGAAATATACAACTGAGAAATTAAACGCTGCACAGTCTTATTATTATATAAAACTTCATATGAGTTAGTAATGGAATTTTCTATATCTGATTATTGATTATAATTCATTCTAATTTTTATTATTTCAAAAAACTTTATTACTGTTTAAATTCAATAATAAATTAATATAAATAATTAAATTAATGACTTATTAAACAATTCGTTAACTTAATATTACCTGCAAATTTTCAAATACAATGTGATTTATTAAATTAATTTAATAATGTGTAAGTAATATAATTTTTGAAAATAAGAAAATTCTTTCATTAACTATATTATATTTCTTTAAACTGTTTTACATTTTGATTTATAAAACATCGATATAATGGAATAAACAAATAATTTAAAATAACTTATAAAAAAAAATTTAAACGACACTTTATCAATTGATCATAAAATACTGTTCATAACATTTTAATTTGTTTCAATGTTTAAATTTCAATTATTCAATGTTGGTTGTTTAAATGTAATAAAACTATACGTTTTAAATAAAAGTCGCATTGGATGCAACAAATATCTAAATTAAAATAGCACTTTTCTGAATTGCCACTATACATACATTTTAGTATACACATTGATGTGCACAGATAATATTACAGATACGTTTTGCAACATTGCAATATAAACTATATGATACTTAAGATCAAAATTATTAATAGTATCTAGTAATTATTAACTAGATTATATTATTTAATAAAATCTTTAAATAAAAAACATTTGATTACTAAAAATAATGTGAATAATGTTAACTATATTTATTAATTTCATTATTTATTGGATGTAATTACAAACAATATAAATTCGTTTTACTATCCATTACATAAATTATAAATATTATAAAATTTTAAAATTACAAAAATTCAAGATATTATAGGTAATTTAATACATATTTTAATATTTAATCGATATTAAAATTGAGATATTTCAATAAATAAAAATATATTGTAATGTATTTTTTAACTTATAATTCTATTCCTTAAAAATTTTTAAAGAAATTTATGATATGTATCTATAATTCACGAAGATATAAATATCAAAGAATAATTCACATTAAAAAATTTTTATAATATATATTATTGATAAATATGTGCCTGTTAATAAAATATCTTTTCAGTTTTAATCTGCTAAATAAGTTTCATAGTTTTTCTATAAACTATGTAGATAGTATAAAATAGATGCCCCCCCCCCCCCTTTAAAATCACATGTACCGCTGACAATTTGTTAATGTTTGTTATAATCAATTTTTATTTAACTAATAGACAATCTAAGACATAGTAAAAAAAGTTGCATGATTTCCATTACAATAAGACAACATTATTTCGTATATTCTTTATCACAATTTTTTACGAAATTTACTTATTTATTATAGAAAAGATGTATTTAATAATTATTATTTATAATAATATATATGTTCTCTATTTTAAAATACTATTTATTCATCTTTACTGAAGTGAATATAATATTTATATAGGAATTTATTGAGATTTACATACTGTACATATTTTTAGACTCCCGTAGATAATAAATCACGGTTTAAAGTTTTAAAAAACATATATTTTATTTGAAGCAATGTATTTGTATGTATAGAAATGATCTTTTTCATGATATCTAATGCTGATTAAAATTTTTGTTGATGCTATAAATGTACCATCTGTCGCTGCAAAATCTTATTTATTTTTGTTTCAAGTTTTAAGACAGATTAGATTTTATAAATTCATTTAAAAGAAAAACAAATCTTTATTAAGATATGAATTTTTATTATGAAATAATGTTTTTCAATAAAAATTCTAATTTGTGTTTGTGTTTGTGTTTGTGTTTGTGTTTGTGTGTGCGCGCGTTTCTCCTCTCTCTCTCTCTCTCTCTCTCTCTCTCTCTCTCTCTCTCTCTCTATCTCTCTGAATGTTTACATATAATGAGATTTGTATAACTCTAAAAAAACATTAATTTTAAATTTATTATCAATAATATTTTGACATTATTTCCGGATTTAAAATTTCAATATCTTCATATTATTTCTCTATTATAAATAAGAAATATATTTTCAATTTCTTTTGTTCCTTTGTAAGTGAAATGTGTCTTTTTAATTTTCCTCATTTTCTCTTTGGTAAAATGAATATTATCGGTTTTATTCAACGACCCATACATCCCTATTGTTGAAAATAACAATCTTCTCATCTTCTCAGTTTCTTTTTTAACTTTATGCTTGACACGTTTCAATGCTTACGCACTTTATAGATTATGCACTTTACTTGAAAATTACTTTCTCATATACTATCAATACAAATAATTATAAAATATCTCGGTCTTAATAATCACTTATTAAATAACAAATGGAATATTTATAAACGGACTTATATAAAAAGTATAGATATTATTTCATATTTATTTTTATTTGTTTAAAAAATGGGGATCTAGTTTTAATACGCACAAATAAATTTAAAAATTATTATTTACTGTATAACAAAAATTAAATGCATATTTATAAAAATATGCATAAATATAAAATATAAAATATAAATATAGATAAAATACATAAATAAATTCATTTAAACGTATTTACGTTGTTATAAAAATTTTCATATTTGCACAATTTATTTTGCGCAAAAAAACTTTCAGTATATTTTTTCTCTTCCTCGTATTGTACAAAAATCTTTAAAGAAGCAAATAATATATTTATTAAATACTAAAATTGATTTAGTATGTTGTTTAATAGTTGATAAAAATAATTAAGTATAATTTATATTTACACCCAAATAAATCTTATACGTAAAATCGTTAAGCGAATATAATTAAAAAAAGGTAAAGAAAATTCTTTCTAAATAGAGAATTGTCATATGTATTGATTGTAATCTTTAAAAAGTTTCTTTTATTTACAATACATTTTTGAGTATTTCTAAATACATATTGAGTTTTAAGTAATTCACTCACAACTATATTCGCTTTAAAGATAAACTACAAAATACAAATAAAAGTACTATGGAGACAAATTGGAGTTGAAAAAATTTTTATCAATCAATTTAATTCTCATTTGTATGTTGATAACTACATATCACTAAGAATTAATCAAGAATTATTGTTAATAATTAATACCTAAGAATTTGTCTTAGTTTAAAATTAACTACAGTGGCATCAATAAGCTAATAAAAATAAAACATTAAAGTTAATTAATTGTATTATTAAATTTGATAAATTATCTAATGTGTGATAAAAAAAAAGAAAACTTTTAAATAAATCATTTGCATAAGAATTATATCTCTTAATCGATGAACAAATTTTAAGTATGACTGACAACATTGATTATCTATATCCAGCTTCACAAGTTGAAGTCTGAGCGGACATTAATCTGTCGAAATAAAGACTTATTGACGAGTGTTATTGATTATCCCAGCTGCTGTATACCGGAGCCTCGCGAGTTGCGTCGCTTCGTGTCGCGTCCACCGCCTCTGGGAGGCCGACTACACTGTACGATGCTTCGGAACCAAGGTGAACCACCTCACAGTTACACCCTCTACGTGGAATATCTGGGCGGGCTGATACCGTTGCTGAAGGGCCGACGTACCAGCAAGATCCGACCGGAATTCGTAATATTCGACCCGGAGAGTGGCCACTGTACGTCCCAGAACGGCTTTGACTTCCAGAGCGATTCGACCTCACCGACGGTTGAGAGGTCGCACCAGTACCACCACCACCAGCAGCAACAGCAGCAACAACAGCAGCAGCACCACCACCACCACCACCACCACCACCACCACCACCAACAACAACAACAACAACAACAGTACTTTCAGCAGCCCTCTTGCAGCGATGATTCGGACAATGAGCGGGACACCGTGGAACTCTGCGCTGGCTCACCTCGTTTTCGTAGAAAGAGTCGTAGGAAGTGTCGAACCTCTTACGAGAGAAGCACTTGCAATAACGACGACGACGAGAATTACGTCGATACCCTGCCAGAGGTCAGTACTTACAGCTATTTGTCTCTATTTGCTTTTTAGCATTAATTCGCTCGCTCTAAAAGTATCTCTGTATGCGATAGCACATCGTTTTATTTATTCTTTTCAGGCTTTTATAGTCCAATGTAATGATATCTGAGACTGAATTCTTTGAAAAATACATTTAAAAACAGTGTGTCGAGTTCTTGAATAGAGCTAATGTATGATGCTGCTGATTATAGTAGAAAATCGAAGAAACTGTAAAATGTCAAAGCTATCTCAAATAATTAAAAAATCACATACTATTCTTTCAAATTCTGCATTTGAGCATCCTAGTATTATAAGATAATAGTAAATTATTCTTGCATTATTCTCATAACAAGTCGTTATTAATATCGTTGTCAAGTAATAAACAGACATAAAATGGTTTTGCCATTGTCACTTGTATACTGTATCATTATTTCTTTTTGCTTATTGATAATTATAAGAATTGTTAATTATTAGAATAACTTAGTTTTAAATACTTCATTAAAGATTAAAAAAAAAATTTTATTATGAAATAAATTGAATTTTTAAATATAAATACACGGTGAAATTAATAAAAACAATTTAATTAGAATGTATGTAGTCGAAAAATTCGATGAATTTTGTATATTTATAAAATTGTAAAAATTATACACGTAAATTTTTCATATAAATATATATATATGTGTGTGTGTGTGTGTGTGTGCGCGCGTGGGTGTCATAGTATTAGAAAACCTCGATACAACTGCAATAGTACGCGGTTCAGTCTTGGTCGTTACAATTGAGGAATCCATTAATGGAGAACTATCTTTTTTATAGGGTGAATCGCACTCTTACCTTACTGCACCATTAATTTTCATAGAGAACTCAGTCTATATGACTTGCATTACACCCATAGTGGTTACGGTATACTGTACGCACTGCATCAGTACTGGCTAAGATAAAACAAATGAAACTGGAGCAAAGAGAGTGAAGTCACGTGTATGCGTATGTTATAATGTATAAAACGCGTAAAATGAAAATTCTTTTTTTTTCACAAAAATTTTTTTCACACAACTTCTTTTCACATAAAGCATTTCCAATACAATATAATTTGTGTTAGAAAGAAAAATGATCGTTCAGTTAAGTCGCAGCTGAGTACTTCATTTAGTCATTTGAAGGTTCGTTTATATAACTAGAGCATTTATTCTTTAATAGATGAAGAGATTGATACCGAGGAAATTACTTTCCTTTATTCTATGATACTTACACGCACGTGTGAACTAGTTAATGGCATTTATTATTAAATTAATCATATCTTCACAATTTCTCTTTAAACCAATCCCAATGGACTGCATTTTCTGAAAGAAGATTAGGCGTCATCTCAGTTCCCGATGCATTTGATTAGCGAGTGCTTGACCTCGCCTACGGACCCCGCGAGACAAGCGATGAGATGCTGGTAGTGAGCAATCACTTAAAGTGGTTAAATCGAATAGAAGCGGACGAATAGATGAATAGACAAGTATTTTTCAAAATTTATAAAAATCGCATACTTGTCTTGACTCTCTTTGCCAATATCTATTGCTTACGCGAGGTATTTTTAATTTTACACCTCTAAGCTATTTCAACACACCCAATCTCACATTTACTAATACTTTTCTGTCTCTTCTTACAATATTTGTTTACTTGGATACGTGGACAACAATCATGCGTCTACTATATTATATCTTTTGCCTAAAAATATCTTAGTAATTATTCCATTATTACAGTATATTATAATTAGTAATTATTATTATTATTTAATTTATAATGTAAATATAATTAAATTGAACATCAAATAACTTAATATCATAATATATCAGAACTAATATAGATTTGTATGTTAAGATTTGCTATAATTTTCCTATATATAAAAGACAATAATTGTCAACCAACAATTCGATTAATTCCTATACACATAATGGCTCCTATTTACAATAGCCATTTTTTTTTTTTTTTTTTAATGTAAAATCATTTTTAACTGTTCTTTCTTACAGAAAGCAAGACTCGTCGAGGTAACATCAAACATTTGGGGTACCAAGTTTAAATTTCACGGCTTAGCGGATTCAGTTCCAGCGAATCTTGGTAGAGTAACTTACCGGCCCTCGCTCTTACACCTTCAACCTCGGCAAATGACTCTCGTAATCACAGAATTGAGAGATGATCTTCCCGCAGGTGAACAATTTTATTGTTATTTGTTGTTATATGATATGTAGAAAATGTATGATATATTTTTATTAAAATTCACAGTTGAAAATATCTGGAATTGGAAATATTTATACTTGAAAAATAATTTTTTTGCTTTTAGTAAATTTATTTCGATGTTTATGTAGAATTCATTTATATAATAACATTTTTATTTTTTGAGTTTGAAAAGGTAGTTTAAAGGCATAAAAAATGATGTTACGTTATACATTGCAGAATCATTTTTTCAATCCCTAATATCTCTCATTCAAAAAACTTATAAAAAAATAATAAATATATATATATATTGCTTTCATATACACGAAATAAATAAATATGTATGAATATTGTTAATTATGTGAATAACAATCTAATAATTTCATGTTTTATACATTAAAAAGATTTTTTTAATATCAACCAAACAACATTAATATTATTTTTATTATTCAATTTTCATTCAATAATATTTTATAATATTTTTTATTTATTTTTATATTTATTTCATACGTATTTATATTTATAATATAAATTTTTTTAAAGTTCCGTTTAATTTTAGAATCGTAGACGTTCAATTTTCAAGCTCTGAAGCCATTATATATATATATATATATATATATATATATATATATATATATATTGATTAAAGAGAAAACATTTAATAAAATTAACAATCTACTTTAATCTCTAAATAACTGTAATAATTGATATTATATTATAAAACATGTTGTTCGTACACTAATGAAAACTTATATTATGATTTAATAAATCTCATAAACTCTTCATTTATTTCAGATTCATTTTTATGAAATTTAAACATTTTCTTAAGATAATACCTAAATGAATTATGTAATTGTATTATTTTATTAGATTATATGAAACATTTTACATTAATTGGCACGCAAAATTGTAAGACTTATGTTTTTGTTTTGTTCAATTTTATATATATTATTTCAATTATTTAATTATTCAATTATATTAATTCATATATATATATATATATATATATATATATATATATATATATATATATATATAGTAATTGTATCTATGCTGGATCTTTTTGTATCGATGCTGGATCTTTTTAATACTTTTGATACTTTCAGTTTATTTTATTATAATGACTATAATCATTTTTCGATCTTATGTCAATAAATATGAATAGATAGAAAATTTATGAGGTTGTAAATAAAATTTTATAAGCTATAAATCGTTTATTCTCTTCTTAAAGTAAAATTATAATATAATTATCGATTCAATAATTGAAAATTATTGAAAAAATAGCAATTGAACGATTTTCGCAATGTCTACTTTATCTTATGAATATTCATATTATCCTAGAAAAATAAAATCACCGAATAATTTTCCATCGGTGTACTTATCGGCAACTCACCACTCGTAAGAACAAAATATATTAAAGTCAGCGATATTTGAAACGCTCGTAGAAATGATTATGCAATCGTGTGCACGCACAGGTCCGGATCCAAGTTTCAACCCAAACCTCTTCTCGGAGGACGAGGAGGAATGCATGCAGGGAGAGTCGTCGTTGGCAATTCCTCGTACTTATGGCTTCTCGCGTTGTCCATCCGAGCAGTATCAACAGCAACAGCATCATCATCACCATCATCATCATCAGCAACAGCAGCAACAACAACAACAGCAGCAGCAGCAGCAGCAGCAGCAGCAGCAGCAGCAGCAGCAGCAGCAGCAGCAGCAGCAGCAGCAGCAGCAGCAGCAGCAGCAGCAGCAGCAGCAGCAGCAGCAGCAACAACAACAACAACAGCAGCAGCAGCAGCAGCAACAACAACAACAACAACAACAACAACAGCAGCAGCAACAGCAGTCACCGTCAATCGTGCCGCTTTTCCCTGTCGGTGAGAGCCACGACGACGACTATCCCTACGAGTACCAACCCATACCACCACCTCCACCTCACCAGCTTGAGTACCCGATACTCAATTACTGCGAGACGATGAGGCCGGTTGCGACCCCGGGCTGTCATCATCACCGAGCCACCTACGCGTCACGTTGCTGTGACGTCCCGACTCTCCAGTCCCCTAAGAACGCCGTCGCTCCCACTCAGACGCTCATCGCCACGTCAAGTCCAAGCGCCACTCTGGTACGCCAAGTCCAAAAGTGCTCTGTCCTAATTTATATAACTATTCCCAATCCTTCAAAATTGTAGTGCTCTGTAACTACAATAGAATTTGGAGATTAATGCTTATTCTGAAATCTAAGTACGCGTTCGCACTATAAAAATTATCAACGAATAAACAAGTATGTCAAGTGAACAGAGCACTCCTTATGATAATTATTCACGGGGAATCATACAAAATATAATATTATATGCTGTAATAGAATAATGTCGTAAGTATTTATAATTCTCATTCGATAGAGTAGTTATATTACTTATTTTAGCAAATAATGAATGTATGACTTCTTAAAAACGACCTCCCGAGTAATAACGTAACGTTATTTTCAAATAATACGATCCTGCATTTTTGCCGCAATGTCTGTTTACGAGAAATACAACGAATTGAACATTGTAAATGTTTATTATTGAAATATAATGAAAGACGTATGCATCATAATTATAATTATGTTGTGTACCAACGCGTCTTTTCTGTCATTAAAGTAATTATATACGTAATTTTAAATTTACGTATATAAGGTTTCGCCGGCAATGCTGACTCTTGAGCGAAAATGCCGACTATAAATATCTATTTATCTTGTATTTGTCTATTGAAAAGAAGCTCGCGAAAACAAGCCGTATAATTCAGGATGTTCAATTTAAAAGGGAGTACAAGGCTATTTCGAATTAGAAGCTATAAGAGGAAATTCAATTTATCGGAAGTATAATAGAGAGAAAAAATTTTTCCCCCCTTGACAACGTAGGGTGAATACTCGAGCAACGTGCAGCGGGTGAAGACGGCGCTAGTCGATCAGCAGAATGCAATTAGTAGTCTAATAAAGAAGGAACTGGATGTAGGGACTGGCAACAAGCTCGTCTACGCGCACACGGTCGAAGACAAGTTTCACATTGGTAACGGCTCGTCCTCGAACTGCTGCCTACATCCGAGGGCTGGATCGACCCACCATCAGGGCTACAGTTACGCGAACGGCGAATGTGGCCCGACGGTTGGCAGCATCGTCCATTCGAAGAACAATCTAAACGTTGGCCGCCAGGAGACAGCCGCGAGCCTCCTCCAGCCTCGAAACGGCGTTGAGACCAACCACTCGAATTCCATTATCGAGGACGAGGAACGGCGCAACGATGTACCCGCCCTCAAGAGTCAGTTTCAGGTAAGTTACAAAACCAACGAATCTTCAACGCTATAATGACTATTCATTTGAAAAGTATTCAACTACCTAACGTAAAGATCTTACTATTAATGCTTCAAGATCAATTAATAAAATTATTATTAATTGGTCAAATCACAATTAGATTAAAAATCATTGGTTGCTCAATTTTCTTAACTTAAAGTAAACTCAAGCAAGGATGATCAAACATACCGAAATACTTGCAATACTTTTCTTATCGCCAATACCCATAGATTATTTGCAGATTCTCCTAGCTACATTAAACATAAATATTGTATCGAACGCAAAAGTTTGAAAGGGTATTCCGCAATAGAGATATTAATTTTAACATTTACATTACAATTCAATAATTATTTTAATTTAATAATTAAACTTGTACAATATACGAAGATTAAATATATAAATAATTAATATATAATAGGGATTGTTATTAATTTGAAAGGAAAATATAATTAAATTACGTATTGAGAAGCTTATGTATGAATGAGAAGGCGATACCTGTAGATGGGATGCCATTTGATTTTAATGCTAGAATTTTAAAAAAAAAAAAAAAAAAAAAAAAAAAAAAAAAAAAAAACTAGAGCGATGTTTAAAAAGCAGTGACGTGCGATGTTCTTCGCAGTGGCAGTGCAAACAATCTAATTGAAAGGTAATTTTTCATAAATTGACCAAAAAATTGTGATGTCCTCGATTCCAGGCAGTGCATCGAGCGCCAACAGTCGTGAGCATTGGACCTACACAAATTTCCGCGAACTCGATAGTCCGCAGTTGCAGCGTCGGCTACCTCGATCTCGTTGACGCGCAGATTGTACCCTGCGATGTTGCCCTCAATATGCTGCGCAAGGATGCGCCAAATAAGCGGCTATTCCTTATTTCCAGGAAGAACAAGCGACGCCGACGCAGCAGCAAGGACAACTCAGGTTAGTATGTTCATATTATTGCTCGAAAGCGGTTGCGAAATTGTGGTCAATCAGCCGATTAAAAAAATTAATTCGCCTTCCAAGAACTATTTCAATACGCACGATTAATAACTAATTTTAACGAATTCAATGATCATTTGAGTTGGCAACGATATTAATGCAATATCGTGGAAGGCAGGAAATTAATAATTCGGCTGTGCAAATGAACGCACCCTTTCGAAAATCTATTTTTCGTTAATCGAAGGAAGGTTAATAATGCACGGAGGAATACTAAATCCTTTGACATTTTCTCGTTTGCGGAAAAACAGTTAAGGAAAACGGAAGTAACGTCGTAGTGCATCGAACGACACGACCGCGTCTCAACGACTGCGGCAAATCACGGAGTCTGGACTCGAGCGAGCTCTTCACCTCGAGCGAACAGATAATCGTCCTGCCACCGAGGCTTGCCGAGCACATGGAGGAGACTGGCTCGACGACCGCGGCGACCGACGATAACGACTCCGGCGACCTCTGCTCGGAAGTCGCGCAGAACGAGATGAATGTGCGCAAGGAGGCTTCCACGGCGATTCTCTGCTCGAGAAAGGATAGTCACGAAACTGTCTCCAGGACCTATGCCCAGCAGCTGCTAACCAGTCACAGGCCTATTATCATCACCGAAAACATTGCCAGCCACGGCGAGCCCTCGAATATAAAGTAATATTTGTTCACTATTATCACTCGTTTTCAGATAATAAGAACCACTGAAAATTGAATCGATCGCAATTAAGAAATATAAAAAGGTTTGGCAGCTTTTTTAAAATTTGCTGTTGTATAATTTAAACGATGATTAAGTAATAGAACGTCGGCTAATTTAATACTTGTACTTTCTAAGAATGTTTTTCGCGCGCAAAAATACTAAGCTAAAAGTAAGTTTCATCACACACATGCGCGCGTATTCAAATAAGAGCATGATGATCTTACTCGTTTCTTTTTATTGCACTTTAACTTTTTCATTGCTCCTCCATTAATATTATTTTAATGCCAACGCCAGTCTTTTACATATCGCTAAATTCTGATGGACATGACCACTTTTTATAACTTTGCGATCCATAAAATGTCATTTTTAAGATTTTTCATTATAGTACCTGTTAATCCACATAACTGTTTTGAACGAAGCGAATTTATGTGAAAACTGTTAAATACACTGAGCGCTTGGTAATCCGAAAATTTAAACGCTACATTTTTACATCATCATTTTTATTATTTTATTGCCATAAACACGTTAATATAAATCTAATAATATAAAAAGCTCGTATCTTTCCTTAATATGGGAAAGTTAATTTTGATTTGAGAATATCTTGACGTTTTACATTATATTCTAATATTTTACTTTTTAATAAATAGAAAAAAGTATATAATAATAGAAAAAAAATAAAAAAATTTAAAAGGATATATGACAGAATAGCCGTAAGAATGTTCAATACTCGGCTTAGACATTATTATTTTCAATGATATTAAATTATTTTTAAGCATCACTTATAAAAATTTTCAAAAGTTTGAGTTCTGAAATATATTTAAGTTTTTACTTCTCGTGAGCTCCAGAGCCGTAGTCAAGAATTTCTTGTAGCAAAGCTTCGACAAAAGCTAAGCAGATAATAATTAATATTATATTATATATTTTAATTAATAAATTGCGAACGCGGCTTGGCGCTGTCTTATCAATTGCTTTTTGAGGATATTCGAGCGATTAACAAAATAATAATAATATATACAAAACCCAAGGATTTTAAGCGCCCCTCGCGTTTTTCAGTACATCCAGCCAGAGTCCATCCGTGGAGTCGTCCCTCGACGGTCTGACTTCGAGGCTCGATGGGCTGGCGGTGAAACTCGGCGATTTCGAGGATTGCCACTCACTCCCACCCCCATCTCCCCGTCCGTCAACGAGGTAGGCGCAATATTAATCCCGCTCTTCACTTCGTCGTATTTTTACATTCGTTCCCTTCGTCGAATTTTTACATTCGAACTATCTTTGAAAAATAACTTCGAGGTATTAAGTTTATGTGGTATTTATTCTTATTAGATTGCCGAGAAGTTCGCCAAGCAGCCCTGCGCCCTCGAAGAAAGGCAAAAGACCAGCCTCCGCTTCTCCAATTAGAAGGAGACTGCTTTCGAGTCCACTGCTCAATAGGAAAACACGTAAGAATCGTAATGAAAGTTCCGACGAGGAAGGCTTAATCAGTCAAGATGATATCTCGAATTATCGCGATCTTGAAACTTTTCAGAAAGCACAACTACGCCAGAAGGTCAGTTGCTAAAAATCAGTTAAGTTCTTCTCCCTTTATTTGCATACTCTTTGTTAAATTCTGGTCTCTCCAAGTGCGCCGGTAGTTTTATCCTTTTGCAAGAAGCTTGAACTATCGGAGCATAAATACGTTTATTGATTTTATAAATTGCAATAATACTTTGATGATAAAGTGATGAAGTGACACAGTGATGGCACAGTGATAAAGCTTGTGCAAATCGTTTCTTTTTGTTTTTCACCAGCTTATATTATAATTTTTATTAGCTTTGTATTGTATATTAGCTTACATTATAAATCAGTATTTTATAACATTACCATCAAGAATATGTTGTACTTATCCAAATAAGATTTAATATAAATTAATGATATTTTCAGTTAAGAAAACGAGGTGGAAACTTCGGATATGAATCCGAAGCAACTAGACGTGAAATTATAATGCACAATAAAGCACCAATGTGGAATGAAGCTAATCAAGTTTATCAATTAGACTTCGGGGGTAGAGTTACTCAAGAAAGTGCTAAAAATTTTCAAATTGAATTTCGAGGTAATCAGGTAAGAATAAATAGCATACAAAATGAATATCTTCAAAATGAATTCGATTTCACCGTAAACTATATTCCATTATATTTCTACGCTTAAAGTATACATTCATATATATATATATATATATATATATATATCAATTGTTTCTTTTTTATTTATCAAAAAATTCAAAATATTCAAAAATAATTAAATATATACAAAATCGAGTACAGGTGTTTCATTTTTGTACACTAATAATACGTTTTATCGAAGAATGACAAATTATTTTCATTAATTTTGCATTGCATTTAACCCTTACACATAAACGATTTCTTATACGATAAAAAATTTACATTGAAATAGAACTTAAATTAATTATCCAAAACATTTATATTAATGGTTATTTAAAAATAGGTTATGCAGTTCGGAAGAATACAAGGAAACGCTTATACTTTAGACTTTCAATATCCTTTCAGCGCCATACAAGCCTTTGCCGTTGCTCTGGCAAGTGTTACGCAAAGGCTAAAATAAAGTTATACATTTTACGTTATACTTGTATACATACTCTGACAGATGTGAGAATATTTTTTTAAATTAGTGTAAAAATAAAAATGTATTACTATTTAAAATCTCATTATGCAAAGAAGTTGCATTAAGAAATTTTTTGACTGTAGTTTTAACAAATTATCCACCTTCAATTTTGCTTAATAGTAAATGGATATCATTTTTTTATGTTTTTTTTTTTTTAACTTATTTTAACTGTTAAACAAAGTTAATAGTTCTTAGAATGCAATTATAGTACTTATATTTTGATATGAATTTTTTTTAATACACACTCTTCAAAATTTAATAAACATCACATAGGTAGTTCTGTTACTGTTAAAAGAGTCAATCCAGAAAATATTTGTTAACATTTGTCACAACGGTCGTCAAAATAAATTACTGTCAGGGTCTTATTTTTCACAGTGTTATATAAATATTTGCAAACTATAATTACTTTATAATATATAATGGCTGATCAATGCCTTCTATAACTCATTAGTAAATCACTTAAAAGAGGTAGTAGCATTTATTTTTATATTACAGTATAATTATTATTATAAATTTGTTTCTACACTCGATTGTCTTGATTATTGCATATAATAGTCGTTAACGAGATTTAAGATAATAATGATCCCTTAGCATGCACTGGCTTCATATGTATCACTTATTTTAAATCCGAACATAAGAAATATCGTGATAAATTAAAGTAATATAAAAATTATGTGTTACTACCTAGCGATAAAGGAATTTTTAAATGACAAAAATTTAACAAGAAAATAATTAAACTGTGAGCTGACATTCGAAGCGATGAAGGCAGACAATGTTTTGTACATATAAGAGGAATAACGATTTAAAAAAAAAAAAAAAAAAAAAAAAAAAAAAAAAACGGAGTTTAAGGTTTCACGTGAAACTTTCATTGAATGCTTTGATCCACGTAACCGTCCAAGACGTTTAGTTTTACCCTGTTGTAAGCGTATGCGATTTCGATAAGCGCCAAGTGAGTTATAAGTGTATAGTTTATTAGTCCTTAACTCGATACATAATAGTAGTATTATTGATTATAATATTGAAATTTTCGTACTATATATAGGATATATTATATATGTGAGTACCACTCGTGCGACCTAATTTTTTGCTAGACATGATGCATTTGATATGCCTAATTGTTATCTTTTATGTGTATATATTTATTGAAATAAATAACAGAAAAACAATGTTGAATGAAAAAGGTATGAATGTAAATTATTTCGTTATTCAATAATCTCATACTTTTTCAATATTTAAGTACGATTCTCATTGGAGGCATTGTCCGTTTAAAATTTTCTAAAACCGATCTTTCCATTTATATTCAATCAAATTTATTGATTTTTATATGGTGTCATATATAAATATTATACTATTGGCGTCAGATTTTTATGATCTTAACGATATTCAAGATTTCTAACATATACGTTGAAACTCAATTATTCACTAAAAACTTTATAATTTCAAATTAAAAATTCTCAAAGTAAATTTAAATTTTAATGAAACTTGGTTACAGATCATTTTAAAGCGCTCCAATAATCGTCTGGCCTGATATGCTTACTTCAATACAAACAAAAAAGAATAGCAAAAAATAAACACTAATCTCATTTAATGAATAAAAATAATGTTTCGATGAATCCTTAATCGGTGGCCAAAAAAAACCGATCTAAGTATTTGAAGAGGAAGTGAAAAATGGCGATACTTTTCACTGTCTCTAATTGATCTTGCAGAGATAAAGAAAATGACGATACACACAAATGAAAGAATCTGCACATTTTGTACGAAACAACTAAAGTGAACAACTATCTGAACTTATCTTTTCATATTTTTGTCCTTTGATTTCGTAAGTCTCTTTGTTAGCCTTACGATTTCTTAAAACATAGCAAACCAGTTAATTAAGATACTACAATTGAGTGCGTATCAATATTATCAAGCTATTATTTTATTAATGCTTCAAAATCTAATTTATTTAATATAAATTAAGATTTATGCAATTCTTAGATTGAAACAAGCATAAGAATGAATTAATCAAATATAAATTTCGTGATTGGTGGTGACTCAAAAGCACGGATTGTGAATGAATAAAAATGTCGAACAAACTGTTAATTTATTTATTATGCTATTAAATATATATTAATTTAATTCGCCGTATTCTATCTTTAAAATGACGTGCAATATAAACTTTTTATAACTATTAATTCATTATGCAAGGTAAAATTATAAAGGAAAAAAATGTAAAATTTCGTGACTGATGTATTGTATATGTAATCAACGTGTACGATGTATACGACACGATATTCGACTTTACAACTTCTATAACCAATGGTATTATTGTTGTTTTTATTATAAGAGGGCATTGTTATTTATTCAGTTTTGCCACAAGAATAAAGAAAATTATTCTAGAATGTGCAATAACATTTTGTTACTGAATATGCATTTAATGAAAGTCGATTACTATTTGTAAATAAAAAATAAAAAAAAAAATACCAAAATTATTTATTTTAAAACCTACTTTTTTTGTATACATATATATATATATATATATATATATATATATATATGTACAAATCAGCATGTCTTTCTTTTATTTCTTTAATTTCACGCTTTTAAGTGATTTTATCTCTCGACGGCTTGACATACTAACATATTATTTAAAAATATTTTCTATTAAAAATTAACAATACTTGCTGCAATTATTCAAAATGCTATTGAATGATTAAGAAATAATAGAGTAATGTAAATAATTGAATAAATGATGTTGTATCTTTAAGAATTTTATTACACAAAGATAGTTCTATAAATGGGGCTAATAAGATGTATAATTTAGAATAATAGTTTTTGTTATATTAATTTTCTCGTGGAAAATAATATAATAATAATTATTAATCATATAAGATAATACAAACATATTAGTAATATTGTATAACTACATTTAAGTTATGCAGCAGAGTAAATTATAAACAAAATATTGACTTATTTTAAAAAACAAATTGGGTTAAAATATTAATGTATCTTACAATACAATACAATCGTATTATAATTGAAAAATGAATTATTGTTAAGAATATATTTATTAATCTAATGACAATAGTTTTAACAATTTTTAATTTACACTAACAAAAACATTCTTATCCAAATATCCAATTATAAAATCCTATAAGTATAAACGTTTTAATTTAATTAAAAAAAAATTCACTAATATTCAACAATGTAAATTTATGCTTTTAAAAAACAGCCAATGAAATGACGCCACTAAACCATACATATGTGTGCTACGCAATTAGTATTATAATTTATTACATACAATTAAGCATATATATTTCTTTATAATTTTTTTTTTTTTTTTTTGTGAAAATGATTTAAAAAATGATTTAAAAAATTGGATACAAACAGTGATATTTATTTATCTATAGAATAAAGAAATATTTTATTGATAAAACAAAATATAAGTTTTGCAGGAAGTGATATATTGTAAAATTAATAAATACAATATAATTATAAGCATTATTATACTTTAATTTAATAATAAATGAGAGACAGAGCTAACAAAAAATAATAACAATTTTAGGACAATTTAAAACTTTGTAGAAAAATTATACTTCGATTTCTTATCAGATCGAAAATAAATACTGAATTAATTGTTATAATCTATTTAAATAATTCTAAAAATACGCTAACATATTGCATAATTATAAATAATGTTTCAAGATTGAATTCACATCACATATACGAAATTCATAGATTTCGTTTAAGCTTTAAAATGAGTAGAATACAAGTCCAGCAGTCTCACTATATTATAACTATTTTTAATGAATATTCACATTCATAATAAATAGATAAAATTCACATTCGAATTTGTTCTTTACATCTTTGTGATTGTAAAAATTTATTATAATACAGTTATTAATTCATTGTCATGATTTTTTACATTATAATTTACAAAGAAGCAGATAGTCTCAAGCGTAGAATACCTTTAATATTTGACTAACTTTTCGATTGCAAATTGGGCACCGACTACTATTGGTCATCCAAGCCTTCATGGCACAACCATAGCAACAACATATGTGCGTTATTTTTCCATGCACAAAGGCGCCGTTTTTTGGTTTGACGGTGCAAATAAGGCAAAGGCTTTCTGTATCTTGTATCGGTCGATCACTAGAAGAAACTACTTCACTCTTTACTTCTTTCCACGATCGCGGTTCTTTTGGAAACATACTTAAAGATGACTGGAAGTTTCTTAAAGTGCTTTCTTTTCGATGTCGATGTTTTCTCCTCGCTTCATATCGTGGGAAATGTGTTTTTCTTAACTGCAATAATATAAAAATTGAATGGTCATTTTTATTTTATTTTTATTTTTTAAATAATGTATTCTACCATTATAGATATATCCTATCTACAACTTAAGCAAGGTTTACATACATAAATGTATAATTTAAAGTTTACAGTTCCTAGCAATAATTTATAATTTAAAAATTTGCACAATATTTCTTATTTAATGATTTGTATATAATATTGTTTTAGAAAGATTATTATTTTTATATAAAGAAATATTAAAAACCATAATGATGCACGTGGATTATCCAATTTTCGTGAATTAAAATATTTACTAGTAGTAAATTTAATTAAATTAATAAATAGAAATCCATCAAATGAGTTATTTGTATCTCGTTCAAAATATTTTTGTAAATATTTTTCAACTATTGCCATAATTTTGACCTTAAAATATAAAGTAGTATAAAGTAGTTCATAAATTTTATGTAGAAACTGAGTGCTTTCCTCGGTATATTAACAAAGCATAAATACAATATTTGTTTATTGTATATATTCTGAATAAAATATATATGTATATTAATCATATGTGTAATTAAATTATGCTTAATTGAAAATCTTATTCTATTTCTATTTTCTATAAAGCGATTTTAATTTAATTAAAAATGAATAATCAAACATGGAAGTTTAAAATAATTTAAGCATCTGGTCAAAAATTTTAAGTATACAAATAAGAACAATTAAATATTTCCAGAACAAATATCAATAAAAATATTTTGAACGATTCTTTTAAAAAATCATAAAATTATTTTATATCAATTAGCAAAATTTATAAATTTAATTCATAATCTTATTCTTTATATACTTGACTAATTATTGTAAAATAAAATAATTACAGAAAATAATTGTTAAACAAATTATAATTTTTAGCAATATGTTGAATTCTTATATAAAATAATATTTATGTAATTATGTTTTTATTAAGCTTTATTTGTTTGGTTGTATTTAATAATTAGACATTTTTAATCCAATTTTTAAACTGCCTTTTACATAAGAAAAATTAATACATAATAAAAATTCTTCTAAATTTAACATGATAAATAAAATTTATACAGAAGTGAATAAACATATTTACCTGATAACAATTTTTACAGTAACGAAACAAAGTATTGGTATTTAGATTTTTGCATTGAATACAAATCAAAAACTTTGTCTTTCTTATTTCACTATCGATAGAGCTTACTGAATCATTACTACCATCAGCTACTTCTTCTGATTCGCAAACACTTACACATTTAACCTCCAACTTATTCTGAAAATAAATCTGCAGTTAGTATAAAACATAAAAAAACGTCTGAAATACTGAATGCGATAACTATATAACTATATTGTACAAAAATTACCTCAGGCTCTGATGATGATGTTACAGCCATCAATGGATTTTCATTTTCAGATCTTGAATCTAGCTCATATTCTAAATTTGCGTTAGCATCATTTTCACTACTGCTCATCCAACTGTGAGATGTAGATGTATCTGATGTATCACGTACATATTCTGAAAATTAAATAATCTTTTAATTATTACAAATTTATTGTATAATTAACAATTAGTAAAAAAGATGCATAAAACTATTAAACATTTATGTTTAAAATATAAATTTATAATGCACGTTTAATGTTTAATTTAATATTTCAAAATACTAATACAACTTTAGAATTGTGTATAATTGGTTTCTACTCTTTTAGATTTTATTACATTTATATCAAACACACGAAAATATAATATAATTTACCTGTTTCATTTTCTTGCATAGAATAAATTGATTCATCATCTTCATCTGTTGGTAATGAAGATTCACTTTCCAAAATAAAATACCAACCCATTTTATTACTGTCACTGGATTGCCGTTCATCTTCTGAAAATATGAAAAATCAGGAATGTTTAATACAAATTAAGACTAAGAAAGGAATAAAATAATGAAAGAGTTACATTTCTTCTAACTTTGATAACAATGCATAATATTTACCCTTATTATTATGATTATGACAATGTAAAAGTTATTTTGACTAAAAATACTACCAAAAGTAATTTCATAATAAATAAAATATAATAAATATAAAATAATAATTATTATTTGAATTCTAGGTACTTATTCCTACATAATAAAAAACATAATGTGTAATTATTTTGTTAAATAATGACAAAAAAATATATCATTCTGGTATATGAACAATGATTTATCTTATTTAAAAATATTATGAACATTTATTTATATAAATTAACTGTATTAATAATATATGTTTAATTTTATTTTATATACTAATATTTAGTATTATGGTAACATATGCATAAACAAGAGAATTTAAATTCCATTGTAGTAGAATAATAATTATTATTAATAATTGTCACTAAAGTCAAAATTAAAATAAAAACTTATTTTGTTCATCGGCTAAATTTGTAATTTGATGATCATATTAAAATATATGATACCCACAAATAAAATAAAGTCTAGGAGCATATAATGAAGTGTATCACAAAATAGAAAACTATTTTGTATATAAGAAAATATTAAATTATTTAAGAATTCAATAATTGTTTCACCAATTATTTTGCAGAAATAAAATTCAGTTTATGAAATAAATTATAATCAATAGAAGACAATGTAATAAATAAAGTTATTTAAGAATTAAAAAATTAAGTATTTACAGATTTCAAAATATACAAGTATTGAACACTGTGATTGAAAATACAAATTGTTTTTCTGTGAAACAGGTATAGTTATATTATTTTTTTTTTTTTGTTGTCATTATAATTATTATTATAATTGAGTTCAATGATTCACTCGTGATTGTAAAAGACCAAAGAACATATATCATTATTATAAAACATATCGATCTAAAAATCTAACAAAATAATATAACAATAACATAACAAATAATTCATTGCCTAATCAATATATTTACATTATAACAAATCTTCGTTTTTAATATCACACTTACTATAATTATCAATATTAATTGAATAATAAATGATTAAATAAAACTAATTTGGATATAATTTATTATGATTTAATTAAATGTACAATTTAAAAATTTATTAATTTTCCGTAGAGAAGAATCTTATTTTGCTCGGTAGGTTATATTATATTATATTGTTTTATATTATTTTTAATCTATTTAGAAATTAATTTTATTGCGATTATCATCGCATATATGAAATATACAAGAAAAAGACACTTTTCAGGATATGAGAATTGCATTTGATTGATATTTAATTATGAATTTTAAATCAAAATAAACAAAGTTTAGCGGCTCGTAAAAAGAGCATAGAAAAAAAAAAAAGAAGTAGATAGATAAAAAATAACTATAAGCGATGAACGGTTTTTCGAAATAAAAATCTCCTTCTTTAATAATTAATAACAAGGCCATGTGAAAACATAAATTTACAATTTTCTTTAATTAATAAATACTTAATTGAAAAATTATTTATTCAAACTTTTTTAAATATCACAAGTATAAAAGTGAAATTAAAGGGGAAAAAAAAAAAAAAAGTATTTTGAAAAATTAAAAATAATAGTTAAGACTTTTTTTTATAGAACTTCCTGTATGCAAATAAATAAATAAATAAATAAAATACTGACCTATTGATGATGAATTTAGAACTACACTCATAGCTATTTGGTCTAGTGTATTATGGCACCAATGACTAGACTTGTACTGTCAACATACGACTGCGAATTATAATTTTTATATATTGAAATGCCGCATCCGATCTAATTACAACGCGGCATGTAAAGTAGAACCTGCGCAGAACAAGTTCCACGTTATTAGTTAATATTTCACCGCGTACTATGAATTAAACTTCATCTTACAAAATATTTCATGTTTCAACATTACCTTATACATAAATATGTAAAAGCTTCTATTTTTTTTAAGTGTAAAGTAATAGTAGTAGTAACTAAATAATAAAATATTTAATTATGTGTATATAATAAAAATATATTCCAAAGGAATGTACGCTTTTGAAACGAAAGCGTAATAAAAAGAAAGAAAAGCGTAATATAGGAAAATAATAGGAAAATAATAGGAAACTATAAAATTATTATTTCAATCGCGTCACGAAAGATTTTAAAGGGCTGATATAAAAGTGAAAATGAGAGGATTAATAGATAAAGCAATGTATATATTACAAAAATTCGATTATATTTAAAGACATAAAGTAAAACGGAATAAAAAATTGTAAGAACAAACAAGATTTAGAAAATAATAGACAGGAAATGATATAAGCTGTAAGAACAAGGGTAACTGTTACATAATAAAAAAATATAAGGTCATAAATAAACGATATAACAATAAATTATTATCTAATTCATAAATAATATAAATGTAATTTATAAAATTATGTTGTTTTTTTTTTCTTTTTCTAAAGGAAAATAGATTTCTTAACGGGTAGAAATTTTACGCGCTAAGAGAAAGTTTTGCCTATAATATAATTGTTTTAATATATTTTTATTCACAGCGAATGATAATATATTTTCGAATAATACAATTGTATGCAATACAAATAGTAAGATGACTACGTGATTGCCTTATCCAGCAATAATATAAATGAAATTACTAATTTCCTTAGAGCTCGATTGATCATTTTAGAGAATTTGATTTTTAATTGTAATATAAATTCAATTATAATGCATAAATAATTGAGATAATAATAACTTTTACAAAACATAATTTAACAAATTTTTTAATTAATTACAATTAATTATATATATATATATATATATATATATTAATCTTTGTTTGGTAATAATATATAGTTATATTATTTAAAGAAAATCGAATAAAAAATTATTATGAATTCGAAATAATTTTAATAGTACTTATGGAACGCTAGCATGAAAAATCACAATTGTCAATTCTTTTTAATATGTCAATTTATTGTTAAATGATATTTACAGATTTTCATGTATAAACCAGTAAATTTTACGTACTATCCTGTATTTATAATTCTATGTAATTAGGGGTCAGAGCTATTAAAGTACCGTTAGCTTACGTATGCGTTCTAAACGCAATTTGCAGGTAAAAACTTGTAAATGAACAAACGGATTCTAGGAAACGACACGCGCCTGCACCAAATTCTTAATGTTGTTTTGATATAGCTATTAGACTATTACTGTAATTTCGGAAATTAATTTTTACAAGACCTAGTTGAATATACTTATATAGGTATGCCAATTATCAATAATAATCGATTACCTTTGGGCTGCTTATATTAAGCTCATATTGAATTTCCAAGAAATATGTATTTGACCAAATGAGGTAATAACATTTTTTAAATATACATACTTGTCGATTTATTTTATTTAAATTTTATTTTAGTTAAATTTAATATCCCTATAATGATGTGATATAAGATATAGGAAATTTTATAATGTGTTAAATGATAATACAAAATGAAATCAATTTTTAAACTTACTTATTAGAATTTTATTATTTTACTACAATTATTGTGTTTATATCATTTTTTTACTAGACTTTTATATAATTTTATTTGTACATTTTTATCATAATTTATTATTATTTTTATATAAGTTTAGATATGTTTTTATAAAATCAGCCCATTGTAATGGTACAAAGTGTTTGAATTATTAAAAAAAATTAATAAAGTTTATAATATTATAATTTTTTTAGAAATGTTACCGATACCATACAATTTCCACAATCTATAATCAAGCTGTAGTGCTTCCTTCTTAGACATATAAAGTTTTTAAATAAAAAAAAAATCACTCTTAATGAACCTTATTTTTGGATAAATAATATAATTGTTAAAGAAAAGAATATTAACTCCCAAATTTCTCATTAACTATTAATTTATAACGACATATATCGTATAGCACTATTAAAATGTAACTTAAACTATAATATGTAATTTTTTTTATATTAAATTTTTTATCTTGACCTTTTATTAATATGACATTCTATGTTAGTATAAAAATATGTCTAATATAATATTTGATATTTTAGCGTTTCTAGTCAGACTATCTCTTAAGATTCAATTGTTACTGATAAGGTCTTTTGATGCGCTTTTATGTATAAAAGACTAAACGTGACAGGAATAATGTGTAAAATTTATTTAATATGAAGAACATCTATAGCTCCGAAATATATAATAAATTCCTTAATTAGTCCATAAAGAAGTAAAATTGTAATAAATTATAATGATAATAATAAGTTTTACGATGGGGTATGACGTGATACGTTGTACTTTTGATATTATTATTTTTATCAACAAATTTAGTAAATCAAAAAATAGAAAAATATGATTATTAACTTTTTATCTGGAATTAGAAAAAACAATGTAAGACAATAAAAATGAGTCATACTTAAATTTGAATAATAAATCAGATTGAATTTTGTATTATATTTATTAAAATTTGGATAATAATTCATTTCTTTAACCGGTAATGATTTTTAAATTTCAAAATTTTAAATATATTTAATATAAGATTTAAGTAAATTAATTTTTTCTCCGATAATAATATGCTTTTGTATTACATTTAAAGCAGTAAAAAATTATTTTCATAAATTATAGTACTATTTCTTTTAAAATGAAAAAAAAAAAAAAAAATTCGAAGGTAATTGGAATGACTCAAATGAAAGAGAATTTACTATAATTCTGTTACGATTTCTTTCTGTTGTCAATTAAGTTTTTTACCTTATTTGATGATGAATATATGTAATAATAAAATTTCTTTTAAATACGAATTTAGATACGTGTATTGTATGAATATTTGGCATCCATAAATATTTTTATTTACGATGAACTTACAACATATGTGAATTACATAAGCATTTAATATAAGGTGTAGAATGTTTTATAATCGATATAAAAGACATTCATTATAAAATTCATACAAAATGTACATAATCACTTTGTACGTAAAATTTATTTAATCTTTATTAAAAAAAAAAAAGATCAAATTAATGCAAATGGATGAAAACCATTTGCTACTGTTTGCTACTTTTGGGTCATTAGCTTGACGTCTTATTCATAATAATATTATTTTTAATTTATTAATCATTTAAACTAATTTATAACGGATGCATCGAAATTGAATTGATTGAAAAAGAAACTATTTTAAGAATTCTGACCATCAAATACTGAAAAACCATAAATTAAAATTAATCAAGAATAAAAATAGCGCTTCAGTGACTATTAAACAAACTGTCGTTTTCCCGTTGTTTCTGTTTATATTCTTTAACCTCCAAATATTAACGTGATTTTGTTTCGTGTAAGTTCATAAGAAATAAATATTTTGCAATGGCGTCGGGTTTGGAAAGTTATGTTAATCGTATCCTTTTAATAAGTAAATTACTTACTTTAATAAAGACATCCAACGATTTATTTTTTCTTACATAAATTAATTTCAGATACTGTTTCTATTATTACATCTGACGGTCGTAATTTTATTGTAAGTAAGCTACATGTAATTATTCAGTGTAACTTTTAATATACAGCTTTGAATATTTAGAGCTACACAATCATTTGTTTAATGAATTTCCTTTTAGGGTACTTTAAAGGGTTTCGATCAAACAATTAATTTAATCTTAGATGAATCGCACGAGAGGGTCTATAGTACAACACATGGAGTTGAACAAGTTGTTTTGGGATTGCACATTATTAGAGGAGATAATGTGTAGGTATTCATTTAAATTATTATAAAAAATCATACATACATAAAGAACTTCATTAAAAAGTAATTGTATCAATATAATAATTAGATAATGTATGTTAAATTATATACAATTTATGTAATCAATAAAAAAGTTTGACAAATTGTATATATTTTTCTATAGTTGTAACATTAGTTTTATACTGTACATTTTATTAATATCTCATATTATTCAGAATTACATAACACATATTATTATTGATTTCAGCAAGATTTTATTATATTTATAGTTTTATTCAGAATTTGTATATAATTCGAAGTATAAAATAAAATGAATATATTTTAGGGCTGTCGTAGGTGAATTGGATGATGAAATGGATGCTCGTTTGGATTTATCAGTAATACGTGCAGAACCACTTAGTTCTGTAGTACATTGAACAATAATATATATTAATTTGTATTTATGTCGTTAAAAAGCATATAAATATGATTGTATTTTGATTTGCAATCACAATACTGTAAATAGTTATATTATAAATTCTAAAATGCGAAGCACAAATTATGTAAAAAAAACTCTTACAAATAAATTTTTTTTTAATAAAAAATTTATTTCATGTTTGATATCTGATAATAAAAAATTAAAATTCCATAGTCCAGAAGAATGAAAAACTAAAATTGAAAATTATTACTTATATTTTTTGATAAATATTTAATAAAGTATAAGTGAAATTTTGTGTAAACAGCAAATGCAACTTTATTAGTTTCAACTTTATAAATATTTATAGTAATTGTGTGTGTCGAATGTTATAATATGTTTGCATATATATATATATATATATATATATATTTATGCGCGTGTGTGTGTGCGGGTGTGTTTGTGTTTACAATACAATATTTATGAATTGAATGTGGCGGATAAATGAAAAATAAACTTCAGTCATATAGAAAAAAAACCTTTATTTAGGGAGCTTCATGTACTAAATGTGTTTTATCAGAACCGTCATAAGTTCTCGATAATAAACACTTACAATCTCATAGAACTTTCAATTTTTTTCAATATGTACAATAAATACTCATTTAAATTATGCAATCATATCTGCGCTCTATACATAATGTTCTTTAAACATTAAATTGCTTTTCCATTACTGTATATAAGAAGCTCTCAAATGCTTGGTTTCCCACAGTAAAAACATTTTATATATTCATCCTATGTCGTAAGATTTACGAGAATAATAAAATGTGATAGTATAGTTCTTGATTTGTTCATACAACTAAGATATATAACAAAATTTTATATAGCACGAATTGATAAATGTGGCTTCTTAAACTGTGCATTATGTACAAATGCAAACCACAATGTTTTGCTCACCATTGACTCTCATATTTGAGTAAAAGTATTTTGCTTTGCTTACAGGAACGCAATCCTATACAAATATACAAGATGTACATATACATGGACATTGAAAAATAGTCACGTCTTTCTTTCTAATTTTTATGAGGACGTATCTTTTTTCCGGGGCAGTCCACCAAATTTTCCTCTGGTTGTTCGTCTTCTATCTTTCCTGTTAACTCTACCCTGATTTCCATTCCATTCAGAGTTTCCTCCAAAATTTGACTCATCAACTTGATTAACAGAATTAAAGCCCCGATCTGGGTTCGGAGCATTTCCATAATTCGTGAAACTATCCGATGGATATCTGCCTGGTGGTCCATCATATTGAGATCTTACATCTTGATTATATCCACCCATCTGTTGAGGTCCAGCACCCAAGAGTCCTACACCGCTATTCCTCTGGGCATTGTAGCGAGGATCATATTGATTCATTTGGTTTTGAGGAGGCCCTGGATGCTGTTGTTGCTGGTGATTATTGGGCCCTGGGGGTCCCATACCGCTCATCCTCATGTTTGGCGGAGGAGCCATTGGTCCACCGTTATTGCTCATTGCCGAACCATCGCGGATCATTGGACCTATACCACCCATCATCGGATTGCCTGGCATCATCATAGGTGGAGGTCCCATGCCTTGCATCACCTGAACTGACATGCTATTCGGGCTTTGCATATAAGGAGGTCCCAAGTTCATAGACATACCTTTTTAAAAAAAGAAGTTCAAATCAAATTTTATTTTAAAAAATTAACAAATTTAATAACTTCTTAAAAACTTCAGAAAAAGTTTAAAAACAAAATTAATGCTAAATAATGCATTTACTGTATTTGAATGCTCACAACTCTTAAGCAATAATAATGATACAATTAAAATTGTATTAATATTTTATTCAAATTAATATTAATATTTAAGGTTTACAAATAAGAAGTATATATTTAGTATAATTTAATTTTAAAGAAATAGAGATGTACGTCTATAAACTATGCTACTTCTCAGAAAACACGCAGAGCTCTGCAATATTTTAATTTTTATATTTTTAATAAATATAACTATTACATAATCGTGTTTAGTAGACTATTTGGAAAATTAAAGGAATAATTGTGAACAATTTTTATAATGTGAGTTTTTTAATTGCAAGTTTAACGAAAATGAGAAAATAGAAAATAGAATTTTTAAAATTACCAACCAGAAATATTGGAGTGATCTTGTACGGGATGTTGTTGCATAGTTGTAGGTATAATTTTTGGAGCTGGATGAACCGAAGCCTCTAGAGCTTTTCGTCGTGGATCAGTGCGAACAAGCGGTGGCGATTTGGGCGTGTCTAATATTTTTATTGGCGGTGGTGACATTGGCGAATCTGCTAGATCATCTTTGCCCAGTCGAAAGATTTTACGTAATCTCGGATCGTATTTTACTTGAGGATCGTTCCTCGTCAGTTTAAGACCTGTGTAGTCAGGCCGAGGTACATCCACCACATACACCTAAAATATAAAACCGATAATTATCATATAAATTATTCTATCAAACTTGGATAGTTTTATACTATATTACACACTAGTTTATGCATAAATAATTTGTATTAATCTGATAAATATTTACATTAAATGAAAAAATAAGCAGATAAAACATTGTATTGGAAACAATCGACTTAGGTTAAAAAATAATTTTAATAAGCAAAATGAAAATAAAAGATAATAACCTTGTAGGATATGGGCGGATGAGAAGTTATGCTTGCATCGATTTCTGTACAAGGTACGTGTGATGGCACAGGCTTAAATGGCAAAGTGAGCATTTGTCTGAGATCCACGTCTCCTGACTTTGAAGCATCAACTGGATAGTGTCCGCCGACTAGCCGCAGATCCGTATCACCAAAACTCGGACCGGGTGGAAAACACCTTAGATCCATATCTTTTCGCCTGTGATCCTGATCTAACTTTGCACGAAGATCTGTATCCATTGCTGCATCTTGGGCTATAATGCCCGAGCTGTAAATGCTCGTCTCTAGCCTTATGGATCGCGACTCCTTACTCTCGGTTTGTTTACCAGTGGATTGACTGGAGTTAGCAGCACTGCCAACAGACTGCCTCTGCTCATCCCTTCGCTGACGAGGGTCGCGACTCATTCGCGGGTCTCTGGATACATTACCGGATTGGCTTGAAACTGCCGTACCTACGACAAATGATTAAACAAATAAATTACAATGATACGTGATTTTTCAAGAATTTTCATAAAGTATTAGCAATATCAACTTATTGTGTATACTATTGACTGTGTATAATCACTTTGGCTTACTTACTAGATGTCCTACTGGGCGATAATCTTGGACTATTGTTACTAGACTCCGATTGTGAATTATCTGACGCAATAGACTTGGTGCTATCTGTATTAGCTTCTTTTCTACTTTTTGGTCCAGACTCTTTATCCTGTTTGAGATTATTCGACGAGCTTTGCGCCTTGATCGAAGATAATAGTTTTGATACTTCCATGCTTATGTCAATTTTACTCAAGTCACCAAGCTTGTCTACAATAGCCGCGGGCTGAGGTATACTTGACGGCTGTATAATAGAGTCTTCTTTTTGTTCCTTACTTTCTTCCTCCTCTTCTTCTTCATCCTTTTGAATATCTTTAAGCACGATTGTTAGTTGATAGTCGTCGTCGTCATCGTCATTATCATCATCCGAATACCAGTCTTCTTGACTGATTTCCTGATCTTCACTGTTTTCCAAATTTTTAAAACTATCTTGCGCTTCTCGCTGTTGCTGCTGTATTCGCATGTACAGCTCTTGTGTCTTTTTTGGTAAATTTGCAGGAATATCTTGGGTGGCTAATGTTGGTGAATTTTTCGGCTTGTCTAGCGAATTATCTGAGATATCTTGTATTTCTGTCAGAATCGAAACATAGAAAAATTAATGTTAGTAATAAATATGTTTTGATATTTATAATCATTGTATTGCCGAATAATAATATAGTTAGTCACAGTTATAATAAAATTTGAAATGTTTTAAAATTACCTTGTAATTTGCCCGTGAGCTTATCCTTATCTTCATCGTCAGTTGGCATTTCAATGACGAGATTCGTCTCTTCTTCACGATCACTTTCATCATCGAGCTTCGACTTGGTAAGAGTTGCTGCTTCCTCTGCAAGACTAACTACATGCGACACTTTGGCATTTGTTGCTCCTGCCAACAATTGTCTCAAATCTATATCTTTTGCAACAGCTTCCACGGCATTTATTGGGCTATCCTTTGCTTTATGTGATTCTTCTTTTGTCTCTCTTTCTTTTTTAATAGGATCATTAGGGCCGCCCTCACCATAAAAGTTCACGGATACCGCACCTCCTATTCGAGTATTGTCTTGATTATTGCCTAATTGTAAACCAAGTTGAGTAGCCGATTGTACAATCATATCAAAAGGAACGCGATCCTCGTCTGAACCCCAGCGCGTTTTTTTTCCAGACAACGATTTTCTGTGCGACGACGTGCTCCTTTCCCGATTCGATGTTTGGTCATCACCTTAAAATTTTAAACAAATTTTAGTTATTTCTCTGAATTATAGTTAAAAATAATAATTATTAAGAACTATTTGACTTGCTAATATAATTAATAATATTATTAGTTCAACTTTATATCGAATATATATAAAATGAATTAATACAAATCAGTTAAATGAGTACATAATATATTTTAAATGTAGAAAGTTTAGTATCTATACACTCCTTGTTAACTGAAGCCTAAATTTTATAAACTAATTATTCTAAAGAATCTTTTTCAATACTTACCATCGTCTTTTCCAGACTCATTAGGTACATTATCATTTGGAGTTGGAACCTTTAGTTCAAAAAGACTCGGAATTTTTTGATTTGATGCATCTTGTCCTTGAGCTAAATTTTTCTCTGTATTATTTATTAAATACATTGCACCTTCTCTACTTAATCGTGGAAAATTTCCTAATATTTCCTTTGGAGCTGTTTCTAAATGTTTTAATAAAATATTTTTCACCTGCAACATAAAAATTAGTTTTTTAATATGTATACACACACACACACACACACACACACACACACACACACACATATATATACACATATGCAATGTCATAATTATATTTTCTTATTTAAAAAATATATAACATTTATTAACACAATAATTCTTATTAAATAGCAGTTGGATAATTTTCCATATATTTAATTTTAACGTACTGTAAAAGATAATTTATTTATTTTATGTATGATATATCATTGAGTATCTGATGTTGATAGACAAAATATTTATCTTTTCAATTTGTTCACAAAATAAATAAAATATATATTAATATTTGAATAAATTAATTCTTTATGATACATTTTTTTAATTTACACAGCTTTTTAAATTTAAAAATATTCAAAATGCAATAATTTTTATAATACAAATTTTATAGTTAGAATTAACACATACCTGCTCACTCATAGATTGATGTGAAAATTTGCAGTTTTCACCAGCATTACATTTTAATCCGGTGTGGAAGAATTTACAAGGAAAATCGTGATGCATGTACAAACACTTATCCCTTTTAGCACAACAATCCATTAGGTAAAACTTGCACAACTCCATCTTTCTTGGTGGTAGTGCATTGTGTGAAAATGGACAATCATCGCCGCGATGACACTTACCCTGCATGTAATATACGCATATTGCATCTGGATCCTGATTATGATCATTATTTTGATTACGACGACTGTTTCGGTCATTTCGAATCTGGGATCTATTCTTGTTTTTTCCACCTCGATCATTCTTAGCACCCCTGCGCCCAGCTGTGACGGAAAGTTTTTTATTTCGGTCTTGCTGTTGCTTCGCTTGCGTCCCTGATTTTGGAAAATTTCGTTGTTGTGCGATTAAAAGACAATTCAGAAACGTTTATTGAAAGCGAAATAATTTAATCTGATTTTTTATTTTTATTTGAGGTTAATTATTGAAGTTTGCATGATAATTTTTATTAGTTATAGTTATCTATAAAGACGTTAAAAATATATCATTTTAAATTAATCAATAGAAAATGATATATTAGTTTTATGCAAATTATCCCATAACAAGAGATAAATTATTTGGTGCATTGGTCGAAACTGTAATTGCTTGAAATAAATATTTTAAAATTTAATTAAAGTTATCTAAAGTAGAATATTAATATATTTACAATAGTTTATTATACAAGAAAATATTATATTATTTAATTTCAAATAAACAATATTTATAGGTATAAAACCAGATTAAAAATGTGATTTCAATTAGTTATTAAATTGTATTTTACTGCAAACAGTGAAATTTTCTGAGAAACTATACAACTAAGGATATTTCCAATTATAAAGCATCCGATATATTAATTTTTCTCTTAATATGATTAGTAATTTATTAAAAATAATTAAAATTTAAATGTTTATTTTAATTTCTTTAATTAAATCTAACAAATTTGTATAATTTTATAAATAACTTTGTATAACTTTTGAAACACATCAATTTGAATTAATTAATTTTATTTCTAAATGAATATATTATTTTTAAAGGTTGTAATTAACTTAATATAAGATTTAAATAATAATAATTACATCTGCCGCCACCTCGTTTGTTGTCTTCTCTATGACGATTAGAAACAGGTCGATCATCATAATCTGAACCGCCGTTGTAATTATCATGATCACCTCCTAGGAGAAGAATTTTCATGGGAGCCCTTTCTAATAGGAGAGGCACCACGAACAAATAACATTTCATCGTCATCTTCATTTGCATTCTCTTCATCGCTTAATTTTTTTTTCTAAAATAAGGAAACATGTATGTTAAGATATATAAATTTAAATGCAATATGTAAATATAAATTTCTTTTAATTTTAAAAATATTAATTAGAGTTGATTAATATATTCAATAAATTATACACAACTTATTATTCTATTATTTGTATTTATATAAAATATTTGTAATAAAATACTTTAATTTTTATTAAAAAAAAATTGAATAATGTTAAGAATCTAAAGTTTGAAAAGATATTCTTGTAAATATATTAACCTTTTGGTCTTTAGAACGTTCATCATCTTTATCTTCATGATTTCTTTTCCTATTTTTATTTTTATTGCTTTTATTTCTAGATTTATTATCATGATTCTTTCCTCTATCTTCTTCGAGTGCTGCCCTAATAGCCTTTTCAACATCTCCAGCCCAATCATCACTGGTTGCACCTTTCTGTCTATTCAATCTATCTGAACTTCCAGACTTTCTATTTTTGCCAAATTTATTATTAAAGCTTTTTTGTTTTGGTGATTCAGTCTTTCCTGATGTAGATTTTGGAGGTTCCAAAGCTGGTTTAGCTGCTTCAACAACCGGAACTGGTTCGTCATCCTCATCAGAGGGTATCTCTCCATCCTCCAAATCATTATCATCATTGCTGTTAGTAAACATTTTATTTAATCCATGTTGTTTTATATGATCACTTTGATACAAAAATATTTATATTAAATAACTTTTCAAACTCTCAATAAAATTTAATAACATTAAAATTATAAAATAATCAAATTTTATTCAGTGTTCAAAATGAAGAAATATTAATACCATGAAATTTGTATATATGCATATGTATGTATATATATATATATATATATATATATATATATATATAAAGTGAGAGAGAGATTATTTAAACATTCTTTCAATTTTTACATTTGATAAACAACATTTAATTTTCATGAAATATTAAATGATATCTATATTTTATAATTAGTTTTATAATTGTCATGTTATTTATGCTAATAATTAATTTAATAATATTTATTAAACATATTTTTTATTTTCAAAATTAATCATTTAAATGCAATGAATAATGTACCAGTTTTTGTAAGTTAATAATAGATACTTCTATGTCATTATTATAAATCGTAAATCTTTATTATTTAAAATTAATTTTAAATTATTTATTTTACTAAAATAACTTTTCATTTTTAATAATAAATATATATATATATATTAAATTTTTATTTATAATTATTTAAAATGTATAAAGTTAATTTTTTTAAAGATAATATTATCAAACGTAATATCAAAAAGTAAATTTAATGTATTGGAAAATGTATAAAATTTTGTATGTTAATAAGTTTTAATTGATCAATAGTTTAAAATATGTAATGGATGGTTTTAGAAAATGTCATTGTTTTGTTAACTATGAAAAAGTAATCATTATAAATTATTAATCATTATTTTTAATCAGCTCTGTTATTTCAGGTATAGTTAAATTGTCGTACGGAGTCATATAATTCGCATAAGGCGCATTGTATTAAGTTCCAAGTGTAGATAATATCGTGTAAATGTAAATCACCTACTATCCACGACAAAGACATTGATCAACTCTCACTAGCGGTTAATTTTCTACAGCGTAAATTGGATCGATGCGTGACCGCTTTTTCATAATCACGGTGATTCGAAATTCTTTCATTTCTCATGTAAATTGAGTTTCCTGTTTTTATTATATTTTATTTATTTAAATAAATGAATTACTTAATAATATAAGCGATATTGGTTTATCTTCTATACTAAATTACAGCTTTAATATAAAAAAACAAGTGAAAAAAAAAACAAAAGAAAAAACAAAAAACTTATTTTAATTAAAATTTTTAAAATATTTCATTTAAAAAACTCATAAGAGCATTTTAACTTATGCATTTACAACTTATGTATTTATATGATTGTAACTGAAATTCACATTTCATAACATTGATTTTCAGTTTATAGCCCTTTGACGCGATTGTTTCGTAAAATGCATACATGTTGCCTATTTTCTTATTATCCGATTTCTTATTTAAATTTAATAAGGTGTAATTGAACTATTTTTTATTTTTTACATGCTTACTTGATTTATATTTTGCTTAAAAAATTAATGTCAATGTCTATTTTTCAGTGTTTTATGTAATGAATTTCTTTAATATTTTATGCATGTTTATATTTTTAATTTATTATAAGCTAAAAATAGCTTATTATTCATAGAAAAATGTATTATGAAATTATATATATTAATATTAAAAGCTTTTGGTATCTAAATAATATTTATTTGAAAGAAAATGGTAAAAATTAAATACTTTTAATCAGTATTGATATAAGCATCGTTAATTTTCCATTGTTCATATAAAGCTGATCATCATATAAATCAAAATCCAAATAAATCGATTCTACACGTAATAATATAAATAAAATTGAGTTGTCTTACCAAACTGCAAACTTATCATTAATTCGTGGTCATCATCACTGTCATTTTAAAGATCAAAACATCATCATACTATGACATGATTATTAACAAGTTTAATATTTTTTTGCATAATTTTTGCAAATATTTGTTTTCCGAAAAATTATCATCATTTTCATCATAAGCATATATAATCATCATTTTGACCAGCATCGCCATTATCATTGTCATCTCAATCATCAAATTGATTACCGTTACTGTTGCTATTTTTCAACAGCTTTTAATATCACTGGAAACCTTGACGTAGCCACAATTATGTACATAATCGATAATTTTCTTAAATGAGCGGCTAATGAAGAGGAAGTCTGTTTCGTTATTTGTTAGATGTAAGTTAATCGTATAGGTGTCTGCGGTATATCATATATTGTATTTGTTTTACGAGTTGTAGAAGTCAAGAAACGAAAAATTCAAAGCTTATCACTCACAGTCGTCGCCTCATCGTATGTCTTGTTGAATGATAAGAATTTTAGTGAAAAACAAAACATTAATCTGTATTTTGTTATTAAATACGCATTAGCTGTGGTCTAAGATTTGAAACTGGCACGGTTTTTGACAAATATTATGTTTGATTAAATTTTTTTGAATAAAAATGAAGAAAAATAAATATAAAAAATTGTTAGTACATGAATTACATGCGCTATTGTACGTATATTAAATTTTTTTTTTAACTACTACGATATTTAAATAGAATTAAAATATTATATTATAAATATATTAAAATAAAATTTATTATTTATAAATTTAATTTGTTTTTTTATTATTCATTTATTAAATTATAATCTTGCAACATTTTCAGATACTATTTTAAGATATGAATACTAAGTATAAGCTGTGCTTGTAATTACTCTTTTTATAAAGAAAAACAATTTAATTATAAATAAAAATAAATACAGAATTTGTAAGCAAATATTCTAAACTGGCATTCCTTTACTTATATTTGATTAATTTCAAGATTTCAATATCAATCTTTTTACTCTATTTACAATGATAATTTGTAAATGCTTAAAAGTAAAATAGACGAATATATATTTGTGTATTGAAATAAATATTTCAATTTGCACGTGTAACAAAATTTCATTTAATTGCGACAGTGTTATGATTATTTTACCGATAATAATACACACACACACACATATATATATATATATATTATAAAGAAATGGAAAGTATTTAAAAAATAATTTTGAGGGTAGAATAAAATAGTCGTACACCTAAGGATAGATGAACAATCAATACATACAATAGCTCTATATAAGTATTTCATAAAGTAACTTTTTTAATGTGCTTAGATGCCAAATGAACATTGAACTCCAAATGGAGAACGCATTCGTGCGATCGCGTTCTTCTTTCAATTCATTATCTTATTTTGATATAAAGTAGTGAACAATACGTAACACTGCACATTAGTTAAAGGACGCGCTAGAGCAAAATTATGTATATGTGGATAGTTTATAGAACAAAGTCCGAAAAAATATATATCTTCTATGATGTTCGCGAATGCAATTACCATGTTTAATTTATAAATTATTTTAGTTATTTTAGATTTTTAATAGATGTTTATAGATGTTAATAAATAGATTTTTAATAAAAATGAAGTACAAGATATTACAGAAATCACTCTAACTAATCAATAAATTTGATACCATTTAATTTTATTTTAAGTAAGATTTTAATATTATTCGATTATTCTATTAGCGAAATATAAAATTTATAATAAATAACTTTGAATTGATAAAATCTATATTAAAATTAATAAAAAAAAAAAATTATAAATATAAATGTTTCAAATGACTTTGAATTTGAATGAATATTGGTCAATATCACATCATTTAAATAGGTAAGATATTAAATAATACAATACCCACAATGTAGCAGAATTGTTTAATTATAAGAAGCTCGTTAGTCGTGTATGTATATCCAGTTTTTCTTTGTTTAATGATAAAGTGTACAAATGTTCATTGTCAAGTTAGTTTATAATTGCATAAGTATGCGAACAGTTTTGTAATAAGTCCAAAGTATCGTTATAAAAGTATCAGGGATTCGCGCGATTTCTCACGTAAAATGCATGATAAACGCGAAAAGCAAGTTTAAATCTTGAATCTCACGTGAGCAAACTGTACTAGTTACTTATGATAATTAATCAGACTGATATTAGGATGCATTATGTTTTCAAATACAATATTACTTTCTCTCTCAATTTTTCAGTCTATATATAAATAAATAAAAAAATAAATATTAATTAATTAATTTATTTATTTATATATATATATATATATATACACATATTATTTTATGAAGATATTAATATATAAAAAATAATTAGGCAAACCTTTGAATTACAGTCTCGGACGCCGAAACACTTTCGAGGGCCATAATTTTTTAATCGTTATTCTTTTAATATTTATTTTTACGAAGAAATAAAAACGATCGATTGGTGATCGAACGTTTGTCTTTTTCTCGTTTTTCTACGCCATACGTCACTATGTATCGTCGTTGTCTCCCTGGGACGTACATATATGTACGTATATATTATTCTGCGTGTGTATGTACTTGTTTAGCGCGATGCAAGTTTTTGCAAAATAAAAATGTCGGCTGTTAGTATGTCTCCTTCTCCATTTTGCAAAGTGTGTACGTTTCGTTTTACTCTTTTCCACCTCCTGTTATACAACAAAAGAAAAAAATAAGACTGAATATTTTAAGCAATCGTTATCTCAAAACTAATTCAGATAATTAATTATAACTAAAAACCGTTTTTCTTTTAAATATAAAAAAATGTGAACCACTTTTATTAAATTTCGTTTTTATCAATAGAATTTTTAGTATTATATTACTATCACATTATCTCGGGCTTTTCCTCTCATACTCTTTATAGATTATTTTCCATTAGAATCCGATCATCGTTACGCATAGAAACAAACAAAAAACGTTTGTTGTATGCTCTGCATTAGGACAAAATTCTAACGATATAACGTTCACATACGCCTGATAACAAGTGGGTCTTTCTTTCTCCCTTTTCCTTCCGCCTTCCATCTCACGTCAATTTTATTAATACTTGAGATCGAAATATCAATAACCCATGTATATTGACATAAAGTGATCAGGTCAAAAATTCGCGAGTTTCGTAGTTGCTCTACAAACATACACAAAGGTTTAAGTGAGCCGTTGTACGGTACGCTCGCGACTTACACACGCATGCATACGCAGTCAGCAAATGTCATCGGAATATCAACTGCGATTTCTTTTTCGCTACGGCAGCTCCAAAAGTGAGCCACCACCCTATTGCTTGCTACACCCGACGTGGCACACGCCTACCTTATTATCTATATAGGTAGACAAAGCATGCGTGAGCCCCCGGGTACGTGACCTTAAACCGAATATTGTTACAGTCGCTGAATTTTATAAGAACGAGGGACTCTTGTGTGCGCGCGTGTATTTCCGTTCACCACTAAGAAATAAAAATCGGTTATTAAATAAACAGTCGGTCGTGTTTATATTTACTACTCTATACGTCAATTATTACACCGTTACGCGATATACACATTCGTAATATTGCTAATATTGCAGTGTTCATCGTATGCACCATGTATGCGTGAATTTAATATCAACGTAATAGACTCATAATTTGCATTAAATTTTCAATTAAACTGCATATTCAAAATTTTATTAGCCTTACAGTCGAACGATTTTAATGTGAATTCACGAAAAATACGAGATTTTTTAAAATCATATATATATATATGCATACACATTCGCACACAAATATCTCGTTAATTGTAATGTAAAAATATCTTTTCGCCAAATACTTCATAATAAATAAAACGGAATCTGAAAGCAAAGTTGAGTGCACTCAATAAAGAAATTATAATAACAATAAAAGGAGAGCAATGAGAAACTCCACATTTTTACACGAACACGGAAACACACGGAAATTAATCCAACGCCTATTTATTTGAAATTTTATTTGAAAATTACTTAAAAAAAAATAGAGTTGTGATTATTAAGTATTTTAAAGTTCTAGTAACAATAAATCATGTTTGATAATATAATACTTCATACATTAAAATATTACAAATTTTAAAGGGCATTTATTGCATTACATCAGTCTATACATTTATTTATTGCACATGAATAAATCCTTATTTGCGAACAAAAGAAATTCTGTATTATTTTTTTTTTTAATAAAATTTTCCTTGGTGATTATATATTTTTAATCCACGTTTTTATTTTTAATTTTAATTTTATTACAAATAAAAAATAAAAAATGTATCTAAAAATTAAAAAAAAATTTCTATTCGTTTCAAATATGGTCAATCGTAACATAAATTTTTGGAGCAAAAATTCTGGAAACTAATCTACAAGATACAATGAAAATATTTTGAAAGAAAAACTCCACCACAACTAATACATAATAAATCATTGACTTTTTACTCCAATAATTTAAATAACCGTTATACGACATTACGTACGTGTTAATCTGAAATTTAGAATGTTCAGAAGTATTATATTATTTGTATACTGGTTGATCAATTATCAAAGGACCACCTTAAAATGTCACTCTTTTTCGACTAAGAAGCCAAAATGTATCAATCACTGAAAAGTCATTAAAGAAAACAATATAAAATTAGAAAAGAAAGTAATATTAAGAATACCTCGAACAGTCAAATCAAATTGACCACCCTGTATACTATTAGTGTGTATATACCTACTTTGCATGAGTATAGTTGACCTAATGTGTGCTACTGTACAACACTATGTATCATATATGCATGTATATGTACACATTGACGGAATCTCGATCATCGGATATAATCTGCGCCTCATTATTTTGTCAAACATGTATAGCTGTCATTTTACATAAGCACTCACACGTTCCTATATACACATATACGTATATATATGCATATAGATATATATATATATATATATATATATATATATATATATATATATGCATATACACATGTTGTGTAGCGTCGTCGTGGGCGCATATATATATGCATTTGTCGATTATTTAAGGGTATTTTAGAGTTCTTCCCTCCTTTTTCTCTCTCTCTCTCTCTTACTTTTTCGATCTTGAAATTTTTCAATTGTTAAAATAAATGAATTTAAAATTTGATTTTTACGTCTTATTATGCATCAGGTGCTTTTTATGCGCGCGAGCGTAATTCGATTAATTCTAAAACGTACAAAAGGCCGTGATCATAACCTGATATCGATTGCCTGCTTCGTCACACTCCCTCCCACCCAAGGGCAATTTTTCTGTGGCTTCTTTTCCCCTACCACCAGCATTTTCCACGCAAACCGGATAAAATCCAACCTCTTCGCACACACACATACTCATGTCCAAATATATAATGCATGCATCCATATATATATATATATATATATATATATATATATATATATATGTGTGTGTACGCATATGTCTCTCTCTAACTCATACCATATAATTTTCATAATATTGAGCCTGGCGCGCGTGCATGCAATTCGTGTAAGTGACGGCGTATAGGAGAGTCTATATGTATAGCAATGCGCGCGCACGTGTGCGTCTGCTTAAGGCGTCACGGTTTCACGAATAACGGATGTAATGCAATGCCATTTGTATATCTATATTTTAACACTTTTAAAAAAAATGTATAGATATACACTTTAAATGGTAAAGCACTACACCGTAACACGAGTAATATTACTAAATACGAATTAATTATTCAATCAAAAAAGGCTGTGTAATGGCCGTTTCGGATTGCAACGATTTCTCGGAAAAACTTACGAACCAATTATTTAATTGTTTTTGGCATGAAAATTAGTTGAATTAATAGTCTGCAGTACTTATAACACAGCGTCAAGGAGATGAAGAAACGTGTGCATGCACTTATGAGTGCACACGTTTCAATGTGTATGTGTGTGAGCGCGTTCATCTTCTGTCGTCGTTGCGTGCGCAGCTGGGCGATATCCAAAGGAGGCCCGAGACGATTACCCGAAAAATGGCCGATCAATGGCTTTTTCAGATATTCTATATATATATGTCGTACCGTGAATGTATATGATGTTCCACAGGGCAATAATTTTACGATTTTACTATCTTCTTCTGGAGTCAAGTCTCGCGCGCCGTTTAACTGCCGTTAATTTTAAAGTTCTTTTAACGAAAAAAAAAATGTCGCTTCTTTTTTCTACAACGAAGAAACGGAGGCGAAAAAATTTCTGTCATTAATGAGATGAGAGGTAAAAATGAATTGTGCTGATTAAAGAAGTAAAGGGAGATGGCCAGACAGACAGACAGACAGGCACAGGCACAGACAGTCAGACAGACAGACAGTCAGACAGACAGACAGACAGGAGAGAAATTGACACGCATATATATATGTATATGCACAAATATATATACACATATGCATGCATATATATATATATATATATATATATACAACAGGACTTCCCAGGCTTCTATTTGTGCGAATTTTCTTCACGTTGTAAAAGAAGCCAAACATAACACAAAATAAAAGAACGAAAAATCATTGGCTTGATCGTTTAAGTACAAGCGCGTTTGATACGAGAATCTTAAAAACAAGATGTCGCGAAGCAGTCGGAGAAAAAGGCGGATACACGCGCGCGTCTTCCCAAGGTTTCGTAACCAAAAAGAGGACAAGGAAAACCGTAGCAGAGCGAGCGAGCGAACGAACGAACGAGCGTGAGCGAGAGAGCGAGAGAGCGAGAGAGAGAGAGAGAGAGAGAGAGAGAGAGAGAGAGAGAAGTAACTGTGGACCCGACGAACGCAGAAACAATGAACGAATGAATACCCGAAATCACGCGACGAAGTACAAATTATAATCGTCGTCGTTAGAATCCTGATTAAAACATTGTTAAAACATCGTCTCAGAAAGAAATGCGATAATTCCGGGGTAAGATTAATTAAGAGAAAAAAGAAGGTGTGCTTCGGTTATTACAATTTTTCAGTTTATCCGGGCAGCAGTGAACAGCAGGCAAAATCGGTTTGTTTTTTTGCTTATAAGATTCGTATTGTTCTCGAGCAAAAAATAATCAAAGTCGTAATATATTATGATGAGTCGAGCGAAACTTCAAAGTTTTAAACTAAACATGGCCACATCTGGAACTATTCTGAGGATCGGAGCAGCTCCGCGGCGCAGCCCAGCAGCAGCGACGTGCGTCACCCGGAACGGCATTCACTACTCTCCTTCTCTCTCCCTCCCGATCACGCGCGCGCGCTCTCTCTCTCTCTCTCTCTCTCCCTCCCTCCCTCACTCTTTCTCTCACTCGGTCTTTTTCTATGACTCCTGCTGCCACTGCCGCTACTCGTTCCCTCGACCCCACGCCCCTTTGACGGGGCAACTTTTTCTTGCTCACTCGCACTTGCAGCCGACTTCGGCCAACGAATGGGGGACGGAAGGACACAGCTCATGGATGGGATAGACGCGCAAGTTTGACCAATGGGAACGCACTCCTCGCTTACCACGTGACCTGCTTTAGGCGCCGTGAGTCTTTCTCCGTTCTGTCGTTCATATTCTCGCTCCTCGATTCTTAGCTTAGGCTGTTTTTACAATGAGTCCCGTGTCCCGTTGGTCTCGTGAACTTTCATGATCTCTTCTGGAGCACGATGCTAACGCTGCAGTTCCAACCCGTGACTTTTTTAAGCGTGCAAGCAAACTTGCTCACAGACGCGCCCCTCGCATATGCACGTGGCGACACTCGAGGACTAGTGGACAAACGCCATTATCCCAAGTGCTCGTCAATTTTGAAGCCGCGCAAATTCCTGCGCTATGTAAATATGCGTATATGCGCATATGCATACGTGTACATGCACGAATGCACGTATGCATGCATAAAATTGCATACAAGAGCTTTCCCTTCCTCCTGGTAGCCTTCTCTCTGCACTAGGAGCACACGTCTATCTTTTCACGAGGTCAATCGTCACAACCATTACCAAGCTCCGTTAAAACTCTTTGGTTGCATAGTATAGCAAAAATTAAATGGACTGTATACGTTAAATACAAGCTAATCCCAGCCCACTTTTTCTTACAATGAAAAAATTATCTTTGCACGAACAATTTTCAATACAAGATCTTTCATTTGAAATAAAACCATTTTTATAAGCTTACATTGTTCATCTATTTTTTATTCTAAAATATATAGATAACTTGGCAAACTTTTAACAATTTTCATAAATACTAATAATTTACTACTAATATCATGTTACACTTTTCTTACAATCCTACTTTTATAATTTTGTAACGATATATATATATATATATATATATATATATATATATATATATACATAGGCAGTGTAACTTATAAAATTATGAATTGTATTTTTCAAAATATTTTTTAACCAACATCAATAATTTAACAATATAATTATTAATTTGTACAAGTAGAATAAAACAATTCATTTTTGGGTTTAAGAAGTAAAATATAAAGTTATAAATATATGAATTTTGCCCCCTTACTCTTATATTATTATATTTTTATTTTGTTGCATAATACATGAATTATTTCTCTCACTTTCTCTCCCTCTCCCTCTCACTCACACAGTCACACTCTCTCCCGCCCCCACGCTCACGCCCTCTACCCTGCTCGCTCTCGCGCTCACTCGCTCTCTCTCCGGTCTCTACGTTCGCTCTCTTACTCTTTCACCCGCCTCAATGCTCGCTCCCTTTCCCACGCTCCCTCTCAATCGCTCTCTCTCTCTCTCTCCCTCTCACTCCCTCTTTCTCTCTCTCTCCCCCTCTCTCTCTCTCTCTCCCTCTCTCTCCCTCTTTCTCTCTCTCTCCCCCTCTCTATCTCTCTCTCCCTCTCTCTCTCTCTTTCTCTCTTTGAAAATATATATATATATATATATATATATATATATATATATATATATGATGTAAAGCTAATAAACAATAATAGGATACACTTGCGCACCTACCAACTTCTTCCTAATGTAAATTAAGAGCGCCATTTTTTAAATTTATTCATTTACATGCTGACTTTTTTTTTAAATTAATCAAAATTTTTATAAAATTAAAATCAAATTAAACGTACATGTTTTATCAAAATAACCAATTCCTGAAATAAAGATATAATTTATTTTCAATAATCGTTTTCATTTTTATTTTAGAAACAAAGTTGAAATGATTATTTAAATTTTCACATATATTTCATTCTAATGATTTTGAATCTATTTTTTAATCATTACTATAATTCAAAATATAGTAATTAATTTGTATACTTTATGAATAAGATAGTTAACTTATATATCACTTAATGAATATTTAGAAGTTTTAGCTTTTATTTTGTTAGTGAAATTTAAAGAATATAATATGAATATGTGATAGAATCTATTTTTTTATGTTACGAGTAAGAAAACAGTAAATATATATTGTTTAATGATATTTACATTACAAATTCTATATAATTGCTTAATCATTTCATATCGCGTACTGAAAATTATTTAATTAATTTTTCAGTTTCAATCTTTAATTGTTCTCATATAAAATAGTTACAACTATTGAATGTATGTTATTAAGAAAAGAAATTTCAAAAACCTTTAAAATTTTGATAATTAATATATATGGATAAAAACTACTAAATATATAATTACAGGTCAATTTAAAGTTCTTGTTACCCCACGAATTTTATTATTTTTTTTTTTTTTAATCTTAGATAGGAAATGATGGTTCTTCCAAATAATTTTATAGAAATTTAATTTTTTCTAATTTATTAAAATAAAATTGATATAAGTAGTTTGAAGAACACAATTTTTTTAATAGAAAAAGATATTAGCTTTCGTAAAATACGTAAATCATTATAATTATTAAATTTATAGATCCATAATTTTGTTGTCTTTAAGCTCAATATGCAATTACCGTTTATTTTGGTAAAGGCTGAATGATATTTATAGATTAGAATATACTATATAATAATTTCTGTTACAATCTTGTGAATTATGAATAAGGTTATTTAAAGGCTTCTTTAACATAATGGTTACATATAATTAAGCAATTATAATTTTCTATTTTTAGTATATTTAATTTATGTATAATACATATAACTATCATACTTTGAAGAATCACCAATTCATATAAAATATCCAGAAAGTTATACATTAGTTTCGAACAATTAAAAAAAAAAAAAACCAATAAATTGTGTTTAAGCATGTTTGTAATAAATTTTCAGTTAAAAAGAAGAAATATATTATTTACGTTAATATTGTTAAATTAAAAAATATTATTTCATGCTTACACGATGAATTATATTCGAAATATTATTTATGTCTTAAAAGTAGAAAATTATATTCTTTAAATTTTAAGTACAAATTTTTAGAATCGAGAAAATTTTTAATTTCAATAAAAACATTATTTTTCATAAATATATGTAAAACAGCGATATAAAATCATAATTGTACAAATATTGTAGTATGGTTTGTAGTCTCAATTATAAAAATGATTTAGATTCAAGTCAGGTTAATTAATAGATTAAAATTTGCTTAAATATTGTCTTTATTTTTATTAATTGGTAATATTCTAACACTTTCAACAGTTAGTAAAATTACCAATATTAAACACAATTAGATGACAAAAAAAATTAATTGTTAATATTTCATATGTTCTTATTGTAAATCTTAATATGCATTTTCTAAATTTTTATTTAAAATTAATTCAGACATTGCATTAAAATGATAAAATATTAATTTTAAATATGTTATCTTTATATTAAATTTGAAAGTCTTGCTTAGTTAAGGTAATGAATAATAATAATAATAATTATAATAAAGTTATAAGTTTTAATAAGTTACAACGTGCTATTGTGTAATTATAATTTTATTATGATAAATGTTTTTCTTTTTCATTTGCGGTTTATAATTAATGTATAATGGGAAATATAAAAATATAATTCATATTATGAATTTGCTCAATATTTTTAAGAAATGTTAAATTACCAATGTAAATTTTTAAAAGCAATTACAATTTTATGAATTAGATTGTGATAATTTAATGAATCATGTAATCAAGTAGTAAAATATTCTATTTCTAATAAGAATAAATTTATTAATAAGGTTCTAATAAGGTACTAATTTTTTAATTTTAAATGTGTATACATTTTCAAGAATATTTAAAGATAATTTAGAATCTTTTAAAAATTATTTTCCATTAGTTTCGATTATATTAGTAATAAAAAATTATATTTTAATTTAAACAGTTTACATCTAATTGTATTTTAATAATATTTAATTTAATAATAATTTAATTTAATTATAAGTATTTTAAAATAAAATTTAATATTAAATTAATGTATTATAATATTATTTGAGTCATTGATGATTTATTTATTTTAAATGTATAATAAATACAAGATTGCCTTTGATTAATTTTTATTTGTATTGAAGAATCATAATGATTATTGAATCACTTAAAATATAAATTTATTTAAGAAATTGAGGCAATTAATTACTTAAATATCTTGAATACTCTATTCTTAATTTTGCTAAATTCAACAAAAAAATATACATACTGAAAACGGTAATTTAAAACGATAATTGGCGTACGTGACTAATGATAATTATGTAATTTGACTAGGGCAGATTTGAGTTTATTACTTTTTTTTATTCAATATATGATAATTGGATATAAAACGGCAAGTTGTAATGCGTAAGTATCCATTAAGTTTACTTGTAATTATTGTTTGATTACGGAATCAGAAATGTTTAAAAACAATTTTCTCACGAAATAATTAGATTATAAGCAGATGCATAAAAAAGCTGTAAGATTTAATTCATTAGAGTATTGATCAAGAGGAAATTGTTTTGCAATTGTTTATTCTAAGTTTAGTGATAAATTTAATAACATTTATATAAAAATATATTTATAATTTTATTCAATATTATATAATTCCGCGTAATATTGAAGCTACCTATTAATATATATTGTTTAAAAATACAAATTTGACGAAAATACCTAAATAGTACATTAAATATAAAGTAAAATATTAGAATAAAATGTATATATATATATATATATATATATATATATATATAAATGTACAATTAATTTGAAGTACAATACTCAACTTAATAAATAATTTATATATTTTAAAGATCATTGATATCATACCTAAACATTATATTAGAACAGGCTTACTTATAATCTTTATGAAAGTTCTATTTTCAAGGCTTGCAGTATTTTTTACGCTTTTTATATTGTAGTCTTACATTTAAAAAAAATAAATGTTACATTTTGGACTGAATATTTGATCACAGAATTTTTGAGCTATTATTTAAATTAATTTTTATGATTATGAATTGACTTGTTCTTGAGATCGATGATGAAATACAAAGGAAATTCCACTAGACCAACATTGCTTTAGTGGTATATCAGGAAGATGCTTTGGATTTTGTGAATGTCTCCAATCTGATAAATCAGAAGTACAGTCAGAGTTCTCAGGTGGACCTTTTACTTCAATTCCATTAATACAGCGCCTACACTTAAATCTAAAATAAATTAATTTTAATTAATTTTTTTAATACTTTAACAATGATTAACAATTTTAATTAACAAATAAAGCTATATATGCTTTTCAATATATATTTATTTAAATAAATTTATATATATATATATATTTATTTATATTTATATATACAATTCATTTATTATCTTTTATATAAAACTTTTATATATTAATATTTATACATAAATTGTTTATTAAAATAAATAATAGTTACTTTGAATGCGTATCAGATGCAGTCAATTCTTCAAGACTAAATAAATCTCTCAAATCGTTTTGGGTAAAATGTCTAGCTACATCTTCATCTTGATCTACTACAGTTGAACTTAAAGCTTTTTTATGTGCTTGTCTTTGAAAGATTTTTTCTTCTATCGTTCCAGTCTATAATAAAAAAAATTAAACTATTATTATAATAATATAGTACACTACTAAAGTAATGTATTAACAACAGTAATTAAATTTTATAAAAATGTTAAAATTACAGAAAGGAAACGGTAGACAAAACATGGTTTTTTCTGACCATCCCGCCAAACTCTAGCCATGGCCTGATCATCATTTGCCGGATTCCAATCAGGATCAAACATAACAAGACGATTAGCACCAACCAAATTTAAACCACATCCACCAGCTTTAGAACTTAACATAAATATAAATTCATCAATATCTGGATTATTAAAATTATCTACAATTTTTGCTCTTTTTTTTATATTCATTGTTCCATCAAGTCTTACATAGCGGTATTTTCTTTTGGTACAAAGTTTTTCAAACAAATCTAAGGTTTGTGTATAATTTGATACTAAAACTATTTTATCAGTTGTTGTAGATCTTATAAAAGCTAATAAACAATCCAAAACCATTAGTTTACCAGATAATTCAGGCATAACATCTCTGTCAAATAGAATTGCAAATTTTAAAAATATGTTCTATACATCTCAATGGCTTTTTTAAGTAATTTAACTTACTTTGCATTATAATTGGAAGGCAGCAATGTTGCAGCACCTTCAAACCCATCTGTGTTTTCCTTAATTTTATCAAATATTAAATCAGGGTGATTGCACAATTTCTTAAGTAAAGTGATTGCAGATAAAGCTGAAAGACTACCTTTTTTATCAGAGCCATCTTTTGCTAAATAAAAACATTAATAAAATCAGTACAACAATTTAATAATCAAATAAATAATTTTACAAATTAAGTTCAATTACCTGTTTATTTAGCAAAGTAATTATTAAAATTAATTTGTTAAATATTAATTAATTATTCATTTATAAAAAAATATTCCATTAAATAGATCAAAGTAAAATTATTAAATTGTAATTATCATGTTTAATATAAATTTATACTAAATATAATAAAAATTTAATTGATTTACTCAAATTTTTTTTATTAGAGCTTGACATTTATATTATATTCTATATTAAAATAGCTTGATATGTTTAAATATTTAAAAAATTTACCTTGCATTGATCTCTTGATACTTTCACTTTTGATAAAATTTTTATAAAGTTTTGTCTGTAGTTCTGTCATTTTTATACAAACAACTAATTCATATTTTAAAGGTAGATACTTAGATAATAATGCACTAGTTCGTCTTATAAGACATTTATTTACAATTGTTACTAATTCCGTCAATCTTTCTTGTGCAATCTGGCGTTCTTTATCTGTTGCACCAGCATCTTGTCCTCGAAGAATTGGATTTTCAAATTTTTTCCTAAATTCCTATGATTATAACAAAATAACTTGTTTTTTACTTAAGCTTAAAAAATATTTGAGAAAATTCATTTTATATGCATAAGTTTTATAAATTTACCTGAGCTGTACCTAGTAGCCCTGAATTGACGAAATGAATTAAAGAAAAATATTCTAATAAATCATTTTGAATAGGTGTTCCACTTAATAATACTCTTCTTTTTGCTTTTAAACCCATTAAAGCTTGATACGTTTGATTTTCAGAATTTTTTAATCTATGACCTTCGTCACATAAAACTAATCCTACTTCATCTTGATGTAAAACATGGGCATGTAATCTAAAAGTCTCATAACTAATTATAAGAATAGGATTAGCACATCGACGTCCGTAGGTTTTCATAAATCCAGTTAATTTTACATCTATATCGGATTTACTACCACCATCAATTGCAAGTGGCTTTACTCGATTGTTAAGCCATTTATAAATCTCATTATACCAATTTTTTACTAATGAACTTGGAGCAACAATAATAGCTTTTTCAATTAATGGTTTTGCTTCAGGACTTTGCTTTAAAAGAGTCCATAGAAGAGTTATACATTGCAAAGTTTTACCAAGACCCATTTCGTCTGCCATAATGCAACCATAAGTATTTTCTATTCTTTTGCCAGTAACACATTCGTACATAAATTTTACACCTTCTCTTTGATGAGGACGTAATACGTTGCATAAAAGGGGGTCAACAACAACATGTACAAGTTTTGTATTTCTGAAAATTAAATTATACTTCTGAACATATAGATGAAAAAATTATAAACAAACTACTATATTTGTCCACTATTATATTAATTACGAATATTTAATTTAAATTATTCTTTTATTAAATATGATTAGATTCATTATTATTTATAATAAGGAATTATATTAATTTTAAATGAACCATACAATTCAGTAATTTTTTCTTATACCTATTTATAATCAAATATTATATATTTCAAATTTTGCTTACACTAAAATAATTAATTTTCCATTTAACTTACTCATCAATTTTTAAATTTTCGTGTACAGACATTTCAGGAGGTGTATAAACAACAAGAGCATTAGCTTCATCAGGATCATGTAATGCTCTCCTTGGCCCAGCAAAGCGAAAACCAAGTGCACGACCACTAATTTCATACCCAGGAATTGGAATTTTAAATGGTTTACTTAACAATTTCTTTACACGTTCTTCCTACACATATAGATTAATAAAAAATATTTTTTCAAAAATCTATAATATAAAAAATACTTACATGTTCTGATATGACTTCTCGAACAACAGAAATATCATCCGATGATAGAGCACATAATTTACGATCAGAAATTTGGACATCTTTTTCTATCCTTCTTCGTTTATTTTCTTTATTAGAAATTTTATATTGAATATGTTGTATTTCAAACTCCCTGATCACTTGACTGCTAATTTCACTAAGTAAAGGACGTTTACCTATTTTACTTGGAGCTTGGGATCTAAACTAAATAAATAATAGTCAAATAATTAAATTCTTCACTACTTTAATATTTATTTATAATTTAAACATTAAATATTCCATTACAACATAAGCAATAATTCTTAAATAGGTAATAAATAAAAAATTTATACTAAATTTGGATAAAAATATCAAGAAATCATTAAGATATTTTAATTAATTTTGAATTTAGCCTAATAAGAAAATAATCATTTTTTAAAATAATTATCAGTAAACATAATTTTCTTCAATATTAATTAATTTTTATCATAATAAGGACTTGTAATAAGAAAAAATAGTATCAAATACGTCTAATATAAATTTAATAGCAAAATTACTATGTCAATATTTATATTACGATTTTTTATATTTCAAGAGGTTAGTTTAAGAAAATGTTTTAAACTAAATAAGCTATTTATTATTTCCAGTATGTCAACTTAAATATTAAACAAGACCTTAATTGTATATACTTTTTTACCATAATTTTGAATTATTAAGAACAAATTTCCTAAATTACAAGTAATAAAATAAATTTATAAAACTGGCATTGCGCGCGCATTCATTTTTCAAAACCTTTTTGGAATTTGTTCTATATTAAATGCATCTAACGCCACCTTACGATAACCTGTAAGATTGACAAATCTATATTTCAATTAATATAATATAATAATTATAATAATCTTTATTTTAAATTTAATAAAGCAAAATCAAAAAGTAAATTATTTAATGTTATTTTCTAAAAAACTTTACGATTATTTGACTAATTGGATTTCAATAAACCTGTTGATTTAGTTTTTGAATAGTGAAATCAGAAAAATTAGAATTTCAATTTTCAAACTATTTAAAGGCACTTGCATACTGATCTTATTTTTAACGACCTCATTGTGCAACGTAAATAATTTTATAATACATATTAAAGAAGGAAATAAAAAGTATTTGAACAGATTTGATTTTTTATGGGATAAATATTTCATACTACATTAAATTACCGATATAATGAAAATAATTTAATTGAGAATTTTCTATAAAATTTATTCTAAAATAAATTCTATATCAAAATTTATGTTAGGAAAAATGAAACTTTTAATTATTGCAATAAAGAACGAGAAAAGTATTATAATATATAATAATATATAATGTATACTAATATTATCTATTGTAGTACTTTCCGTAATTAAAATCTAACTGAAATAGATCGCTGAATTAAAGTGTAAATAAATTTAATATTTTATTAATAGCATATTAATAATTGATACTCAAATTATTTTCACTTCCAAATCGAATAACAATAAAAAATTATTGTAATATATTCTTATAAATACAAATGTAAAAGATTTTGTTGAATTGGCATTGTTGAAACGAAAATAAATTTATCGTTATCATACCGTATTATTTATTGTTTGAATAATAAATCAATAGGCAATGATATTATTTACTACATACAAGAATTGAATTTTTAGTATGTGTTTAAATAAGTATATTAATGTTAATTATCATAGCAATCAATATTATAATAAAATTTATAAATAAATACAAAAATTGATGTATGTATAATTTATTAGTACGCAACTACAAATAAATTTAATATATATATATTTCTCACACAACGACCAATTTACATTAATTTGTTTTCTTCGAAAATTTCAATCAGTATGATAAATATAACGATAAAACATAATATTTTAGTAATTTATAATTGTATCTAGAGCGTTATATTTATAAATAATATAATACAATTTTTTTTTTTAATTAAATTAATTTAAAATAATTCTATTGAGATTTAGTATCAATAAATTGTTTCAAGAGTATTTATGAATCTTTCAAAATGCCTTCATAGCCTACTATACAAAATACAAGCATTATCTTATGGATGCTTCTTTCTATTTTTTGAGTATAACATTTATAAGTAGTTTTTTGAGTCCAAAACATAGTCTCTGACAACGTTCATAATTTACATATAACAAAACATTAACGAATAATATTTATAAGCCAGATGAAGACAATTTCAACATTTTTCTCATTGGTTTAAATTTAATTAAATAATCGAATCCTATATGTAAATAATGCAGAGAATGTTTTAGCCAGACAATATTAGAATTGTGTCGTTAAAGAGAGGACTTTATTCTTTTCTACGGTAAGCGATATAATGGGAAGTACAGGAAGATCTGTGCGCAGGTGGCGCCCTCATTGAAAAACATAAGAAACAAAGTTTTCCAAGTAATGGTGAGTCGAGGAATTTTTGTATTTAATTTATGGAACAGTATGATGGTTCGGGGGGAGAGCTCCTCAGTTAATAACCTATTTATTAATTACGAATAAATAGACTAAGAAGTTAATACTAGATAATGTGTAACTAATTGAAATTTTCTACAATTTTAAGAACTGAACATTTTTTTAAATTGTCATAAATGTTTCTTAAAAAAGTAGAAATCGTTTAAGTGGAAATTAATTTTATTGTCAGTAATTCTTTAAAATTAACAGAGAGAATGTCAAAACGAAAACAATCATTTCATAGTCATATGAATTTTAATTTTCGACCAAATTCAATGCAAGAAGATCGAGGTGGAACTCGACCCATTGCTGCACCAAGTTCAGTTAGTTTAGTTCTAGTAACAATGATCGTTCATATTTGTAAAAAATCCTTGCTTTATGATCCACGACTGAAAGCTGTAATTTATTTTGCAGTTATTTTTATTGGATCTATTATAGCAGATTTTATACCCATACCCAAAACATACTTCGCTAGATCAAATAATATTTTGAATAGATTCTTTATAAAGTGGGCTTGGGGTTGGTTATTAACAACGGCTGGTCCTTGGGTTATACTTACAGCATATACAATAGGATGTGGAAGAAGATCAATACTTTTAAAACATTTAACACGTTTGATATTTGCAACATTGGCATGGATGTCCTGGATAAATGTCTTTCATTATTTTGAAACAAATTATGGCCGATGCTTCAATACAAGAGATCGTTCTATACAATTAAAATCCAAATGCATGGAAGCTGGTAATTTTTGGAGTAGTCTTGATATCTCTGGACATGCTTTTATTATAATATATTCTAGCTTAATTCTGTCAGAAGAAGGCTATTCTTTAATTGGATGGGAAGGTATTAAAGATATTATAATGAATGAAGAATATAATAGAAGAACATCTAGTGAAAATAATAAAGGATATTTGCAAAATTTATCAGATAAGGATTTGAATTTTTTAAAAAAAGCACATAAAGCTTTGACACCTTATTTAAGAGGGTTGTTTATTACAATGACAATTCAGCAAATTATTTGGGATGTAATGCTTATTGCAACAATTTTATATTATCACACTATGATTGAAAAATTTATAGGAGGAGTTGCTGCTATATTAACATGGTATGTAAGCTATTATTGGTTATTTAGATTATCGCAAATAGGAATGGTTTTACCAGGAGATGGAATTTTCAAGTATAATAAATTGAAAGAAAAACAACAAGATAATATTGCTAAACCAAAACGTTATATACTTAAGAAAGAGCGAATGTTTATGGGAATGCCAATTAGATTTCGAAAAGAAGAAATTGAAAAAAATGATAATAACTTTAAAGATATAGGAAGTAATTTGTTTTATAGAAAGAATTGATATTTTAAAAATTGTTGAAATAAATGGTTTCTATGATATTTAAGTATATTTTATAATTAACAAAAATAAAATTAAATGCACTGTTGATAGCATGAACTTTTCTTAATTAGTTTTTGTTAGAAAATAAATTATTAGAAAATGGTGTTTGATTTTGGTATCGATATCTTAAATATTTGGTTTGGTTATATTAATTTAATGAAAGCGAATTTAAACAAAAAATAATATAGATTTCTATATTATTGTATTATTATTTTTATAATTAAATCAAATAAATAAATTAAAACACATAAATGAAACAAATATATGATATATGGCAAAAGTCTTAATTGGTATCATTGTTATTATTGTAATTGCATGTGTATCTATAGTATGAAATACATACAGTTGTATGAGGATAATTTATAAATATTATTTCATTGATATAATTTATTAGCATACTTCGTTGATTCTTAGATGTATTAAAATATATTTTCATATTCTACATTTAATTAGATTTTATATATAAACTGATTACTACTTCTTGATAAATGAAGAAATCTAGATGAAGAAACAAAATATGTATTGTTTTAAGTTTATATTTTATATATTATATTTCAAAATAATTCTGCACTTATTTTGAAAAATTTATAAAATATGATACCTATAATTATTATGTATATTACATAAACTATAGGAATTGTATACATATCTATATATACTTAAAATTCTGTATATGCTTGCATACATGTGCAGACAGACAGACAGACAGACAGACAGATACACACACACACACCCACAAAATTGGTGCGAATATAATGTTAAATAATATGCCGTATATTGTGTCATTATTTTATTATTACAGAATTGTCTTGAAAACTTAGTTAAGTTTTATGATAATTTTAAATCATAGATTTATTTTTATTGTAATTCGAAATATTTGTTTGATTATTTTTTAAATTATCCCATGACTGTATATTCTATATATTATGTTGACTATGTATATAAATTATAAGTAATAAAAAAATAAGTAAGTGTAAATATTATAATCTGCATTATAGTGCAAAAGCATACTTGTATAAACTTGTTGGAATTTATAATAAATATTAATACTTTTGTTATTTAATGTGTTTTATTTAATTCTTATATATTAATTGATATTAGAATTGATCAATATTATGATTATAATAGGTTTTTAAAATTATATTTATTAAATAAAGATCATTGTTCCATGCATTTTTTATTTTTCAAATAATATATATATATACGTATATATAAATTCATATACAAATTTTATTTATAATAGAAACTTTTTTTATTTTAACTAGTTATAATAATTTTAAGGAAATACATTTTTAATTTATTTAACTCGAAACAAATTTTTATCTGCTTGTTTTAACTACTTTTAAGATACGTAAATAAATATATAAAAGAAATTTCATTTTATATTTTAGTTTATAATGATATTATTGAAAATGGAAATATATCACAGACCGTTAGGTTTAATTTAAAAGCTATTGATAATATTTTTTATTTTATAATTAAAAATTATATTCATAAATAATTCCATTCAACAAAATGTTTCATTCAATTTTAGTGTCAAAAAATATATTATTTAACATATAAATAAAGATATTTGATAAAATTATTAATTTTTATATACGTTTCAATAAGAGTTTATTTTGTCACTTATAGTGGAAGGACTTCAACTTTTTGGATAAAATACTTAAATTTCTACGCAACATTGAATGTAATTAGTATGAGTAATGGATATACAGGATGTTAGATCAAATAGCTAAATTTATATGTAAAATTCAGATACTTCAGATACGTAGATTCTGGAACGTATTCTACAGATATGATTAAGATTGTGTAGACACCTAAACCATATAGACAAAATTCATTATCTTTTTTTATCTGTAGAAGCATGAACATGTATATACAAATTATTCAATTTCCTTTAAATATTCTTTTTTAATTATATAATATATATATATATATATATATATATAATATATATATATATATATATTCATGCCTCTAAATGTGATTTGAATAAATTTTTTGTCACTATTCGATTATAAAAGATCATTACAGTCGTGTATGGTTGTTATGTTATGGCTTTTTAATTATTTTAATATTTTAAAAACAATCAATCATTTATAGTACTATTTGTCATCGGGATATTCTATTTTACAATGTCGATTAAAAAACAATTTTTAAATATAGAATTGCTCACATAATTAATATCAATTCATTTGATTTAAAATACAAAATTAAAAACTATCAGTAATATATTAATAATTTCGATGATGCATTCTGAATTAAAAAAATTTTTATTAATAAAATATGTAAATATTTTATTAGATAAAGTGTAGATTATTTTTATAATTCGGTTTTGTAAAACTTTACTATATTTACATAATATATCATATATAGTACTCATGTTAATTAAATCAATGTAAATATATTGATTAAATTAATAAAATATTAAATCAAGTAGATAAACCATTTCGTAACCAACTGGATTCTTTTACTTTTTTAATTGCTCACCTTACACTTACAAGTTAAGATTAATTCTAATAAATTTACATTAAATTTGCTTCATTCATTAATTTTATATTAAGATTAAACCGCGAAAGAAGAATGGAGTTAAGGACAAGTTCTCAATTTAAAAAAATTCAATACATTATAAATTTCATCGATTTAATCAACTATTTTAAGTGGATTGTAAATGACAGTTTTAAAACTTAATAAAAGATTTATATAAGATTTTATTGGATTTTCGTTTGATATTATGGAAACATTTGTAAATTCTAAAAAATATAATACTACATAATGTTGAGATTACATAAAATGTCTTACAGTTTTAATTTCCTAAAAAATGTAAAACCGTTTATAAACAATTACTATGAAATATGAGTATCTCTATAAATGAATATCATCAAATGTTTTATGTATTATATCATACGGAAATATCCTTAATAAAAAGATTGCTGATTGGTATTTGAGAAAGATGTTGTTTTTATCTACAGCTTTCAATATTTATAATCTACAATTGTATGAGTTTATTGGCCTGAATTATGTACTTTTCCTTTTTTTTTTATTGATCCAAATTTAAATACAGGGTTTATTTAAGTAAATAATAACTATAATAATGCCTTATACTTTTAATAGGCTATAATAACGTAAGTTATTTTTTGGAATTGTGATTAGACCAAATAGAGAGTATACTTCATTTTATATCTTTTGTTGAATGCATCTAAGTGGCTTAACAATTACGTTTCAGAGTTGCCCAAATTTTAATGTGAGCAATTATTTTTAAATTATTTTCAATCCATTATTAAATAAGTACTAGTATTATTTGGCGCTTTTTATATTTAAAGTAATTTCTTTAATCTTATATTATTATTATTGATATAGCGTTTTATTATGTATTCATAATAAGAGTATGTCTTATAATATTTCTATTCATTTACTTTTGTTCATTAGAATAAGAATAGTAATAAGTTTTTCAGTTATTCGAAATAATTGTGAAAAATTGTTTTTTATGACTTTTAGAATGTGGTTTACAAATAAAATTTAAAAACCGTAACGAATATGAAGGTGAAAAAAAACTATTATTATTAGCAATCTCTTCGGTAAACCGAGATTACAATTTATTTATATACGTACATAAATACAATGAATACACGCGTATTTCGTCCTTTTTCATTACTGGAATAGTAAATACTTAAACATTATATACCTTATATAAATATATATATATATATATATATATATATATATAAACATTATAAATATTAATATTATATAAATATATTTAATGTATCTTACTTTAATGAATTTGCTTTGAGCGAACTTAGTTCTTGGTACGTATGGATTACCAAAATGAACTAATCAGATTTTTAGTTTGTGCAAAATGTCCAAACGTCTTTATTTTTTGTTTCTTATATTTTTACTATTCAAGTTTATCAGTTTTTACAGTTTTGTAAGTGTGTAGTACCATATGTTAATATCGCATAAAAATTTTTTAGTATTTTGGTTTCATATCCAACTTGTATTGAATTCAGTTTTGAAGTTGGGAATACAATTACTTTTTTCCTTTCTCTTTCTCTCTTTTTTCGTTTCATGCATGCGTACACATTGTGTTCCTATTATTATTATTCGTAACGAATTTAAAAGTCCATTTTCATTTTAACACATATTTTTATGTTAATAAGTTAGCTTTGCAATAGATAATTTCTATTACGTATATACATACATATGCATATATATATATATATATATATATATATATATATATATATATATATCTGTGTATGTATATTGATTTGAATATACCATTTTTTATATATTTGTTCAAAGACTATCCGCCGGGCTTTGATGTTTCATGAAAAGAATTAATTTTCCCGCTGCAATAGTTCAATGCAAAGTGTGACACTTGATTACTTACTGTTCGTCGTCGTGTTTTTATCGCTCTATAAATTTTTTTTCCTTATGCGTATGTTACTAAGTAGGTTGTTTGAATCCGACATCTTGAATTTAATTGCTAGTGTATTCATTAACGAGTTGTATATTTATTCATCTAATGAACGGTGGTGCGTGTTAAATTAAAAATCGAGAAACTAAATGATGCCGGTAAGGGTAACATTAAATAATAGTAATAATAATTATCAAATGAATCTTAGTATAGATATTGGATTATAAATTTTTTAGAAATTCAGTTGATCTGATTCGTTTGATAATAAACATCTGTCGGCTAACTATATAGATCAGATTTGAGAGCAGTTACAGAATTTATTATGCAAATAAACATTTACTGTTTGAGAACCAATATTGTTCGAGGGTTGCTTCTTATATTTCACATATTCGTCTTGAGAGATCTCAAGATCATCAGATTGTATACTGAATAGTGATTCCACTGCATTCAGAGTTCGCGTAGTTTTACCCAACCATCATTTGCATATGTTTTCCTAAGATTTTATCATAATTTACTACCCAGATTTCTTGATTCTTGAATAAAGTTTTCCAAAGTATTATTTACAAAATATACATATAATTACCCATATATTTTTATTACCATAAATAATATTTACTTACATCCGCCAGAGGGTGCTTGGACTTCAATATATTTACATGTGCAAAGGTAATTTATTATATTTTGTATACCACTCTTATATTCGATAATACATTAAATTTATATATCTATTATAATTTTTTAAAGAAAACTTCAGAATAGTTATTTTGAAATTTTGAGTATTTTCACTTCATGCTCAATAGTTTCGTATATTACGTTTTCGATTTCAACTAAAACTATCTATCTAAAAGTTCTTTTTTATATTATTAAGTTGCTCATTTCAATAAAAAACATATGTTTTGCAGAATATAATAATACAATTAACTGAAATTATTATGAATAGTTGATAAATTGTTGTAGACTATTTTCTGAAATATTAATGTTGATAGCGCTTCCTCATATAGTTATTAGGATGGTGTAAAATATTAATGCACTTTTAACGAAATAACGTTATATCGTGACATGGATTATTATAGCATAACTAAAAATTGAATTTTATTTACATTGCTTCAATACAAATGTCGTGACAGTGTACTTTTTTGTTCTTAGAATTACAATCAAACGCTCCTTTAACATTTCAACAATTGTATGGATTAAACCGAATGAAAACGTTGTGATTGGAAGTTTCTTTTGATCATGACAATTTTAATTTTTTTTGGTATTTGTACATTCCTGGCAGCAAAATCCATATTGTTGGCGAAGATTCTTTGGTCACAAAATTGCAGTGGTAAGAATTTGATTATATTTATTTTATTGTTAACTTATTCGTTGCATTAAATATTCAATTATTTATCATTTGTTTAATTCCTGAATAAATATTTGTAACAAATTTATAATAAAATGGACAGCATTTTTGTTTTATCTATAAACAAGTCCAAAATAAAAATATTATAAGTGCTTTGTATTCAATACATTTCGAAGAAGAAATAATTTATAGTGTAAACAATTTCTTGACTCTGTACTAACAAAATAAAATATTTAAATATATTTGATTAGATGAAATTCATATATTAAATAATAATTTAATAAGAATTGAAAGTAAATGTGAAATTTTATTTATATTTTTACATATACAAAATTGTTTTATTTAATCGGTTTATTAACAGTAATTTAATTAAATATATATTATATAGATAATTAAAAACAAAAAACATTATTTATAATAATATTCATAACTATTTCTTTATAATAATTCTTATGGCAGATTTTTTTATTGCGAGTGAATAGAACAAATTAATAGATTATGCAAATTTTATTCAAAATTAAGCAGTATGGGAAGTCAGCAATTGTTGAGTATAATAATATTTTAGAATTTAATATAATTAGTAATAAGGGCTGAATCGTAGAATAAATTACGGAACATTTGTGCAGATATTTGAAATAAATACGGTCATGAGTGAAGATAGGGTAAAATACATTTATGAGGACTGATTGCAGATTTTACTTTAATCAGTGATCTATAGTTTTAGCGCGAAGGAGAGTAAGATGATTGAGGTGTGAAGGAGACGTTGAGACGCCTATTTGAGTACCTGACAAACAGATAAGAGATGCTTACAATGCGAATGCAGAAACGAAACACGGCACTACACGGTCTTGTATTTCGCCTCTCTCGCTCTGCCTCTCTCTCTCTCTCTCTCTCTCTCTCTCTCTCTCTCTCTCTCTCACTCTCGCCCTCAGATACACACAGCCGGACGCGTGCGCGCGCATGTACATGCGCACACATTTGATTATTAAAATTGATTTTTTCTGATTGATTAAACTCTGTTTTTTATCGTACGAAATTCTTATAATAAAAATAAATATAGAATATTATTTAAAATTGATTTTTATTCAGAATATATTTTATTTAACAAACTATAAGTAATTGCCAGGAAATATTTTTTAAATCATGAATGATTTTTATAAAGGAAAATTTTATTGCAAAAGTCGAAACAAAAAATTCATCTTTTATAATTCTTAAATTTATAAGTTCATTGAACATAAAAGCAATATGTGTAGGAATATAATAAATAGAAATATTATTTGTATTAAAAATGATAAGTTTATTGTAAACTTTCACTATTAATTATATTGACAACAGTAAATAGAAAATTACAACTATTTAGTGAATTATTATGCAGTGTAGTTATGTTGTATTTCAGAAACTTTTAAATTAAATATGTTAAAAAAATCTTACAAATTAATGGACAAAATATTATTAATGGTTTAAAAATGATACATTTAAATTTGTGAGGAAGGAAAGTTATATTATTTAATTAATTATTATAGCCTTTAAATGGTTGATGATATCTTTATAAAATTCTCGAAAATAGTGAATTAATAAATAAATTCTAGAAGATGATTGAATAAATAAAGTTTTTTATTTTTTATTATAAAAACAAGATAATAAAAATAAGTAAAAGTAGAATGTAATAGTACGTCCAATTGATGATTCTTTCTTTATTCGTTAAACTATAATAATATGGAAATCTTTTAAATGATATATAATATTTTAAACGTTTTTTATGTAGAATAGAATAGGATATTTGAGTATGATAAATTAAAAATTTCATTTATTTTAACATTTTATAATGAAGCGAATTGTTGTATAATAATATTTATTAAGTACTCCTGTCAAATATATTCGATTGTTAGGTCGCTATTGTGAAAAGATATTATAAGATAGTTGGAAATAATAATTTAATAAATAGAACTGCAACATAATTGTGAGATATATTGTATACTAAAAGTTAATTTGGCTATTGCATAACATTTAAAAGAATTCATTAAAAAGTGTCAAGTTTAAAATATTTTCTTTTAATTATTGGATATAGGCAATTATCAATACTATAATTTTATAATATATATATTTATATTTATTTATATATATGATTTACATATGATTTATTCAGAACGTTGTATCAAAATATATCGTCTGTGATATATATATATATATATATATATATATATATATATATATATATATACATATAGACATTATGATTTATTCAAACTGTATGTAAATTATAGATATGATGTATTAAATATTAATCTTTTGGAAAATAATTAATCAAAATTTTATTTTTGTCGTTCTATTTCTATTGTTATTAGAAAAATTTCTTATAAAATTTTATACAAAATATTAAATATTTCATTATTCCTGCATTATTTCTTAATATATTAATGAAATTAAATATTTATTTAAAATTTTTTCATATTTTAAGTTATAAAAATATATTTTATCTAATCTCACTTATGACCATGCGTATTACTATATATATAGTATCAGATCTGACAAGAATAAAGAATTTTATATAATAATAACTTTTTTTTTTATTGCGTATGTATAATAATTATTACATAATTAAATAATTCTGAACTTAATTATATAGATATGTATGTTCCGATATAATAGTATATAATTTTTCTTTGAATCGTGATATAATTATTTATTTAAATTTTTCTTAGGTATTAGTGGAAAGACGCAAGTTCTTTATGCTATTATTTTTGCCGCAAGATATTTGGACATAGTGATGACCTATTATCGTTGTACATTAAGTATTTTCCTACTAAAAATAGCTTTTATAGTTCTTACGAATTGTTCTGTGCTATCAATATATTTTCTATACAATCACACTTATCAAAAAGAATATGATAATTTCAGGTAAATTATGACATTTAAATATTAATTATTTATTTTTCTAACTTATAATTAAATTAGTTACTGTTTAATTTAAAATATGTGAATAATAATTATCGACATCATAGTAATATAATTATTAATTTAAAATGGAATATAAGGCTAATAAATATGCAAAAGTGACAAAATGTTAACCCGAATTTTTAATATTAAATTACTTACGACTTTTATTACAAATTTGAGCATCTAATAATTATTTATTAATTTAATTTTAATATAATTAAGTCTTTGCACTTCGTTATAATAATATTAATAACAAAATTGGAGATATCTTGATTTTCTACAATTATTTAAAAATTTACTTTTTTCTTAAAATATATTATAAAAATTCAAATATCAGTAATTAATAATTAGATAAATTTATTTTTACTTTAATTCATGAATTTTAAGAATTTTTAAAATTTCAAATACGTTTTATTCAAAACAACTTCTGTTAAACTTTTATATATTGAAATGTATAACAAATGTTAACATTTAAAATAATTGATCCTGTAATTGATGTTTAAAAACAATTTATCTTATAATAGATTTATAAGATAAAATACACTTATCGTAAGCCAAGATAGTTAACAAATTTGTTCATCACAGATCAGTGTTCAAAACAATTACTCAGTATTAACCAAATTTAGCATCTATATTTGTATCATCTGTACATCAATCTAGTATATTCACATAATCTATTTATTTATTTATTTATTTACTTATATATATTCAAAAACATATATTTAATTAATTATAATAATCGAGTAATCATATCCGTTACATTATCCATATATACACAATTAAAATAAGTCATGTTCAAAGACTGTTGTGTAATTTATTATTGAATACATTATTGAAAAGAATTTATAAAATTAATTTCTTTAAGCCGTATAAAAAAAGCATATTCAAAATAAGTGATATCAATATGTAAAATTTGTTTATATAGATTTATGAATCTGTAGATAATAAATATATAATGCCTATTTAATAATTCTTAATTACTTTAAGAGTTTGTGATTAAAACTCGATTTTTCATTTTTTATATAAAATTTTAAATTCTTTAAGTTGTTAACATAATATGTTCTTATCACATATATTGTAATATAAAAATTATTTTACTATTTTTTATTTTCAGAATCGAACGATTGATATTACCATGTATCGTTCTGTCTCTCCTCGCAAATTACAGCTTCAAAATCGATGAAGTATTTTGGACTTTTAGTATTTACCTTGAATCTGTTGCAATAATTCCTCAAATGTACTTCATATCACAGTTCAAGCAAATCGAATCTATCGTATTTTATTATATTTCGGCATTGTCAATGTATAAGATTTTTTACTTGATGGATATTGTCTATCGATTTTACATGAACGAATATTATGATAAGATATCCTTGGCCGGTTGTGTGGTGCAAATCATCTTTTACTGTGACTTTTTCGCGAACTATGTCCCTATGACAAATGACACTGAAATTGATGAGGAGAGTGGATTTAGTGAAGAGGACAAAGTCGATGATAAATTTAAAAAGATAGAGAATGTAATTGTGCATGTGATTGATGAGAAAGTTTAGATAAAAAAAATTAGAAAATGATTTTAATTCTTACGACTCTTAACAAAATAGATATGGTAAGAGCAAATTTATTATTTGAAAGTTAAGAATTTGAGTAGTTAATTTTATTTAAATTTAAAAAAGTATTTCAATATTATACCATTTCAATATTTATTATAATATTTCAATTTGTATTTAAAAATAAGTATATATACAAATTATTATATAAACTAATAATTTTAATATAATTAGTCATTTGATTTGATATTACTAGCCTCTAAAATATGTAGGAATTTTTATGTAAATGAAAATTAACATTATGAACTATTACTCAATGTATCTATTACATATTTGTAATCATGATTTATGATGGAGCTATTTTAATGAAGTAATTGCATGTTTAGTATGTATTAAAATTAAAATTTTTAATACTTCCAATTAATAGTTGAATTATCAAGCAAAATTTGTCCCAAACTATCTTATTTATGCATTATTGTACTATTTACACATTATTGTAATTATGTTTTTTACCTCTAAAATTACTGTTTGTATATTTTCAGACAATTGCCGTAATTTTATCATAATAAACAAATTGCTATATGATACACGATTGTATGTACTGGTCTTTTTAGCTTAGTAATTTTAGTATGATAGAAATTAAATATTTCATTTAGATTTTTCACGATCTTTTAAAGAGTATTTCAATAAATATGCATATAAATTTATAAATTTTCTCTTTACTTTTTAATCATACAAGCATTCATGTATGTAAATATTCCAAATTTGTGTAAAGTCAATGTTTGCATTATTTAGTAAAAATAATTTTTAAGTATATATTTGAATTAGAATGTGAAAATGAAAAAATTAAACAATATATAATATTATAAGAATATAAATTTTTATATCTATGAATATTTCATACAACAATAAAAATTATTTAAAAAATATTGATTTGATTAATTTTATATCGTATTAATCTAATCCTTTATTCCTGCATATAATTAAAATTACATATATACAGTAAATTGGTATATATTGCTGTGAAATTGATACATAGTTTATAATATTATTGTTATTTTACATTCTTGATTAGTTATATTATATTTTTGATAGATCTATGATTAATTTTAACAATGATTGGAAATTTCAAATTATTGCATCTTGGGCACAGATTTATAAATTTTTATACAAAAGTTGAATTTTGTTCATAAAATACTTACATGTAAGGGGGGAATACAAATAATTTATAAGACTCATAGCTATTCAGCGGCTTAGATATTGAGTTGCGTTAAACATTATTGTTGAATATTTTGTTTAGAAAATTAAACACGAATAATTATATTTGAAATGTTATGAAATAAGAACAAAACATAATAAGGTTGCATAAAACGATATCCTACTGAATATTTTTACTATCAGTACAAGTTGGAAATTCGGAAAGAGTACTTAAATGTTTTTTCAAGCTGCTATGATTTAGCGAACTTTATTTTCTTTTCATATTTTGTTTATTGTGAATGTGGCTTACTAACCGATCACAGTAATACATGTGTGTGATAATGAATGATTTAAGGCGTATCTTTAATTTTCCCTTTTGTATGAACTTGAAAATAAATGAGATATTATCTTCCTTTTCGATATAATTAGCAAACATCAATTTTTTCGTATTTGCAATGTAAAACTTCGCGTACTTTGAGATGAATAAAAAAACTGTGATTATGAAAGATTAATTCAATTGAAAGAAAAATAACAATTAATTTTTTATTAGTACAATATAGAAATTTAAACTATATTAATCAAAACATCATTTGCAATAACATAGCTTGATACCTTTTATGTATTATTCATAAATTTGTTTAGGTATAAACATTTATTCAATTCATTAAATTATTTTAATGTTTTTGGAAATTATTGAATTTAGATAATTGTTAAATATAAAAATTATGTAACTTTATTAATTATAAATCATTGATTATTTAATACGTATCGGTATATAAAATTAATTAAATTTATAGTCATATAAAATTACGTACTATTGTAAACCACAAAATATTACTTAATTATTTTCAGTGATTACTTATCAATTTTAATAATTTTTATCGATGTGTTTTAATTATTATATCACTGCAAAAGATATGTAAATATTTTTATTAGAAAAATTATAATAACTAACCCAAAATCAGCTAAAGTATATTTAACAATAAATCATGAGAGTTCCAATATATTAATAAATGCACTACATTCTTATTAAATAATTTATTAAATTATCTATATAATCACATACTTTTATAATTTGATTCTAATCTGTATAATATTATTTTTAAATTATGTTATTTATTTAATTTTTAATACATTGTGATGAATTAAATATGACGCTAAAGAGTTGAGATAGCTTTAATTTTTATTAATGTACTTTTAATTAATATATCTAATACATTTATACATTTTTCATTTAATACTGTTAAATAGAACGTGTTAATTTTTTTTCTTTTTTTGTAAAATGACTCATTTATACATAGTAAATATTTTAAATGTATTGAATAAAAATTTATAATTTTTAACTTTAAAAAATTATAGATACGGGATTTAAATATAAAAATTAATATAATTATAATCGTATGTTAGCTTTATGTAAACATTAAATGAGCTCGATAATAAACATCTTAGATAAGAAGAAATAGGGAAAAAGTTAGAAATGCGAATGATATCAGAATAGAACGACGAATCTTTGAATAAATAGCATTTATAGAGCTTGTAAAGTTACACGTGATTCATTGCGCATGCGTATTATATATTCGGATTTTTAAACTCTTTGATTGGCTTTATTCATTACTGAGTACGATTTATTGTTAGTCAGTTCCATGTGTTTTGTCGCTTACTAATTGAATTTTAATAATAATTCAAAACTGATTTTTCATAATTGTTTTATAAAATTATTTTTTTTCGTTTAATAGTTTTTTTTTTTTTTAAATCATGAATGATTTCCAAAATATTGGTATTTTTCTTCAGTTAGCAGCAATGATTATACTTCTTTTAAAAATCATATGTACATTTGATTGCACGGGTAAGTATTATTTAAAAATATAACATAGACAGATCTGTCCAATTCTGAAAACTTTTCTAAATTAGAAATTATATTTTAATAACAATTTATAGTTTTTCGAATATATTTAACAACTTTTAGATTACCTATAGAAAATTATTTATAAAGTTTCTCGATAACTCCACAGAAATGATAATGTCTAAATTGAATTCCTTTTTACAAAATTTTTTAATTTTTTAACAAGTTGAAGAAAATGTTTGTTTAAAAAAATAATTTATAAATATGATAAGAGCCTAGCTTGTTGCGGTAAAATAAGATTAGATATTGTTTGTGTTAATCTTTTGTCACGAAATTAATCTTATGCGATCTATATAAATATCTGTTACAATATTACATTACTCATTGAAAATCAAGAAACATATTAAAATGATTTTACTTGAGATAAATATCTATAAAAAGAAAAGCATTATTAATTTTCAATATTTATAAAAAATATTTATAAACTTTTATATATAATTCATAATAATGATAAATATTTTTATAAATATTTATAAATAATATTTATAATCTTTTATAAAAAATAACAGTTTTATATAAATATTAAATAATATTTTAATAGTAATAAATGCATTATTTTATATTTAAAAATTGTTTAAAATAAAAGAAACTCGAAAGATAATAAAAATTGGTTTTTCATAAATAAAATTTTTATTTTATATTTAGTTTTATTGACCTGTAATTTCATAATTTCATTTCATTGAAGTATTACTTATTTACAAATGTTAATATTAAAATTGAGCACTAGTTCCAAAATAAAAATTAAAAGGAATTATAGAATTATAATTTTAATAATTACTATATTTAGCTCTAAAATATGTTTAGAAATTTATGGTATAATTAATTAATTTTTAATATTATTTCATTTAATCTTTACAAAGTAGATAGAAAGTATTTTAAAGAATGACATTTTTTACAATTATTTATTATCTACCTTAAAATTATATTAAGAATATATTGTTAAAATACTTTTTTATAATTAATAATTATGATAGATGAAAACTCATACTGAGGTCATAAAAAACTTTATTATATATTATAATTACAAACATAATCATTTTTGTAGGTTATAATAAATCTATAATAAATTTATAATAAATGCAGTTGAAGTGTAGAGTTTCAAGAACATGAATAAAATTTTAATTATGTATTAATTTATAAAAGCAAATTGCTTACTGATCTTATTAGTCTTTATTAGTTATAAATGAGGGATAATATAATAATGAGATTTAAATCTATTTGAATTTAAAATTTCTTTTACAGTTTCGGTTGAATATCATTAAATAGATTATTAGTATCTTGTACCATTAACATTATCTAAAGAAATTTATTATTCACCTTTTATTCATTAACGTTAAATTTGTTATTTTTAGTGAAAGTATAATCAATTATAAGTATCTTAGAAGTGTACAAGTCAGATAGTATCATTATGAATATAAAATACACTTTGGATTTCAAGATATACGGCTTAATATAAAAATTAATTACTTCATAGTACTAGTTTCTGAAATTAAAAAGTATGTGAGTAGAAAACCTGTCGATATTTAAAAAAAAATATTTTTGTGAAATCTTCTTTGTAAGAAAAAAATTTTATGTATCAAAATCTTGGTAATCATTCTAAAAATTATAGAATTTGTTATCAGAAACTGTTATCACAGACTTGGGATGTTGTAGTCTGTGATGACACTTTTCATAGACTTAAATATACATTTTTATCTCATATTTTCTTGGAATTTGTGTTTATGTAAACAAAAATCGGCTATAATTTATTAAACAGTTTTTATAGTGAATGAGCATTAATTTATTTATAATCAATTGCATCTTTCATTCAACAGAATTTCATATTGTATTGAGATAACAAATATTTTAATTCAAAGTAAGATGTATCTTATGATTATTAATTATATTTTTTAAATAAATGTCAAATGTTTCGCTTTAACTAATATTTTTTATTATTGTATTGTCTGATAAGTATATTCTTTATACAAACTTAATGATAAATTCTGTTATAGAAAGATTTAGCTTTATATCAGAAAGAAATTTGTTAATTTTAATTTAAAATATTGATATCTTATTTATTCATAATTTTTTTTTCACTTAATATTAATAATATAATATTTACTACGATAATTTTAATACTGTATTCCAGTTTCAAGCTGTGTACATGAATTACGTATTAAACAATATATCAGTGAATAATTTAAACCTTTTCATAAGATATATCGGAAAAAGAGTATTTTAATACCTTTCAGATAGTCCTTGAAAAGCTTTTCAGACATTTGTAATGAAACTTTCAATTTTACATATATGGAATCATATGATGCATTAAAAGTTTATATATAATTTAATATATATAAGCATATCGATAATATATTTATAAAAGAATATTCTAACATTGTATAAGACTGTGAAAGAAATGTTTTATACAAGATTGGTGATACAATTATAATTATAAAAATCAAATTATAAACAAAATTATAAAAATTATAAAAATCATGGTGCTTGAAAAAATATTTACATACATATTAAAAGAATAGAAATATTTTATGACGAACAATAAATAATTATTTCTTTTCAATACTCTAAAAATATTGAAAGTTTAAAAATACACTAAAGATGCATCTATATTATTTGTATAATATTTTCTGTAAAATTATTTAAAATATTTAAATATTTAATATTTTTATGATACAAATTTAATTTATAATTATTTTGGTACTTATATTAATGCAAAACAATAAACAATAATCACTATGATTTTATTATTAAAAGTTTTCTGTATATTCATGCTTCCTTCTATGCAATATATCTCATATATTGTATATTTTGATTATAAATTATATTATTTTGACTAAAAAACTATTTAATTAGTTTTTCATACAAAATTTTATGAAAACTAAAATTTTTATAAATTAATTATTACATTATATATAAATAAATAAATAAATAAATAAATATATATATATATATATATATATATCATGTGTGTGTGTGTCTTATTACTTATGTAAAAGTTATGTCTTCGTAATAGATATATTTAGAAATATAGCTGTTTATTATTAATTAAGTGTAATTATCTCTTTTTCCATTTATTATATTACAAAAGGCAAATATTTTAAAAGATTCCAAAATTAACACGAAGTAAATGAAAATTAAATATTGAGCAACTAGAAAAATGGTCTAAAAGAAAGTTGATTTATGGATAAATAATTAAATTTAATCAATTCATTATATTAATTTAAAATTCTTTATATTAATTAGTTAACACAAAATTTGACTTGAATCTTATAACTTACAATATTGTTTTTTTAGGTGTTAGTGGCAGAACTCAAATACTCTACGCTTTGGTATTATCAACACGATTTCTAGATTTACCATACGAATTTCAGATATCATTACCATCTTTTATCATAAAGATTGTTTACTTATTTGTTGCATATCTTACCGTTTTATTCATATTTTTTGTACACAGGAGTACTTATGAGCGTGAATATGATACATTCAGGTAAAATCAACTTTTTTAACGTAATAATCTTTTGTGGCTAATCAAGTATGTAAGTACAATAAGGCAAATTTATAATTTTCGAAATATTAAACATATATCATTTAGGTGTTTATAAAGCAAATTAATAACAGATTTATTAAGAGTAGTTTGTTAATATTAACATATTTTTTTAATAATATAACAGTCTATCATATAATTATATCTTGCCGAAAGTTAAATATGATTTTAACAAAGTTGTTTATTTGTATATTAATTTACAATGTGATAGGCAAAGACCAGAATAACCCTTCTGTACCACATACAATTTGATCCCTATCTCTATAATGTCAATAGCAGCTCTATTTTTAAGCGACTATTTTAACTAACTTAGTTTATGATACCAAGTCGCTTTATTTTGAACTGAATGTACCTTTTTCAGACTTGCTAATTCACTATTTTCAATATTTTTTATATTAGCTTATTGTTTTTGTATTATCCAATTTACCATAAGGTAATAGAGTTGCATAGATTTCATTATGATAATTTATTATGATTATATATTAATTATTATTATAGCTATTAATATGTTTGTTATTAATCATGCCTTATATTAGACATAAGTATAGGTAGTGAATGAAACGAATTTAACTATCATGGATTGATTAAGTACATTATAGGTATTTATGTTGATTTCAATTTATTTTTATTTTCTATAAATTTTATAACAACTTAAATATTGTAAAATTGCATGAATAAAAATGTAATTCTTTTGAAAAGTAGTGTATGCCAAGTATTTTAACGCTAAAAGATTATAAAAGTATTTTTAAAGGATTTAAGTTTTATTTTTGAGAAATATTACTTTTGATTTATCATTTCGAACTATTGTAGAAGTGTTATAATGAATTATATTTTGGTCAATCTTTTGAATAAGTAACAAGATTCATTTTTATTTTTACGAATATGAATAGAGGTATGTTTAAATACCAGAAAATACTTTTTAAAAATAATAATTTGCATTTTTCTTTGTATTTCTATTTAAAAATTTTTCAATTTACATACTTTTAGTTAATGTTCAATTATAAATAATTTTAAATTATTTGCAGACGAAGTCAGAACACTTTAATGAAAAACTTAATTTTTGTTTAAAAAAATAATTGGAGTGTATTTTCGTAATTACATCATTTTTAATAAATTTAATTATTTTTTAAACAATAAATTGAGTTTGATTTATTTACATCTAATTTATTCTTACACAATGCTATGCTTAAGATAAAACGTATCGACTTTATAAAATAAAGACATTTTCTATTGTAAATATACATTAATAAGCCAATAGTTGTTATCGATACTTAAATATCATTTCACAATATTTAAAAATCAAGAGTTATTCTTTTAACTTTTGTCGTAAAAATATTTGAGCACTCCTTTAGTTTTTTTTTTTTTTTTTAATAATTATTAATTATTCTGTTAGACGATTAAATGTGATAGATGATACACATTGAACATTCAAATGCTTACTAGTGAAAAGTCGTTTGATTATTATACGATACATTAATTATTAAAGTAATATCACTATTTTAAATTAGAAATTTGATAACGTAGTAATAAAATAAAAAGTAATACAAATAAATGGTAATAAATTACTTTAATACATATTAGAAGATTGTAATATCAGATATAGTGCTGCATCCAAGTCAACGAAATTCAATATAAAAGAATTGTTATTTTTGCTTATTAAATTTTTTAGATTATAACAACTGTTTTAATTCCAATTATTAATCCACTCGCTTAATAATACCCTATCAAACTATATAATATCAAATTAGAATATGTTAAAAATCTCGTTTATTAGATACAATATTCGCAGTAATCAGCGAAACCTTTTCAGATTCGACCTATTGATAGGTGCATGCACGGTAATGGCTTTGCTCTGCACTTACAAGAAATGGGAACTTCTTTCGATACTCTGGCACTTCAGCGTATTCCTGGAAACATTCGCAATCTTTCCTCAAATCTATTTTACAACGAAAGCCAATTACACGGGGAGCTCTCTCGTGTTTTACGTAGGAATGCTTGCCTGCTATCGTGCTTTCTATACTGTTCATTGGATCTATTTACTGTTAGTTGAGGGCTACGTTGATAATTATTATGTGGCCGCATCTGGCAGTACTCAGTTCATTATTTATTGTGGTTACTTTGTATGGATGGTGCCAATTTTTAAAGCACAATACGCCCATCTGAAGAATGACGAGAGTCAGTTGGATGTTGTGTCGATCGCCCCAAATGACTTCGAGTGTAACATCAGCAAAAACGAGTCTTTGTTTAACAATTGATTCGCACGTGTGCATTCTCGCACGCGCATTCATGCGCACATTGTATTTGCGTAACGATATCATTAGATATCTGTGCCTATTTATGAAATATATAGTTTCCATTTACATAAACGTAACATAATGCACGTATGTAAAAATAAAATTTTTAATCGGCGGTAGCGCGTATGAAATGTTAACTTGCGCACTATAGAAACTAAAATGGCTAAGTAATTCAATTTTTATAAATGAAACGAATTAACTTTTTACTCAAATTTAATAAATATGTGGTATACTTGAAGAAAACAAAAAACAACAGTGTTATTAAATAAGCAAATTAAATAATGAAATAATTATTAATTTTTAACGTCTAGTAAAGTGTAATCTTTATATTCAATCATCTAAAATAATTAAATTTTTTTATATGCGTATAATCTAGCATGTTATACGAAATATAAATACTAAAATAAATTATCAACAAATTACAAACTGTAAACATTACAAGGCTGACTGCAAATTATATATTGAATATTGTAAATCAACAGTCGTATTAATATTTAAGTAAATTTTCTTAAATGATTAAATATTATTGGATAGATTTTAATGAAACTATTAATTTAATCGACCTATTAAAACAAATATACTATTTAGTTGAAATTAGAATTTTTGATATTAATGAAAATTCTCTTGACATTATATCGTAGTTTCATAAGCAAAGATTAATTGATAATCTGTATCCGAATGATAAGAAATTTCTTTTATGATAATTAGTGTTAATTTAATAAAACAGTATAAGACATTTAAAAATACTAAAATTATTTCATGTTAACTTCTGAGAATTATGTATTTTATATTTAACAAAATAAATACGATTTTTTTTTAATATTCGTAGCTTTTAATTTAAAGAATTATCGGTGAAATAAAATTTGGCCGAATTAACATATTAAATGTATAATTCAATATGCAGTCGTCACAATATTCTTAAGTATTTATTTATCCAATAGCCTACAATACAAATATTCAATAATAAATATACAAATTCAGTTTTTATTTTCATTTGATCTTTAAAATTACTTTTAATATAATTATATTATTTATTGAATAATATTTATATTTTTATTGAATAACTTTAATAACTTTATAATTATAAGTATTTACAATTATGTATAATACGTTCTAATACGTGTATAATAAGTAATTTTGATGTTTAAAAAACATTAACACAATGCTATAAAATTGGTAAAATTTGTATTGCAGTTATAAGATGTATTATATATTGTCATTCGAATCAAATATAAAATTGAAATTCTATCCGTAATGGTATCATACTCAAAAGCTGTGATCAAAATATAAATTTATGACATTGTATGGGCGCGGCACTTATATAATTCTACATACTCTGCAAACATAATTTAAATTATCTAAACTATTCTAAATTACATCACTTTCAAGATATTTTTAACTGAAAATATAATCTTAAATACTTATAAAAGATTATTTTAACCGGTTTTTGTTAACTAATAATAAGAAGAAGAAAAAAAAAATATATATATATATATATATATATATATATATATATATAATCAGATAAACTATTCAAAAGTTGTTAGGCATAAAGTAACCTATGCATATTTTACATATTATTTATAAATATGGTTTACATAAAATACATAAATTTTAATACTATTAATTAAACTAATTAAAAAACGTTTAAATTATAATAAAATTTTATTGCGGCTAAAATTGCTTTATTATTTGTACTTATGGAATTCCAAGAAGATAGTTCTTGGAAAATATAAATCATTTACCCATTTATTCGATACATTAACAATATAACAAGCATTTATAATAGTTCAAGTACCCACAAAATTTGCTTTAATATTTGAATTATCAATATTGTTGATTAATAATTCTCATTATAGAATTTAGAAATACTCGTTCAATCAAGTGCTTAAGTAGCTTTAAACATATTTACGTAATTTAGATTTTAAAAGTCTTGTTGTTTAATTAATTTATTTTGAATATCATCCTAACGATTAAGAGTATTATTCTTAAAATACAATTCTTTGACATTATGCATATTCTTTTATTTGATATCTATTTAACATATTAGTAGACAAAGTTTTTAATAAATTCATGTAATAATAAAAAACATCTAAACTCTATATTACGATCTTTTTTTTATAATAGAAGATTATTTTAAGAAAAAAATTATTTCATTTAAAACATATTACAGTATGCTTAAACTTAATTTCATATTAATCGTAATAACCATATACGAGCTTTTGTTTTCTTTCGTTGCTAATTAGTTTTTGCATTATAATAATAAGTAATTAAAAGTTATAAACTAATTACCAGCGTAAATAACACAAATAAATTATATTAGAAAATATAGATAGAGTGAGATTATATTCTCAAGAATAATATTCTCCAATATACTTTCATCAAAACAATCGAGTGTTTTGATGTTTTGATAATATTTATATGAAAATGCAAGTATAAAATTACATTAACAAAATTTTTACAAACTAAAATAAAAATATCATTTTGATATTTCCAGTTCAATTTCCCTTGCTTTGAAAATATTAGTTAATATTGGAAATCTTATCATTAATTTACTTCAAAATTTATATAAAATTTATTTTTAAATAAAAGAATATTAAAAATATTTTTTAAAGTTATTGGCATCATAAACATTATTATAAATAAATATTTTATAAAATTATAAAATTTAATTATATTTATTATATATATTACGCCTAACTGAGAAACTATAATTTATTATATTATATTTACTATATATATTATATTGTATGGCGTTTTTAATTGTCCAATAAAAATTATATTTGTATTAATAAAATATTATTATATTATATAAACATTAATGACTCAGTGATTATATAAAGAAATTTTAAAAATACATGAATGACTGCAATTTATTATATTATTATTATATATCAAATTTTACTGTTATTCATAATACTCATAATTTAATATTTTAATTTAATAAAAATCATTTTTATGATTTTATACAATAAATAAATTTTATACGAAAATAAATAAATTAAATAAATGTCACCTTTATACAAAAAAAAAAAAAATTTTTTTTGTTTATTAGTTAAAAATCTAATTTTTATTATATCTAACAAAGCACTTTAAAACAAACTTTGTTTTTTTTGTATGTAAAGTAGAAGAAAATACAAAATAATTGTATTACTCGAGAGCGCGCTGTAATATTGCATAAGTATTATTGGCATACTTTGATATTGTATATGCGTGAATTTACATTCATATTTTATTTACAAATATTTTATTTACAAATAGAAACCATTATGCTTTTATTATATTTTTTTGCCTCCATAATTAATAATAGATATTCTTATCAGTCATCGGCAAATGATTGAATAGATGTGAATTAAAATTATTGTTACCACAAATATTTTTACATTTTCCATAGCAGATTATTTGCAAATAGATCTTGCTGATATTTAAATGCTACCATTGGCAATTACCAATTGTATGTTATAATTGTTATAATACTGTATATAAAAGTAATAATTTTTTTTTTTTTTGAATTGAAAATTAACTGCTTTTTAAGTAAAAGATAAACTGTTTTTAAGAGATATTTAAATAGGTATCTAACAATTAAGTATATAATAATAGATCACCATGATCTGTTAAGATGAATGAATTTATTAAGATTATAGAATTTTAATGAAATGCTGTATTTTTAAAGTGATAAATGATATTATTAAGTTATAAATGTAGTTATTATGAATGATAATTTAATAAGTTCATTTCTAGAAATATTGCATATTCAATGGATAGTTTAGCACTGATTTTTTTTTTTGTAATATTATCAAACTAGTTAAAATAAATACAAGCTATTTAATAAGATTTTTCTATTAAGTATGTTCAAAAATGTTCGCAGATTCTTTTTATAACATGGTAATTTATTTTATGATACGTTGAAACTCTTCAACCTTTAAAACATTCTATTAATATATATACATTTACAAGGATATACAATGTATTTTTTAAATTAATTTTATTTAATTTATTTAATTTATTTTTTCTAATATGTTTAGCTTCACAAATTTTACAATATAAAATTAAATATTAATTTTTTTTTTGTTTTTCATTTTTAATAATCTTATAATTGAATTAAATTAAAAAATATTGATATAATTCATATAGCAGCTTATTGTATAGCATTTTATAATTGTACTAATTATTTATTTATTTGAATAAATAATGTATTTTATAGGTTCTTACTAAGTTACTTAATAATTACTATGCAAAATAATGTAAGTTAATTTATAACCAAATGATTGTTATTAAATTATTTTTGTATTAATTTATACTTTTAAATTTATTATACAATTTCTTAGAACTCAAATGATATATTTGAGGAAAACGGTATTAATAAAAAAATTTTGTTTGTATTTAAACTAAAAATTAGATCGCAAATAAAAAAAATTATTTTGTTTGCTTTTGATATTTTTATGTGTGTTTTATGTTATAATGATAACATTACTTACTTACTAGTAAGTATTACAATACGATGATTTTCATAAAAATCATAACATGGAATTTATTTGTGGTACTTTTCAAAATAAAAAATTTTCAAAGTACATGAATAAATTGATTAGAAATTTTATGATAATGAATTTAAAATATAAAGACTAAAAATAAAAAGCATATATTATAAAACCGAACTTACTCTTTAAAATATTTTATTATGCTGTTGTATTTTATTATGCTTTAATTATAAATTTTAGATTTTTGGTAATAATGTTGCGATTTCCAAAATTACTTGCAGTGATTTTTATAGAAAGCATACTACTTCTAAATTTAAGAAATATCTAATAATAACAGTAATAATTGAAAATAGATAGAAAAAATATTCTAGAATGTAAACAGAAAATTTTGATATAAATATACGGTTGACTAAATTGATATTGACCGGATTAATGAAAAGAATAATATCAAAGTCATGTTCGGTAATAGTTTCATATTGGTATTCATATTTTTACAATATATATATATTATTTTATAATATATAGATAGTTTGAATTATATTTAGATATAAAAAATTCTTTTTATTGAAAAGCAGTAATAATATTAAATATTTTTGAAATAAAACAAACAATTGTGTTTAGTAGATGCAAATTGTTGAGAAATCGAGCTTGCTATCGTGAGTATAATAATGCCTAGTTTTTGTTGCGAATTGGACCGCCGCACACACGTGTAAGTATGTGCAGCAACAGGACAGCGAATCGGGAAGAACGAAAGAGTGGGATTTGGGGTGGATGGTGAGACGTAAGAGGAAGAAGGATGCAATGAGAGACGTATGCTCTCAACGTGGGAGTCGAACTCTGTCAGATTTACACTTAACGTAAAGTTTGGACATCAGCTTGCGACTAGTAGTCTAGCTAGTGTTTGTACAGTCGACTGTGTTTACTTATAGTGATAGAACTTTGAAGTTGAATTCAGTATTGGTACCGCGCATGATTTCCCTTTTTCTCTCACCGACTATCGTTGTAGATGGAATCTTTTGTACGTGCGTTTATATACTGTGTTTTTACGCATACACCGTGTACAGAGTGAACGAGGGAGTGAGTGAGTGAGTGAGTGAGTGAGAGAGAGAGAGAGAGAGAGAGAGAGAGAGAGAGAGAGAGAGAGAGAGGAGCAACAGTCAATGCACTAGAGCGCGGTCCGGTGGTCACAGTCGCGACATAACGTCGTTTTACATTGTGTTTGCGAGTTCGAATGGAAAGTATGTGATGTACGCGCGATTATAAGTAACATTGAAACATCATCGTATATGTTATCCACACCCATATTTACCGACTACTTACTTGTACGGTGATTATTGAATCTCTGTCGTTATGGATATCCTCCAGATTTTTGGTGATTACATCCACCTGTTGGGAATGTTCATACTGCTCATGAAACTTTGTCTCACGAGAAATTGCGGCGGTGAGTATTGTTATTATTTCTTGCATATCAACTAGAAAATATAAGATCTTTACTTTAAAACAGCGCTGATAATCGGCCTGAATTTTCTTACTTGCTACTCTCATCTTCCCTTCTGATTTAACATTTTCTTACTAAGATTTAAAATTCTAATAATATTTAATACCCATTATGTTGAATAGTTTTATGTAAAGAATGTGTAATGAAGTTTTTTTATAAAATTAATTTATTCAATAGAATGAGCGGTGTAATAATATTGTAGATTCATATTACAGAATCTCAAAATATAGAAAAAGTCTTCATAATTATAATTATGAAAGTTTGCAAAAAATTCTAATAAATAAAATTTTACTTTCTTGATATGAAAGTGTAACTGAATATAATTATTAATTCCTTTAGGAACGTGAGAAAAACTATGTAATTCCTAATATTTAATATAGGTTTAAAGGCATTTTATTCAATTGACTCTATATCAAGTTTGAAATTTACAAAATTATTAATAATAATTTTTATATATATATAGAAAATAATAGATAATTGTAAACATTTAAATAGAATATAATGTATATACCTAAATAATATATTACCATATCAATTATATATATATATATATATATATATATATATAAAATAATAAAGTATTTTCAATTAATTAAATATTGAATAAATAAAATTAAAACAAAATTTTAATTTATAAATAGAGAAATTTTATGTTATATTATTTATTTCTCCGATATTTATAAATAATAAATAGGTATCATTTTTTACAGCTGATCAAAACATTTCAATGTTATTATTTTTTTTTTTTTAATGGAAGAACGATAAAATTATAAATAAGTTGCAAAAATATTATTAACTAATCACATTTTTAATTAACTAAAGATCAATTAATCATAAGCTTAGTTATTATTTATTCAAGATGAAAAATTATGATTCTTTGGCATTTAAAGTAGTTTCAATTAAAAATTAATATCTTGCATGAAACGTTTACATGAAAAATATACTAAATATTTGCCATAAATCCATATATATGGTATCACTTTATTTTTACAACTTATTATATTATATTATAGTACTTACAATTTTAATTATTTTTTAAATAAACGGGGCCATGATTTTTTCTTTATGTAACCATGTTCAAATAATACGTTTGTGGGAAATTATTGTGTAAGCAACTTCTTTGCCGAACGGTCGATGCTTGTTAAAACCACATTGGCCATGAAATAAACAATTGTTACAAGCAATCGCTTAAATCTAACACAACACGCCCGCGCGTACGAATTAAAATTGTTTCAAAAATTAACACGCATCATAAACAAATGTACATATTGGATATTATAAAAAATTGAAAATAAATATAAGAATATTGGAATAAATATGCTTATAATTGAAAAAAAAAAAAAAAAAAAAAAAAAAAAAAAAAAAAAAAAAAAACAAAAATAGAAATTATTATAAATACGTGATTTAAAGTAAAAATTTATAGGTTTGCTCGCGGAAAAACAATAGACATAATTAGACGCAATAGTAAGATTTTTTCATCTTTTGCATAGGTATAAGTGGAAAAACTCAACTTTTGAATGCTATAGTTTTCACTACACGATACATGAATTTAACCACTACGTATGCATCTTTATATATAACTATTATGAAGATAATATACATCAGCATCACGTACTGTACAGTGTTATCGATATTCCTCTTCTTTCGGAAGACATACGATCGTGAACGCGATGCTTTCAGGTAGAGTATTATGCTGCTTATCTTTCAAATTCAAATAGTATTTGTTTTTTATGCTGCTTTATTTACATATTTTCTATCATTATTTATTGAGTTTATTTCGATTTATTTTAATGAATTTTATTAAAATTCATGGTTTTCTAATAAATATTTAATAGTAATATTATTTCTATCAATGATTATGTTTTAAATTAAGTCGTATAGTTTATTTATAATATATTTTATAATCACTTTTTCTTTATCTTTATTTTAATAAATTTATATACTTTACACATTTTCCTCTACCATTTGAGCTTCTGGGCTGTAATTAAAGATTGAGTGCTACAATCAAAATCATAAATACTTTATTTTACACTTGATGAGAAGGGATTTTGTTTATTTCGTGGTTATTTATGTCGAATTATTAAGTCATTAAATTCGCCGATAGTACGGTTATTGTATTAGCGATAGCATTCCATCGTAAAATTACGGTATTATATATTATTTGTATATTCATACATTCGTTAATGTATATTATTCATTTTTGCTACGCACGATCTCACGCACTAATGTATATAACTGATAGCTTCGAATGAATTTCAACATTTAGAAGTATTTTATGATAATTTTTATTGGAAAGTCATATAAGTTTGAAATATTCTATGAGCATATGAACGAATCCGTTATCATAAATGCAGTTTATATTATATTCAAAATAATATTCAATGTATTGCTTACAATACCGTATCCATTTAAATAATTGCTATTATAATAAAAACTAAAAAATATTCATAATTTTATATAAAATAATACTACTAATTCTCGAATAATATATAGCCAGACTTGTACATCATAAGGTTGGATGTTTAGGATGGAATTGTTGATTCTCCCGTGTGCTGTTCTTGGTCTCTTTCTCACCGAATATCTTGATACGATGGAAGTGTTCTGGACATTTAGCGTTTTTCTGGAGGCAGTATCGATTGTCCCTCAGGTCTACATGGTGTCTAAATCCAAGCAGGTCGAGTCCACCGTGGTATCATACATCTCTTGCCTTGGGCTCTACCGTGGTTGTTATCTCATGCACTGGCTCTATACCTACCTCAAGTTGGGATTCTTCCGCAAAATGTCTGTCGCGACCGGCATCATACAACTCATTTTTTATTGTGATTTTTTCGCCCGCAATTTGCCAATACTTAAACAGAAGAACAACGGCAAAGGCTTCGAGAACTCTAGGCCAGAGGAGGACACGAAAACCGTCGACTCAATGGTAGATAAATCTGTTCGAGTGTTCGATACTCAGAGGGACGAATGCAAAAGCATGGATTCCGTGGTCGTTTTGACGAATAACCCCTTGGCTGCTTCTACTGAGAAGGTGAGTGGCCGAAAAAAAAGGACGAATTAATTTATTGCTATTATTTTTAAAAATCAATATTTTGCATAATTATATGAAGAAAGATTGTGTACAACTTGGATATTTATATCGCTTGCATAATGCTACTTTAAATAGCTATTATCAATAACTTATCGATGTAATAAGTCATTAAACTGAAGTACTGCTGTAACGTACAATTAAAAATATAATTACAATTAATTAAATGTAATTTTAGATAGTTACAGGTTTTTTTTTTTTTTTTTTTTTTTTTTTTTTTTTTTTTAAATAGTCACAGAAAAATGTAAATATAAGAATAATTATAAATAACTCGTAGAACGTATAATTCAGGCATTTCTGGACAAATTTAAGCAATTTAAAGTACCTCTTTTGTAATTAGTTTATAATATAAATTGATTAAACATTAATATAACATTTACAAATTTTGATTTTAGCTAGAAATTTTGTTTTTATTAAATTGATTCATATAATCATTAAAATGTAGTGCACAATAATAAATACAAGACTATACTTAATAATTTATGCTTTAATAATACTATTATATAATTAAGAAAATGACCGATCGTTTTAATATACTTAATAATACTATTATATAATTAAGAAAATGACCGATCGTTTTATTTTCTTTGATCATATTGTTTATAACTGTGTCTGTTGTTGTAATTCACTAATATTTTTATGAACAATAAAAATAATCATATTATTTAGCAGATAATTTTTACTACTCTGTTATTGGAATAAAATGAGTTATTAATTATTTTTTTGAATTATCCAACATTGATTATTATTCATAAGTAATGTACTCAGATAATTTTTTTTATTGTTTTAGATTGCCTTATTACCTTCAAAGGGACAAAGAATAAGCGACTAATAAAGTCTGAAATATTGCTTTAAGCATCTACTGATGGAAATGGCTGCTGAATCAACTCATATTCACACAACGAAAGAAATATTTACTATAGTAAATATGTTTTCGTACATGACACTCATTTAATTTTTATATTTTACAGTTAAATGTTTCGTGCAATTTTATTCCATTGAACAGAGTATAATAATAGTCAAAAGATCTCTGTGTCATGTGCCTTTTTAATTATTGAAGATTCTGTGATTGATTATATTTAATATTAAGATGTTCTACAGTCATAACTAACTCATTTTATTGTAAAGCTAAAATACTTTCATGAATGTCAGAATTATATATTATGTACAACTGTAATTACCGTATTTTATTGCAGAATATTATTTAATATTGTCCGTTTTGTATATTTTTTAATACGTAGATATAAGATTTTATATTTTTACGTAAATTTTGAAATATTTAAAATTTTATACCAAACTTAATTAAATTATGCAATATCCATATTTATATATAAATTAATAAATATTTATAATTTCATTACCAATAAATTATAATTATTACTTGTTCGTATTCATTATATTGAATGACTAATGAAAACTAGTATACGAAAATCTATTTTACTTTACAAAATAAATAAAATTCTCAGATTAAGGGAAGAGAGTTAAGGGAAAAACATTAAAAACTAGTAAGCATTTATATATAACAATATATTAATTGTCTTCTATTCAAATGGTATACTATAGGTTGTAATGACGATGGATAATGATTGTAGTGGGTAATAGTGTAATTATAATATAGAAGATACAATCATTTAAGAAAAATCATCAATACGGTAACTTTCATAATCTTTGAGAGATTGATGACAATGTATATTCGTTACAATACGTAGTCTTTTAAGAAGAAGCCATTCAGTTTTTTCACTTCTTTCTAGGCCCATGATTCAAATAAATTTAAATTGAATAATACAAGAGATTTATGTTAATTATTTAAAAATTGTTTTCGGCAAATATTGCGGAGCTATGAAATCGGTGGACCCATTTTCCGTTTTTATAAATATATATAATCTATTTAAAAATTAAAATTCGATGTGCTACGCACACGTTAATAAAAACTACTTCGAGTCTATACTATGAATAAGAGTTTTATCGGTGTACGGAAAAAAGCGTCTTGTTACATAAGACGCATCAGGCTGTACAATTTGTCTTTTTATTGCGACTCCACTTTGATAACTTTATAATACCCTTATAGTAGAGAGCTAATTAAATTGTAAAACACGATTATTAAATCCATAAAAATTAACCAAAAAAAAAAAAAAAAAAAAAACCACCGACGTGGTATCAAGTTTGCTCGACGGGCACGAACAATAAACAACGAGCGAATATCAATAATTATGATATTTCAATGATCTAGGCACTAAAGTTTTTTTTCAGTGCAAACAATGAACCGCGATGTGATAAAAGTAAATACGCTATATGTACAAATCTATATTCAAATTATTCAGTGCGACAAGGTCCTAAGTTTGACTTTTATCACCATGTGGACATATCCAATTTGGCTGTTTCGATAGAATCGCACTCTACTATGTACAAAAGAAACCTGCAGAGATTCTTTCGGACGGACTTTGGCCAATCAGATTTTAAGTTTTATTTGGACGATACATTAGATACTCCATATTTTTTATACTGCACCGAGTAAATTACTTAAAGTTTTATCATATTTTGAAAATGTGAGGTACGAAGAAATAGTCTCTATTTTAAAATGATTACTCATTTGAGAGAAAGAGCATTATCGTTAATATTTTTTTTTTATAATTTTTTGATTTTTTATACTAAACGTATTATTTTATTTTTTGTTTCACAAATTTTGAGTTTTAGCTTAAAAAAGAAAGAGTTTAATCAATTCAATATTTGAAGAGAATATTTATTTCGGTTATTAAATCGCACATTTATATCACGTAATAAAATCAAAGTGACATTTTAATATTTAGTATTATAACGTCCTTTCACTATTCTCTGACTTACGAAAGTAACAAATAAAGAATACCATTTTTAATTATAAGCTCCTCAGCACTTACCACACTTTCGATTACCCTACAATTGGAAGTATTAAAAGATGTTCCTTGCACTAATGTATTGCAAGTTTACATCATCAGCTAACGTTTTCAATTGCACGATTAACATGAAAAATCACGAGATCTTTATTTTCCGCATGGCGATCACATATGATACCCTATATTATTCGACGTCGAAATTGTCACAATTGCTAGTAAATTCGAGACCAGTAATATTCCGTTGGCCATCGGACGGTGACGATTTAACGTGAGATTCGAAGTCCGCGTTGGTGGTCATAACTTCTTGATCAGCAGTCTTGAAAGGCTCAGATTGCAGTCGTACATCCTCTCCTATTTTCGTACTCATTTCCTCTAATCTTGTTTTTTCGCCTTCGACTCCGCTTTCTTCTGACTTAACGTTTTTAATCTTTTCCTCGATACCCTGCTTTACCGAATTACACAATTGTGCAGTTTTATTACTGCCACTTCCACAGCTTCTATTGTCACCGTTAGACGAGGATGGCGGTGAGGTTAATAGATTGAGTTTCAGGCGATCGCGTGTATGCCTTAATTCACCCAATTGTTGACGATCGCTGAAAAATTGTTGCTGCGTTGCTTCGTCATTTTGATGTGTCTGAGAGTCTTGAATCGCAGTATCATGCGGTGTCGTGGCAGCGCCATTGCCACTAGCCCCAGGAAAGAATTGACTAACGTATTTTCCATTTCCTGACTGGAACTGGAATGGACGGTTCGAACTGCTTACGTAGAACTCTTCGTCTCCTCCTGTCGATATCATACATAAATTTACATGTGAAATTACAAAATATGGGTAATGTTTTCTTTTCTGTTATCATAATCGGCAAGAAAGATAGCACATGACTAAATTAAAATGTCTTCTGACAGTATTTAAAAACCAATAAACAGTCTTCATTCGATATTATAGTATACTTATTTTATTAAAATTCTATTTATTGAAAGTAATGAAATATAAACTTTTTATGTTTTTATATATGATATAAATATAATTTTAATTAAATTTGATATGAATTTGATCTAATGAATAAATAATGAATAAGACTTATTATTATTTATATAATGTAAATGCATTTGAGTATAATTGAAATTTTTTAAGTATTTTTACTGGTTACTAACATTCAAATATTTTAGTTTATAATAGAAATTTTTTCATGCAATTATATTAAAATTTTATTAATACAAATAAGTATGTAAGTAGTAATACAGTTACGTAAATAGATTTTTATAAAATTCTCTAAACATATTGAATGAAAACATCTAAATATTAATTATTTCTCTAAGGCAACATAATAAAGATTATTTCATATCAATTGATAGACTTCCTTTGTGATCTACTACCATAACGCAGTTTAATTATCCTTTTAAAAAGTATAAATAATATTTTATATTAAAAAAAAATTAAATGAAAATAAATGTAGTAAAACAATATCAAGAAATACAGAAATATTTGTTATTTATTACTAATAAAATCTTCAAGTATTGATGAACTGTATTTGGAGTATAATTGAAATTATAATTATAATTATAAAAATAATGATTCTATTAATTAATAGAATCAATTTCAAAATAATTTATTATACATCGACAAACTAAATTAAATTTTTTTTTTTTAATGTAAGTGATTTTATGTATTTAATAATTTGAATATTATTTACATAATCAATGTTTTATTAGCATTACTTTCTGTACTTTTGTATCTTAATTAATTACTTTGATATGTATAATATGTTTTAAGTCAACAAGTGTTTATTCACATTATGAAGTTATACTTTTTCCATGAGAGTTTAGTGCCTTCAATATTATTTTCTAAAACTTACTGGTGTTATTAGATTCAAAATAATCCATTGGTTGAAAATTCAATCGATCAATGTTATCGATCATTTCTTCCCAGTCTACATAAAAAAAGTAAAAAATTAAATCATAATGAAAACAAAAACCTCTTCTAAAGTTTATTCTTGATTAATTAAACCCATTTTCAAAATAAATCAATAATTAAAATTAAATATAATAATTAAAAATAAAATTAAAAGTAGATAAATATCAGATATTTAAAAAAAAAACATAATATTATAAAAAAATGTAAAGATTATTTTATTAACTATTGATTAACTTAAAGATTGTTTCAACAATAAAAAGAAATATCTTTTTTTCAATCTACTGAAGCATAAATTTAATTACAAATATTAAATGATATTTGTAGACTTTAATTAAAACAATATAATAAATTAGATGATTATGAATGTACCCAAAGGCGAACCTGCATAAGATGTTGGCTCCCATACTGATGTTGTAGAGGTCTGATTTTCAATGGGCGGTGTTTCCTTTGGGTATTCGTACACACAATGGTAGCGTTGTTTTTTAAACCAGACACTCTTCTTTTGATCCTATATAAAATTACATTTATATTATATCAGATTTATAAATTAATTATTGATTATTTGTCATATTTTTATAATGTATGAAATTTAGTAAAGAAAATGATTAAAATTCACGCATATAAAGCAAAGCGCATATCAAATTCAAGCGGTGCAAAGGCATTAATATATATACATATATGTATATATATATATATATAAATATTATTTTTGATTAAATATTTTTTCTGAATATTTATTTGGATTAGACACCTACCACTTCGTCCTAGCAGCAAAGAACAACACACAATCAAATACGAAAATATCGATCATTTACAAAAAACTAAAATGAATTATAGAAATTCAGTATGAATTGTATGAGTAGGCTTACCCCAGATTTTATAGTCTTGTCTGGTGATCGAAGCGCTGATCGATGTGGTGCCAATGTTGCATCCCAAGCTGATGGGGTAAACTCTAATTCTTCATCTTCAGTTTCTAAATCCTCATCGAGATCGTTATTAGTTTCATCTGTTTTGTCTTCTTTTGAATTTTCAGTCTCATGGCTCTCTAGATGCGTTGCACCATATTGCTAAAAATTTTGCATGTATGTGATTTAATTTTTTATTTATATTAAACGTATTAAATAATATTAATACCTATAAAGTCAATTTTATTGTTGTAAAAACTACATTTGCAGAAAGAATGATTTATCAATAATGAAAGTATCAAAAATTAAAATTTATATTAAATAATATAATAAAACAATAATTATATAATAAAATTATGATAGATTTCAAAATTACACATATTAAATTAAAATAATAAAAGAAATTTGATAATTAAATTATTTATAAATTTATGCTTTTCAAATATAAGTGTTTAATTTATTCAAACTATAATGTTATACATAATAAAAGAACTATACTATTTGCATTATAATTTTTCAATTATTTTAATAGATTTTATTTTTGTACGTTTACTTTAAAAAAATAATTAAATAAATAAGCAGAGAGAATATAAGTTATAAAATTATGAAAAAATGAAAATGAACGACAACTACCTGCCAAACAAACTCTCCAGAGCTTGAACTATCATCATCATCATCATCGTCGTCCTCATCATCATCATCGTCATCATTATCATCATCGTCGTCATCATCATCTTCGTTATCTTCTTCCATCATACCGTCTTCACATTCATCATCATCGTCATCCTCCTCATTATCATCATTTTCATCTTCGTTTTCGTCCTCCTCGTCAATTTCATTCGTTAAACTTTCACTATGTTCATCCTGATCTTCTTTATCGCTATTCCAGTCTTGCTCATTCGCAAAACTTGTTGACATGAGATTGTCTTGGAGTTGAGGGGGCAACATTGGATAAGTTGATATCTGCTGTTGCCACTTACAGGCTTCATCTTCGGGGCTGGGCAATGGAACACCTACACTTGAACTACCATCATGTTGTTTATCCATCGAAAAGGAAAGTCTCATCTGTTGTTGTTGTATGTTTGAAATCCTATTATCATTAGATGTTACATGATTCATCAGCTCCTGTATTTAATTGGAAAGAATATTTATGTGTATATATGTATATATATATATATATATATATATATATATATATATATATATATATATATATATATATATTACATAAGAAGTTCGAAATTACAGTTATCAAACATAATTTGTAGTTGATTCAGAATAAACTTTGAGGCCATTTAATGTTATATCTTTCAGAATATTTTATAAACAAATACTACAGATTTAATTATACAATAAGAGCAGATTGTTAGGTATTATTAAATTGAGAGACCAGACTCATTATCTTTTTATATATACACGGTTATTTTTTAAATATTAAAATTTAATTAAACTAGCTACATATTTTAGAAGCTACATATTTAGAATATCTAATGAAATATATTTAATTTCTCGTTTTATTATTTCGTTAAATTTGTCAAAGCATGATTAGGAATATTTTACTTTTATATACTATTTAAAACTATTAAAGATTAATATCGAATATCGTTTTAATTCAAAATTGTTTGACATTTATTACTGTTTATTTCTAATTAACATGTAATAATATTACTTTATTATAACTAGGAATTATTTATTTATAAATTTAACAATTGCAAATTTTACTATTTCCGATTTAACTATAGTAATTTATGTTAATATCTGGCATATTTGGAAATAATTGAATAAAAATGATTACCTGAGAATTATGAGAATGTGAAGATATGCCTTCAACGAGTGTCGCTCGATTAGTTTGTGTATCAATAAGAAGTACATCATCTTCTGAGAGAGAATTACTGCCACCTTTGGATGCTATTGATGTATCCCGTGAATCGTCTTTCGTTATATTCGTAGATTCTGAAATGCTTGTGCTTTCTCGTTCTTCAAGTATTGGGCTTAACGGTGTACCATAGGTATTGTATCTAATAGAGAAGAAAATGTATAATGATTATATATATAAATATTTTAATTAAAATTTGTTCTTACATTTCATATATTTTACGGGTTTCTGAACTCATTACAAAAAATTGCAAAGGATAAATATTTTTAAAATAAATAGTTTTGAAATAGTCTACTGTTTATTATCAGAACACAGCAATGGGAATTGGGTAGGTATATATATATATATATATATACCCCTCTTATTTATTTTTAAATTTATTTATTGTAAAGTTTCTGTAATTAGTCTGGTTATATTTTGAATTATTTATGCTATATAAAACATAATAATTCGATTAAAAATTTAATTTACATAATTTGTTACTGGCTTTATCTTTTTAATAATTTGAGATTTAATTATTATTATACTTAAAATTTAAGAGATTATGATTATTTAGAATACTTGAACTCTTATGAAATTTATATCAAAATGAAAAGCTCAATTTTGAAATGTACTTACTTTCGCTTGTATTACTTTTCGTATTAACTATTAACATTTTTTTTTTATTTATTAGTAAAAGAGCCTAAATATATTGAGTAGCATAATACAAATTAAATAAAAATTGAATACAATATATTTGAAACTAAGATAAGTATTATGAAAATATTTTATATTTAGATTAACATATTTATAAAGTAAAATATCTTTAAAACACATATTTTCGTATTGTAAAACTTTAACTCATACCTAATAGATATATCAAGAGTGCTACTTCTGTCAGATAAATCTTCTTCAATTTCATCCCAGTTTTTGTTATCTATATCGCTAATAAGTGACGGCTCGTCCTCATCATGTAGCTCTTGTGCTTCAACAACTGTCATTTGTGCACGTGGCAGTTTTTCTCTCAATTCATTACGGATTGCTGCGACGAATTCTTCATCCATGCCAAATGATACATAGGAATTGTCACTGCGGAGCGACATCGTTGAGCTATCTTCATCTTCATTGTTATCCAATATACCTGGACCTACCCAATTCCCGTTTTCGCTTAGCGTTCGCGTTGCAATCACATTTACATCTTGATTACTCATAGTGGATCGATAACGAGGACTTAATGGACCCGATTCCAAATCTGTTATTTGTGAATCAAGTACGACATTCAAATTGGCATCATCGTCATGTAATTTATCTATTTGTACAATTTCCTTTTGAGTTTCACCAGTCGTATCGCTTGAAGAGTGCATAGTATCTGAGTTCTCAGCTTCTACATCATTGTCCTTCTGTGCAAGATTTGAAGCATCGGATTTCTGTTCAAAGTTAAATTAAATGAATATTATTATATAATCATGTAAAGACATAAATATTAACATATAGTTTTGATTAATTAGATTTGAATCTTATCTCTATTTCATATACATTTTCATGTAGAGTTTAGTAATAGAATTTTATAATGTCGATATTCATAAATATGTATATTCAGTATTTATTAGAAGTAAGTTATCTATTCATTCAAATATCAATTAATTAATAATTATATCTAAAATAAAAAAAAAAATTAATCTATAATTCTGTCATCGTTTTTACAAATACAAAAGTGTTAATTTAAATTATACAAAATAATTAATTTTTCATATGTACAAGTCATTCTAATAAAATTATGCTTTTATTAAGGAATTTTTATACAAAATATTGTACCTGAGGCATTGACTTGTCAGAGTTAGGATCCAATGAATCATTAAGTATACCATAATACTCAGCATCCAGAATTGTGTCGAGCTCAAATAGTATACGCAACTGTTCTTCTTCAGCACTGTCATGCGTCGTTGTTGATTTGGGTGTGTTGGATTGCGATGAAATAAGATTGGGCAAAGGTCCCGGTAACGGACTTTCTTCTTCTTCACAGGATTCCTTATCGCGAAATCCTGAGTCGGAACTACGTTCATCATCAGGCGTTGACATACGTTTTCTGTCATCTTCTTCGTCTATTGGCAAGTGGCGCTTCGACAGACCTGATACGCATTTATTCAATTTTTTATTTAAAATTTATATTATAAAATTAAATTTATTGAGATAAATTTATAGTTACTGTATAGTTGATAGTATTCATATTTTAAATTAATCTTTATCAATTATTCTGATATTAGATTAAGTTAATTAAATTTTAAAATACAATATAGTAAATATCACAAAATATTGTTAATAAGTAAAAAAATTATTTTCAAAGGATATTTGTCATTACGAACATAATTTCTTCTATGATATTATATTAAATCTAAAATAAAACACAATTTTCTAACCAGGCAGATCTTCAGCATTGGAAAACTCGTCTTCAGCATCCTCAGTAGAATATTCCGTTCGTGATTGTGGCGATGGTGTTATCATTTCATCATTAACCCCATCATTTTTGTGGATTGGTGACGGTATTGTATAAGAATTAAAACTGGTTGTGTTTTGTTTGAGGACAGGGTCCATTGTATCGTTCCAGGTATTTGCGTTGAATGAATTATTTTGTACAAAGTCATTTTTTTCTTTAATTGCCTCATCCGTCTCAATGTCATCATCCAAATCAGTTATTTGAAAGTTGTTGGAAAAACATGCAGGTGTTACAAACTCTTCATTCGTAGCAGTGCTTGTTCGAGATTCTACTAATTTCTCCGAATAGGATTCAGTGGTGGTATTGATTTTTTTATCATACCGAAGCCAAGATTGATTTAAATCTCTTGTTGCTAATAGTCTCAGTACATGTTCTTTATTAGAAAGAGTATCTATAATATAAATATTATAATTTAGTTTAAAAAATATGTGAGTTAAGGAATATTTAATTCATTCATTTTTTAAGGTAAAATATTTTATTTAAATAGATAATATTAATTTTTAAATATACAAAAAAACACATAACCTATTCTCAAATATATGCGCGCGTAGGTGAGTATGCCTGTGAATAATAGATAATTTGATAAAGTCTAAATACATTTTTAATTGTTTTATAGTTAAATCGATTTATACTTAATCATTATTAATAAATTAAAATCATTAATAAATAAAAATAGATAATCCATAAATTTATTAAAATTAAATTCATTTAATACAGTTGAAGATTTAGATAATTTTTAAATAAAATAATTATTGTAACATGATATTATATATTTTTAAAGTTTATAGATTCTTTGAAATGCAAATATCATATATATAGTTATTACTTTATTTAAAACATATATTAGGTGGTATTTCGATATTTGTATGTTAAATATTTTATTTGTAGAAACAGTATATTATTATACAACCACAATTAATTAAAAGTTTTAATGAATTAAAAAATTAAAACATACTTGACTCAGCTTCTTTATTTAGAGGCTTTAAACAATCATCTTCAAAAATTTCTTTCTTAATATTTTTATCTACAGTAGAATCAAAGGTCAGTCTTAAAATTGGAGTTTGTCCTTGATCCATTGTAAGGGTTAAAAGCTTAGGTCTTTCCATGTTGGAAGTTGACACACTTTTTGGACCTCGTACATTATTACTTGGTATCAAAGGATCTCTAAGTTTTCTTAATGCCAAATCAAATTGATCATCGAAAACTGCACTTGGTAAATCACCATCACTGCCAGTAACTGATAATCTTTTTTTCCCTGACATTGTCTTATCTATCATGGGCATCTATAAATCATGTAAGACATTAGTTTTAAATATAAAAATGAATTATTAATATTACTCTTAATTAAAATATTGTATTTTATTTTAATTTTGCATATTTGCAATTTATTACCTGCGGGCCCAATGACAAATCAGCGTCCGAGTCCGGCTCGATGTGCACTAGCACCATAAGATCTGCCACTGATTTTGACTTTTGCTTGACTTTCTCCGTGTAAGCGCCGCGTTCAACTCGACCACGCCAACTCTCCTCTTCCGTTTCTGAATCCGAATCACGGAAGGGTAATTTGCTACGAATCAAACCACCTGGTACGTTCTTTACGGGCTCTTCAGGACCGAGACGAAATGATGTCTGTGTTAAACTTTGCCATTGTTCTGAATCTATACTGCCACGTAAATCTTGTAAGCTTGCACTTCTCGTCTGTTCTTTTAAGGTATTCGGTCGTAGGGTCTCCCAGCGTTGTTCAAACTCTGAAGTTTCGGCTTCTAGCTGATCTTTTAATAGAACGTGCCTCACCTATAATCAATCATTAATAGTTATTTAGATGTTTATATTAGTACTTTTTTCTCTATACTTTCTCTCTCTTTCTTTCTGCCCATACATTCACGCAGTCATTAAAATTTACTACAAAAAATTTAAAATAATTAAAAATAATATAAAATTCAATGCACAAATGCTATTTACAATTAAATAGTTAAAAGCTTTGTTTTATAATAAGGTTTGTAGAACAAAATAATAATTTTTTGTCTTACTAACACGTTCTAAAGGAAATCGTTTATCAGATTCAAGAATTAAACAAGTCTTAATTGCTTCCAATAAGTTTGAAGGGCAATTCTCGTTATTTTGAAGAAGTAGCTGTGATCCAATTGGTTTCATGCCCGATTTCGAGGAGAGTAGCATCTCAATAACTTGCTCGTCTTCCAGTTCATCATAAGGTCTTTTCCCCCACATGGCTATCTCCCACAATAAGACGCCGTAACTCCATAAATTGGCCCGTGGAGTTATCTCACGTGTTTCTATCGTTGTCTTAGTGCACTCAATTGTTTCTGGAGCTGACCATCGTATCGGCAATGCTCTGTCTCCTTGATTAGAAAATTAATTATTACAATCACGCTTTATTGTTAAATAATTAAATAATTAAATAATTATATAATTAATAATTGCTGTTATTTAATATCATATAATTAAAATAGAATACAATATATTACATTTATCGTAAATTATCTTTGCAAACGAAAAATAATAAGCTAAAAGAAATCAATTGTATTTGTACTGAAATTATAAACTCAAGTTATAATATTACACATTTGATTATAATTGATTATAATTTATCGATATAAAAATGCAGAACAAGTTATTTTCATACCTAAAATATAATAATCTTCGGGATATTTTTCAACTCCAGTCCCGTAATCTCCTAATTTAATGGACAGATCTGATGCGACAAGGCAATTTCTTGCTGAAAGATCAGTATGGGTAAGTCTGTGTTGGTGCATATGTCGAAGTCCCGCGCCAATCTCAATAGCAATGCGTGTAGGCATATTTTCATTAATAAGAGCCTCTCGTGATTGGGGATCATGATTGGTATGTAAAAAGCCTTTAAGATCACCCAACGGGCACGATTCGAAGAGTAATAGATACGGATCGGCTTCAAGACAGGAACCAAAGAGGGACAGGATGTTTCGATGGCGAAGCTTGAAATAAGGCGTGGCTTCCCCAAGAAACCAAGCTTTCTCTTTGGTCGTTGCTTCTTCTGTTAATATCCTTACCACGACATTTCCATTTTTTGCATTACACTTTTCCTAATTTTGGTATAAAAAAACATACATTGTATTCATAATGTTGTTTATAATTAATAAAATTAACTTTCATCGGTTAACATTTATTTTTTTTAAATATTTAAAAAATAAAGTTCTTCTATTGAAATCGTGAAATAACATTACTCATTAAATGTGTATGATTATTTTCAGTTTTAAAATTAGTTATGGTTCATAAAATTAATCTTACTAAATTAGTTCCTTGTAATTCAGCGCATCCTTCAACGACTTTACCAAACCATCCATGACCGATTTCACGCAGATACTTGAGTTTTTCTCGTGGTAAGTGTAGATCGGTGTTCTGGAACCATTCATTATACGAATTCTGTAAAGTTAATCGATCTGATTCATTCACCTCTTCAAAGATGGATGGCGAAGGTGGCGGTGGTTTAGGCCTTGGCAATATGCATACGTCAGGTATAAAACGTTCTACTGGTAAGGGTTCAAATTGTATACGTTCAGGAGTAGTGATGCTAGTGGGGACCTGTAACTCCAAGCCTTGCAACTGAGGCATTGATGAATCATTATCGATTGAGTTGCCATCCTTGAATTCCTGTAATGAAAGTTTGTATTTTAAAGAGTATATTTGAAGGGACACAGCGGAACAGAATGAAAAAATACAATATTTTTTTGCACTACTATTTACAGGCAAGGATTTTTTTTTCAGACTAAAGCTAAAACATCACAATTTACAAGGTGCATTAGCCTCGAACATTTTATTTTACCTTATTAATACTTCCGCTACAGTCCTACAATTAAAAAAAGTGCATATTTATGTTGACATATTTTAATGGCTTATATGAAATTTCTAATATTTTGTATGTAGAATCTTATATTTATATAAATTTTAATACATTACAAAAGGATTAAATTAGCTTAATTAATAGTAACGAATAAAAGTCTGTTTTACAAATATACGATGCCTAGCTTTTAAAAAACACATGAAAATGCATTGATTTCAAAATCAAATTATATTAATTGTACTAATGTTTTTTTTATTTACATTTAATATAGTATTATACTTAGATTAAAATATAAATGTTTTGAAATTAATTTTTGTAATTTTTCAACAAATGTATTAATTAACAATAGATATTATGATAAGTAAACTGATAAACTTAGTATAAAGAATAATTTTCAAGCTCATGAGATGTTACCTGAAATCCTTTAGGTCGACGATTTCTGCGACAACATAAACAACCAACCAAAGTAAAAGCTGTGATTGTAATCCCCAGTAATCCTATGATATATTTGAGCCAATTAAGTTCCCAATGTCTGAGTGATTCATTAGTGCCTATGACAAAACATAATAGAAATTCAATTAGATAACAAAACATTTCACAATGTAAATATTATAATATCTACTAGTTAATATTTATTTTATACATAAAATTATAGTAATTAATCCAACTTTATTTAAATTTGTATTATTAATGGATTGAATAAGTTAAATATTAAACATTGAATTTGACAGTATAAATTTAATTTAAAAATAAAACTTGGAAAAAAAACTTAATAATTCTACTGATTTTGTTACATTTTCAAAAAAATTGTTTTAAAAATAATTATAAATATAACAAATTTGTAAAAATATTAAAATATTCATTTAATTATTAATTATAATAATTAATTGTAAGGATATTTATTTAATTTTTAAATTATAATACATATAAGAAACGACTTAAAAATATATTTTTATTTTAAAGTGTACGTATCATATATTATTGTCAGCTTATGTGCCATATTTCAACAAAAAAACTTGCAACATCAGACTGCGCAGCCTAATACTCATACTTCTATTTCTCTCTCCATTTTTTTTTCTGCTTAAATATTGAACAGAGTTTGTTGAGTTATTAAAGCAAGAGAATAGCTATAAATTCAAGAATTAGAGAAATAGTACCTAATGATATTGTAGGTAATACAGGATGAGCTTTGAGGATGGGCAAGCTCTCCCAGAACAAATAGTACACCCAAAGGCCCCGCATAGCTTGGCTCCTCTGTACTTCAGAAGTCATAGCAGTTGTCGCACGACCGCTGCATCATCTTCGTGCGGCGCCGTCGATGACGATTTTGATGCTGCTAGTGTTAATAGCAGAGAAGGTGAATACCTTCGTCAGATGACGAAAGAGGCAGAAGAAAGAGAAAGAGAAAGATTACTGCCGCACCTGCTGACGATTCTTTTTCAAAGAGTTGCTCACGAGGAGAGCGCATGATACAACGTCTGTGTGCGTGCACTACTCCCCGATGACGCTGACGACGGGAACGATCTCAACACGTATATTTACACAACCTGGACAGACAAGTTACTTCCGATCGACATTGTTGTCCGTGCGTTGCGCGAACACGAATATATAAAGTGGAGGGAGGACTCCTTGCAAAGTATTGCTACGCGTTTGTTATGTGGGCGTAAAAACGATGAAAGGAAGAGAAAAGTATGAAATTAATGTTCCCTTCTCTATTTTGTCATTCTCTCGTGCACTTTTCAAGTTACACTAAGCCGTCGTCGAGTCTCTCATCTTGCTCACCTCACCTCGATATTATATTGCCGTATTCTTGCACTCGTATTTCACGCTCCTTTTCTCTTTTCTTCTGTCTTACTCCTCCTCTTGCTCTCGCTCTATTTCCTTCCCCCCTTACTTATTCACTCGCTCCGGTACTTCCTTGTGACTACTCCCACTTTTTGACGTGTTCTTTCTAATTTTTCATTCGTTTCATTCTCCCACTCTGTCTCTCATTTTCATTTCTAGTTATAATAAGTATGATAGGTTGATTTAAGAAATTAGTACTGTAGCAGACCGAATGTGGCGCTGTCACAATTTTTCTATCGGATCTCGGGAGATTGGAACCAAGAACAACAGTTGACCGCGAAAAGCAAAAAATACGTCAAAAGTTATTTTCATGCCCTTATATTTATTCTTACTAATTGTCTAAAGATTTATTAACAAAGTGATTTTTATACAGAAAGGTGGGATATCGTTATTACTTTGATATTATCTTCAAATTAAATAGGTGTAAATTTTCGTTTTTCAAAAATTCAAGGTATCATAAATATAATTGATCGACGATGAAGAATTAATAGGCAGTTGTTAAAACATTTGGATATAATATTCCAATATAATACGTGGCATAAATGATGCAATGGCATATATTTAATTCTATCGAAGAAACGAACTTATAAAGCTTTTAGTATTAGAAGTTTATTGATTGCAGCGGAATTTGTTATGATTAAATTTTAATTAACATATCGTTTATTTATATTTTACAAATCAAGTATTTTACTATTCATAATCTTAAGATTTATATTTATTACAAAATATTGAATGTAATACGTTATGTATTATTTATAATTTTATTATATCGAATGGAATATGTTCGGTATTATTTTGTATACAGAAATATTAATAATTATGCGGTGTTATAAAGATTTTTTTAATTATTAAGTGTATCAAATACAAAAAATTATAAAATTGTTATAATTCATTCCAGATAAATAATCACAAATAATCATTTTTCTCAATTGTTTACTTATACACGTTTGATGTATTTAAAGAATTTTAATGTTCAATATAGAATACGTTATTAATCTTGTGAATGGGTGTACATTAATCTGTAATCGTTCTTAATTATAAAAAATAAAAATTTTACTAATATTAATCGGTATTATTAAACTTCATTTTTCTGTGCTTGATTGATTACTTATTTAATATTAATAGTTCAAGGCTGCCTTAAGTGATAACCATGATAATAGTAAATATAATTAATGTTATAAGTAAAAGTTAAAGTAAATATAATTACAATGTACTGTTATATAAAATTAAAGTACTCGGTACGTATAAAAAATAATCTATCCTATTGTATTTCTTATTTATAACGATTTACCATTTATCTATAATGAATATATATTATATTTTTTTAATTTATAAATGTTCTCTATATTATTTTTTTAATAAGAATACGAATATATATTAAATTGTATTATAATAATAGTGTCTATCGCTTCATCCGTATTACAAATCAAGTTTTCATGGCCTACTTTCTGTCCATAAATATGTATAATGGGAATATTCCTTAACCATTCTTTTCCATGGATATTTATGTAGTTGATATTTAGTGCATCAACTTTAATATCAAATAATTTTTAATACATGAAAAAGTTGATTACTATTCAATTGAAGCAATTGCTGGGCATTATCAGACTTTAAAATTTACAACAAATATTAACGTTATTTCATAAATTAGATATAATCTATAACTTTTTTTGTTTATAATAGGTTTTGTCAGATTAATACTAATATGTCATAACGTTACCTCGTTGTAACTTACTAGGTAATATGTATTTATGCTATAGACTTAAATAATCAAAGAATTTTATTATTTTGAAGCAATAAAAGCAGTAAAATATTTTTTCAAGTTGGATTTCTTAAAAAAAAAACTATTAATATAAATTTATATATACTTTTTAAATTTTAAATAATATTTATCTGTTGTACTTTTAATAATTAAAATGAATTGTAAACACATGAATATACTAACGTACTCACAAATGCAAAACCATGCATTTATAATTATACAATGTGTTAGAAATGTCATGAAACGAGTAGCTAATTCTTCGATTTCTTACGAATGAATAAATTGTTAAATTAATAATGAACGTTGAATAATCTATAACTATTACATTGTTTGATACATGAATAATTAACGCTAATAAAAATAAAATTTAGAATCAAATGAATATATGTAGGAATTATTACATAAGTTGTCGTTACTTTGTTACAAGTTGAAAGCTTTAATAAATTTATTATACATTATTAACTAGTTTTAGAAATCATTGTTTCACTCTGACAAAAGTGACAATTTTCTGTATTCTTGTTTATATAGAGGGAAACATTTGTTTATATGTATTGAGAGAAAGTATATTCAAAAATAGAATTGCATTTGATGAGTTATAAATAGTTTTTCTGATTTTTAATGAATTCTTTAAAAAAAAAATATATTTTTAGTAAACTTACAAAACTAGATTTAAGTTTTATTAAATTATAATATATTTTGTTTTTATATAATTTATAAATTTTGCGAATATGGTATATATTTTCATAAAAATATACGCAAAACATCCTTTACAAATTCATATGCCATAATAAAAACAAAAATTATAATATATTTATGATAAATTGTAATTATATAAGAGCTTCATTAACTTTTTAAAGATATTATTTTAAAATCATCTTTATTATTTTTTAAAAAATAGCGATTTTAAATGAAAGTACAAATTTCCATGGTATTTCTACGTATACATATCGGTTCAATTAATACAAGCTATTATCATTATTATCATTATATAAATATAAATTAATCCGTAAAGAATATTTCGTTTCCTGTACAAGTGTATAATTATTATTTTACATATTTTCGACGTACATATTTATATACAAATTTTTAATAGAAAATAAATTGTTATGAAATAAAACATTCTTGAAATTTTCCGATATTTAGAAAAATCCTTTCAAATAAGAAATTATAATTTTCTAAAGAATATGATTGTTGAAAAAACATTATGAATAATTAATTATAACAATATTTCTTAAAGGTATACGTAAATATTGTTATAAATTTTATGAATTTTATAAATTTATAAATTTAATTTGTTATAAATTGATAATTTGAATGAAAAATTATTCATGATCCCAATACTAACTGTAACACATTTTGACAATAATTATAAGTTCTTCAAATATATTCATAACATTAACTATATAAACATAATATAAAACTTAATCTGTGAGTGTCAAGATTAATTCTAAAAATATCAATAAATGAACTATGGATTTTTTAACCTTTCAATAGAAAATTAATATGCTTAACAAAGCTATTTAATTAAATAAGTGGATTTTTGCGTTTATTTTGCATTTAATAATATTAAATGTTATAATAAAGAAAATTGTGAAATTAAAAAAATTCAAATACATAATTTGTTGTATTAGTTTTCATACATGCAAATGGTAAATTGAAAAATTAATAATTTATGCAATATTTCTAAATTGAAGATTTTTAGATATTTTTAATTTTTAATTTTAGTTAAAAATTTAGATAGAAATATTGCAATAGCTAGAAGACTTTTCTTAATCTTTTAATGTTTCTCATTGTTGCTAATAATAAAATTAAAAAATTTGTTTAATAAAAATATAATAGTAAATAACAGTTCATTTAAATAGTTATTTAATTAATTAGTGACAAAATAAACTGACAAATAATTACCAATAAATAAACATACGATACGAGGATTATAATCTTGATATTAGTTTATAATCATGATTAATATATTCAAAGTTTATTAATAAATTATTATTAATTATTTAATTTTAACGAATTTATATTGGTACTATAAATGTACTATAAATATATTTTTTAAATGTATTTGTAAAATTATAAAAATTTAAATAAAGTAACTAATACTAAAAATCATATTTTTTTAAACTTATATAATGTAATTTTACAAAGTTTATAAAACTGCAAAAAATTTAATGGAATATGTTTGTATAATAACAGAAAACACGATTTTATTATAATAGATTTATTAGATTTATAATTTGCAATTTAGTTATTTTTTAATAATTAATATATCAAATTTAATCGTAAATATATAAAGGAAGAATATATAGTAACGAATCAAAAGAAATATTAAGCCAGTAATTTTAGATTACGACGAAAGAATTAATAATGTATCTAATTGTGAACTATTATTCAAGAAAAATTAAAGTATGCTTATGTTTTCAGAATAGGAAATTCTTAGGAAAGCAGTAAAATACAAATAGAATGTTATTTTTAAATTCATTTGTAAATTTTATATGTAGATCTTTACTTGATTTGGAGAGATTTTAGATCTATATTCGATTGAATTGAATGAATAGATTTAAATTCAATGTCCTCGATTATATGCGAGGGTAAATTAAAGAAAACTCGAAGTTAATCGGTAGTTAACTTAGTCCAGTAATAATTAATCATTTTAATAAATTACATATTATTTAAAAGATTAACAAATACCATATTCTACACTACTCAACTTTCCCTAGAAGACTGATTTTAAATATTCATAATAAAGGAATTTTTATTAAAAATTAAGATTAATGATTATTCCTATCTTGACAAATGGAGATAAAATAAATTATAATATGTATAGAAGTTTATATGTAAACATCACTGTTAAACATTACCGAGCCCTATCTAATTTTATTTATTAAGACTCACTTTGATTAAGATTTCCTATTTAGTAAATATGATAGATTAAGAGAAGTTAAATATTCATCTTAAAATAGCAAAATTACATATTTTGTATGATATATATATATATATATATATATATATATATATATATAAATTTTAGTTGGAAAAATTACTGTATACTCATTAGACTAAAATCTTCTCAATTGTTTAAACTTTAAAAGCATTGTTGTATTAATTGTAACTTAGCATTATATTAAACCATTGCGGAAATTATTATAATATTTAGAGCACAGAGTGTATTGTAATATTATTTCTTTAATACAAAATCTTCATTCAGTGCATCATTTATACTTTGCCTTCAGACTCATATGCGCGCATGTACATGCATAGCTATCAATGCATCTATTATTTTTGAAAATAAATGAAATAAAACTTGATGCATATTAAAAACATGTTTGATTATCTTATTATAAATTTTTCTATGTATTTATATTATATTACGCTCAAAATTGTTACGTAATGTTTCAGTTTGTAGATGTAACATGAAAAAAGTTGTAATTTAAAAATAAATGTAAGCGCACTCGCCTACTGTGGCGCTGCTCATTACTTTTTTGCATTAATTTAAATAAGGCATATGCCTACAGACAATACGATACTTCTAATTAAAGACGTTCATGTTCATATACAACAAGGTTTATGAATTCACCGTCGTCGGCACCGCTAGTATTGTAAACGTGGGAGCTTGGGCTTCAGGTCGTTGTCGTCATTATTTTTTATTCAATTGTATTGGCGCACGTTAGAGATCCTACAGCATTCGAAGTATTAAAATTGTGACATGAAGCGCCATTTTTATATAGGCTTTATTTAAAATTCATATACATAGAGAGAGAGAGAGAGAGAGAGAGAGAGAGAGAGAGCGCAAAAAAATTTTAGAATCGTTTAGTAAAGATATTTGGGAGAGATTGAAAATAGTAATGTATAAAAGCCGTATTCGCAATATTATAATAAATATATGTGTATCCGTTTAATTGATTTATCATTTAAAAATTTTAAAATATTATCGTCGACGATTATTTATTATTACGATTACTCGTAGAAATTTTTAATTTTTTTATTTTATGCATAGGACGAATTATAAGGTGTGCCGTTAATCACTATTTACTTAGTAGCAGAGCTATAGGGATGACTCTTTAATGGCGTGACGCGACATTTTGTCGAAAATGTATAGTAACCAATGAGAAGCCGTTAATGTAGAATGTAATAAAGGCGCATGTGGTTCTCTAGTGCACACATATTCATATGGTTGAACGGCGCGCTTTCGTATACATACATATATTCTTTTCTTCCGTGTCGGCCATCTGCCGATGTTGTTCCAGGTTCTCGAGCCACGTCATATTTGTGTGCGTTGCTGCTGGGCTGCCGTCGTCGTCGTCGTCGTCGTCGGTTTTCGTGATCGCCGGGACCGCGGTGAACCGTGCGCGCGTACTTCTCTTGGTGTCACTCATTAGTCTCTCTAATAAATACATATTATTCCTTTTTTTTGTGTGACGCTGGACGAAAGACACCGGCCCTGTTGCAATGAACATTTTCCGACTACTCGGCGACCTTTCGCATCTTCTTGCGATCATCGTTCTCCTGTTGAAGATATGGAAGACAAGAAGTTGCGCCGGTACGTCGTATGAAATGCATTCTTTGTTACTTAATGCACAAGACCTTAGAGCGATACAAACATGCATACTTTTTAAAGTTCAGTGTTTCGATTTAGAGAAATTATTTACTGCTAAATATTTAAAAATTTGTATAATTTTGTCATAATATTTATTTGTATGCTTGGTCGTTGAATCAAATACATTTACTTGTCATTTCTCGCACAATTTAATTATTAACAAATATATTTTTCACAATTTTTTTTTCGATAATTATTTGATTATGATACAATATTCAAAGTGCCATGATTCCCTTGATTTACATGGCTTAACTGATATTGATTGAGTTTATTTTAGGAATGTCGCTTTCAATGAATTGTATTTGTTTTTAGGTATAAGTGGAAAATCCCAGATATTGTTTGCCATTGTGTACATAACTCGTTACCTGGACCTGGTGACCACTTACGTCTCAGCTTATAATACTATCATGAAAATAGTATTCATAGCAGCTTCCTTTGCAACATTGTTCTTGATGTATATGAAATTCAAGGCTACATATGATCACAATCACGATACGTTTAGGTATGGAATACGTTATTGTTTATTTAATGATAGAGATAACTGGATTTATTACCCTTACAATTTAATTACTAATAAATACAATACTTAAGCAAATTTGCATAAAAATATCTTAAAATTTTTAATATGAATATTCATATATTTCAATTATTTGTAATCATGATTAAATATAATTGAACATTTTTTAGCTTTTAGCGAATACGAATATTTATTGAATACTTATATACATATGAGAAAATAAGTTTTCAAAAATTTCAAGGGCATGATTTTTTCTGTATTTTTAAAAAACAATTTGAATTAACAATGTAAAATAAATAACTTTAACTGATGTAAAAAAAGAAATAATTAAAGAATTCATTATTAAAAACGTAATTGCTAAATTATTATTAATATATGAGAAAATATTATAACAAATTTTTAATTTTATTCATTCGAATTATAATGTTAATTTATGTGTGATATACCTAATCTTATTGTATACAATTTTAATTCATATTTAAAATTTTATAAAATTAAAAATTATTTTGCCTCTACGTACATTGTATACTTTTATAAATTTGTTCACAATCAAGTACATTTTGTGTATGTATAAATATATAATTAATATATTATAATTAATATATTACATAAATGAATAAATAATGAAAAATTATTTTAATTTACAGAATTGAGTTCCTGATATTGCCTGCTGTTGTTCTAGCTTTATTGATAAATCATGACTTTACAGTTTTGGAGGTGTTGTGGACATTCAGTATCTATTTGGAATCAGTGGCAATTTTACCCCAGCTATTTTTAGTATCAAAAACGGGTGAAGCAGAGAGTATTACCAGTCATTACCTGTTTGCCTTAGGCTCATATAGAGGTCTGTACTTGCTAAACTGGGTATACCGCTATTACTCGGAAGGTCATTATGATTTCATTGCCATTGTGGCTGGTCTTGTACAGACCGTTCTGTACTGTGATTTCTTCTATTTGTACATCACCAAAGTACTAAAGGGCAAGAAGCTTTCGCTACCAGCTTAAGCACATGCAAGTATTATAGAGAGTAACATCTACCAGCTGTGTTTCATCAGAAGAAACTGCTGCAGTCATCTTATGATCGTGACATGAAATGTGTCAAAAGTTTCGAGCAAGATTAAAAAATGCGTGCACAAAATATAACTGTCAAGTCAAAAAGGCATTTGATCTTTGCTCTTTAGAATTTTCTTTCTATTCCTACTTTTGAAATGATGGAGCTTTGTACCGATTAACATTTTTAAATTTATTTGAATAATTATTTTTTTATTAAATTTGCAATTAATATTTGAAGTATGACCCTTTATTGTTTGTAAGGAAAGTCATTTTTGTTTTTTAATTTTAATCTTAAGTTAATTATAATGAAAACTTATATTTAACTGAAAATTTGTTTAAAATTTAATAAAAGATTTTCAATTTTCATTTATGATAAAACTAAAATAAAAACTAATAATAATAATAAAAATGGTTTCTCTTATCATTGTTAGTTATATTTAAAATATTTCAATAAATGTATGATTTCATAAAATAATAATGATTCAAGTAATTTGTAAAAATTGAAGTGCTGATTAGTAGGTAACTAAACTCTAGAAGCACTTAAAATTTTATAATTTGTTCAATGTATGATTTTTTTTTTGTTTTTCAATGATGCATATATACAGGAAGGGCGTTTTCTAATGAGCATAAAAAGTGCTATATTTAAAAAGTACAATGTATAGCTCCAGTGTTTTGCGATAAGCAAGTAGATATTGTAAGCTAAGAACATTGGAGTTTCTATACAGAAACTTATGTAATGAACAGAAACAACTAGGGATCGAGTCCAATCAAATATCATCCACCTATTGTAATAATTAATTGTTACTTTTATGATTTTTTTAAAAATTAAAATAATTGTAATAAACTAAAAGTGATTCATAAATAGCATGACCTTTGAATAATATTTATTTATAATAAGCTATAAAATTTGTAAATATATTTATAATTTATTTGTGTATAATTTATATAACTCAACAATATTTTTACAAAATTACTATACTTTTCATTATACACACAAATTGTACATACGCTGTGCCATATCAGTAATATGCACTGTTTCACCACATAAAGTTCTTTGACATACAAGTTTAACTAGACCTGATTTTAGACTTTCATTATTAACAGTAATAATATATGGCACTCGGAAAACCTCCGGCTTCTTAACATTGTTCATTATAACTGATTCTACACCTTTTTCGCGAAGTAATTCAATAACATACAATGTTAAATCATTCAAATCTTCTTTTACTATATCATCATCTTCTGGTGATATATTTGCTTTGCAGTATGCTTTGTAAGGTGATAGCTGTGGATGGATTTGTAATTCTTTAGATCCCTCAATTTCTATATATCCATCGCATAAGATTGTCAAACATGCCCAATCTAAAGATGTAATATGTTCAACAATTCTTAAATTAGAAGTTTTTGAAATCTAGAAGTGATAATATGCTTCTTTTAAATTTCTAAATTTGATTTAAATATTTGATTAGAAATGCAATTTCAAATTTTATCACTATGTCATATAAATTTATATAAATTTACAAATAAATATTTATATATATTTTAATTAATTAAACGAATAGAAACCAAATTTTGATATTAAAAATATTATAATAAAGAAAATTACATTTTAAACTACGATTAATTATTTATATTTTTAAGTTTACATTTATTAATTAAATTGATTTCTATTGAAAAAAGGTTTCAAATATAATAGTATTTATAGAGTAATGAAAAATATTTAAGCTAATGAGAATAACTAATAAGAAGGTTATCATGAAAAGCTATAACATGATTAACAAATTAAAATAAGTTATATTGTGATTACTCACTCCAGGTAAGATTGCCGAAGCATTTTTTTTAAAGTGAATTTTTTCTACAACTATATTTCCAAATGGAAACTGAGCTTCAATTTCAATATGTTCTTCTCCTCTTTTTTGTTCTCCTTCTCGAATATGATAAATTGATGGATTTTCTGAAATTTGACGCCACCATGACTTACGTTCTCTTTGTTTTTTATAAAATAAATCTTTTACACTTCCGATAGCATCATCACTTTCATATACTGTTGTTATTTTGGCAATTCTGTGTTGCACATTCTTTTCCAAATTAATTGACTTGTTCCATATATTTTTAACATTATCTATATTTGCAATACCAAATGGTACATTATTTAATCCAATATCTATCAAATTTTTAACATTGGAATTAATTGTATTGGAAGGTAAATAGAAAATATTATATTTAGATTTTGTAATACAATGTTCAAACCACATTTTTTCAAAATTTCGACATAAAAGTATACCTTGCATACCATAAGCAAATCCAAATTCTTTTAAAGTTAAAAAACTAGGACCGAGTACTTTTAGAATTTGTTCCATCTTTTCTAATTATTTTTTGGTATATTGTCAGGTGGGGCAATGAAATATTCATCTTCTATAATTCTAGCATTTTTCAAAATTTTGTGCTGACAGTTCCCTTCAAAAACTATGTCTTCTCTAAGTTCTAACTTTTCACTTTCTAAAACACTATACATTGGCTGTACAGAGATATCTAATTGTATATCATTGAGTTTTTGTGCAAAATGAATTGCAGATTTTAATTTATGAATGCCTCCTTCATTATTAAATTCAACCAAGGAGATTTTTTCTAATTTACGTATTGTAAAGTCATCAATTATTATTTCTGTATTATTTACCTTACAACACGGTTCTTTATGAACAACTTGTCCTTTCAAATGAGTAAGAGAACCAGTGGTTCTTGTTTGTTTCGTAAAAATTTCAAATATAAAATTGCCTTTAAAATACAATTTTGACATACCACCCATTTAAATATGCCAGTTCATTTAATATTTTTCTTTATTTTGCTCTTACCGATAAAATTTTTCATATACAACACAAAGCACCTCTATAATACTACGGCGTTGAATGCACACTCATCAATAAGAATTATAGCGTTATTTATACACGTGATTAATAAAACATGATATTATATATTAATATAAAATACACCAGTCGATATAAATATTTTCATTTATATTTTTTAAATATTTTCAAAGCAAATTGATTTCACTAAGCCGCGTAAAAGAACGTGCGATAATGGCGAAATATAGTGCCTGCTTAGGTAAGTAATAGAATTTATTTGTAAAATTAGAGTTTAATAGGTTAACGCGCGAAATTCAATAATCAATAATGTATATTGATGCGAAATTATTTTATCGTTACTGTATACTGATATAATAAATTTAATTTCTTTGTATTATTCGATAAATTGAACATTCATATATTGAATGCTATTATTAATATCTCAGCACTGCTAAATTATTGTTTTTGAAAAATTTGTTTGTATAACTGAATGTAATGGCACTAATGCATTGTACTATTGTATTATAATTAAATTAATCAATTTATCACGTAGAAAGTTAGATTACAACATTTTTCTGAATTAATATACAATTTGTTTAGAGTCAATAAATTGATGTCATATACAATTAAATAATAATAAATATATTATGAATATAGTATATAAATAAACGTATAATCAATAAGCAATTTTCTGCTTATATTTAGTTTGTATAATTATTGGAATAAAATTTTGAAATAAATTTTCGTTTAAAAAATGTGAAATAAATTATTTCATACATAAAAGTTTCAGTATGTTTATAAAAAAAAATTTTATATCAATATAATTGGAGTTAATTATTTATAATTTTGATTTTATGATTAAAATATACAAGTTTTAAAACATTTATGAATCTATAAAATTTTGTTTCATTAGTAGAAATCTCGCTTTAATTATGTGACACTTTTAATTTCACAATAATTTTACTTGAAGATAGTGACTTGATTGACTCGTAGTATTATTAAGACTATTACCGAATAAGAATATTACAATATTATTTCATAAATTTTTATTTTAATGGTTTTATGTACCAATTTGTGATTCGATTGATTTGTAATAAATAATATATATTTATTTAGAATTATATAGAATTATTAAAAAGGCGTTATTTTGCTTTTAAGCAAACACTTAATATATAGTAAAATATATATATATATATATATATATATATATATATATAGATTGAAATTAATTTTTTTAAAGAATTGGAATTGGTATGAATTAAAAACTTTATAAAAAAAATTTTAAATTTATAAAAATCATTTTTATAAACACTAATATAAATTATAGTAATATTCTTAAAATAGTATTCTTTTCAGTATTTCTGGAGTAATCACACTTATTGAGATTGTTCTACCTACATTTTAAAAATTTATGAATATTGGCGGTATTTTAGTTGCGATTATGTTCAAGTGACTTTTGAAGTTTCGATGAATAGAGTTAAAAATTGCTTATATGGACATTTGGTGTTTTCAAAACATGATATTTGATCGCACGAGGTAAATGTCAAATCATAACAAAAATGTCAACAATTTTCTTAACTAATGAAAACCTATCAACATTTAATGTAATTCTTATTCTAGGTTTTATCAAGTTATATAGTTTTTAATTGCTAACCTAGATGACCGAATTTTAATAAGTGTTATTACGTTATTACAAATAATTTGTTTTTTTTTCTACAGATTTTATTTGTGTTATCTTTGATATATTTAATACAATATGAATAGAAAGTGACATTTAAATCTCATTTGAGATTAAGCTATTGATACGTAGTTCCTTGTAAAGGAGTATAAGTTAATAATAATGGCCTTAAAAAATCGTCGAAATAAAGGAAATTTAAAAATTCAAGTTTCGGAGGAAACTCCTATTCCAGTGTAGGTTTATTGAGAATACGTTAAACCGATTTCATCGTGAAAATTATTAATAGGTATGTAATTTATTTTTCTAGTACTCCACCAAGAAATCTTGATAAAAGAACCACGATTACTATAGGAGATAAAACATTTGAAGTAGATGCTGATGATTTAGAAATGCTTTCTATACTTGGCCGAGGAGCTTATGGAGTTGTGGACAAGATGAAACATAAACAAAGTGGTACCGTTATGGCAGTTAAAGTAATAATTAATACATTTTTGAAATGATATTTTTTTATATCATCAAAACACAATTTTAAATTTAAAATCATAATATTCATAATTTATAAAATTTATCATTATCTTTATTTTAATTAAAAATATATTTGCGTATTCAGTTATGATGAAGTAAATATTTTATTTTACAAATATATTTCATTATCTTATTTAATATAATAAAATTATTGTTTTTTCAATTTTTTGAACCGAATTTATCATTATTTGATGATTCTTGTGAAATTTGAATATTATATTTTTATAATAGAGCTTAATAGAATTGATAAAAATATCCCTAATGTATAAATATATCTATTTCTTTTAGAGAATTACAGCTACAGTTAATACTCAAGAACAAAAGCGATTATTAATGGACTTAGATATTTCAATGCGTAGTTCAGATTGTCCATTTACTGTACAGTTTTATGGAGCACTTTTCCGAGAAGGCGATGTTTGGATTTGTATGGAGGTTATGGATATGAGTCTTGATAAATTTTATACGAAAGCATATAAATCTAGTTGTTCAATCCCTGAAGATATATTGGGAAAAATATCATTTGCAGTATGTTAAATATTATTATTAAATAAATATTTTTTATAATATGAATATTTTTTAATAATGACAGTAAAATATCAGTTTTTTATTAATGAAAACACACCTTTTAGGTAGTAAGTGCATTGCATTACTTATATTCACAGTTAAGAGTGATTCATCGAGATGTAAAGCCTAGTAATATATTAATTAATCGAATAGGAGAAGTAAAGATCTGTGATTTTGGAATTTCTGGGTACTTAGTTGATTCCGTTGCAAAAACTATTGATGCTGGTTGTAAGCCGTATATGGCGGTAATTGGAATTTATTTAATTGATGTTTAGTTATTATATTACTGTTTAAATAATTTTTAAGTTTTCATTTTAGCCAGAAAGGATAGATCCAACAGGTAATCCTTCGCAATATGATATAAGATCAGATGTCTGGTCCTTAGGAATATCTTTACTTGAACTTGCAACTGGAAAATTTCCTTATGAAACATGGGGTACACCATTTGAGCAGTTGAAACAAGTAGTCAAAGACGAGGCTCCAAAATTACCATCAAACAAATTCTCTTCTGAATTTGAAGAGTTTATTAATAAATGGTATGATTTGTACATTATAATTTCATTATTAATTTCATCTTTAACACAAATGTAAATATTTTGTAAAAATTTTTCAGCTTAATGAAAAACTATGCAGCACGGCCTAATTACAATCAATTGCTTGAGCTTAGTTTTATTTCAAAACATGCTGAAAAAGATACAAATGTAGCAGCATTTGTTGCAGAAATATTAGATTTACCAGATGCAGAACAATCCACGTAGTAATAATATGTTTCAGTTCTTTTTATGGAAGTTATTATTTTTTTAAATATTATAACTTAGCAAAATTTGTTAAGTTATATTATTGCTAAATTATTCATCTATCATCATTCTCTAATAATATAAAATTTTATAAATACTGCTTAATTTACTAATATGATTGATAGATTTGTTAAATTAATCAAAGTTTTAACTATTATAGTAAAAAGAGTCAATTTTAATATAGAAAGTAAATTTACTTTGTCCTATTTTGTGATTTTTTATACAATCTACAAATAATTATGTAACATAAAATAATTTTCAATAAATAAACCATTCAAATATAAGTCTTTATAATAATAATATTTCAATAGTTATGTTTTATTAATAATTTTTATTTGATTAACTATCAAACATTTATAATGTATCAGTTTTGTTCGAACTATTGATAAGAAAAATTTGTTTATTTGATTTCAGAAATTGAAAATTAATTCCTTCTTGGGCTTTATTCTGTAAGACTATTTGGTATATTTTCCCCATTTCTGGCATTTTATTAAATGTATAATAACTTTTTTTATACGCACTGAAAATATTTTTTTTATATTTTTTTTTTTCTGTTTTAGAAACATTAATAATTTTTGTATAAAAATCGAAACTTTCAGGTTTCTTTGTAAAAGTTGTAATCTCAGTTGCACTAGAAATTCTATCTTTTTTGTTACTGTTTATTTCGTTTATCTCTGGTAAATAATCATCTTTAACTTGAACTTCCTGATTAAACAATAAAGCTGCACTTTCACCAATTCCAATAGTATTTGTTTTTATAAATGTATTTAATTGATGAGTATTTAAATAACTATTTAAAATTTTATCTTTTATATCTTTATAATTTAGTAAAAATTCATTTATTTTATCTAAATTATAAATAGTATCAATTTTTTGTATAGATTGTTCAGTTTGCACATAATTATTTAAATTATTTATATCTGATATGTTGGTTATCAAATTATTTAAATTTACATTCGATCGGATATGGTGTAAATCTTCAGAATATATTTTTTGTGAAAAATTTTCGTTTATACTTTCATTATCAATTATAAATGAATATAAATTTATTTTTTCAAAATGTAATTGTATAACTTTATTTGCTGTGGTAAACATATTTTTTATTTTTTTTAATTTTGATTTAATGTCGGTTACTTTTGGTATGCTAACGCAAATAATGTTTTCATTCATATTCAAATTGTTAATTTTATTATGTTTCATCAATTGTAAATTTGAATTTCTAATTTCACTTGTATATTCAGAATTTTTATTTTCTGTTCTATCTAATTCATATACGTATTTAGTATTGTTATTAGTTTTCTTTGTTTTATTTTGCAAATTTTCAATTGCTAATGAAAAATGAATTTCAATTTCAATGAAACCGTTTTCTTTAACTATCCAAGATATCGGTAATTCTCGTATGTTTTTGTTAAATAGAAGAGAATGTAATGCTACATCAAAATTATTAGAAGAAACATTTTTTGACAAATAATTGGATATCTCTTTTTGAAAGTTATTTATTAGAAGTTTGATTTTAAAATTCAATTTATTATTGGAATTTTTTGATGAGAATTGAAAATTATTTTCTTTATTAGTATATTGATCAATGTAATGATTCGTTAAATCTGTAGAAATAAAACAGCAAATCGAGTTACAGAAGTTTAATTATAATTTTAATGAATTAATTTATTAGTACCTGTATTTAAATGCTGTTTAGATATTACTTTATTTTGATTATTATGTAATTTATAAAATAACGATTTAAATTTGGTTGTAAAGTATGTTTCTGATTTTGCTAAATTTTCGGTTGATTGATTTATTTTATTTAATAATTGTTGTTTTCGGTATTGTACAAATTTATTTGATTTTTCAAGTAATATTTTTAAGTAACAATTTTCTTCGTATAATTTTTTTTCTATTCGAAGACATCTCAGTTTAATGGATAATAGTTTATATAGTATTAATAACTCATTATCCTCTTCAAATTCTTTTTTATAATTTATAATTTTTGAAACATCGTTTTTTATAAAGTTTTTTTTTCCGTTTATATCTTTATCATTAGATAATCTTAATTTTAATACCTCTATAGTAAGCGCTTCTATTGCTTCATTATATTCTCGTAATTTTATTTTAAATATTTCGTAATTATTCCAAAGAATAAAAAAATCTTGATCCTAAAAATAATTAAATACGAGAAATTTCTACTTTTAATGTTTGTAATAAATTATTATCAATGCTTTATTTTTAATGAATTTAACTAACAACGTTAAGGTTAGTTTTGTAATTTTCATTGTCATAAATATTTATTAATGCAATATTCATCTTAATAATGTATGCTTGAATTAATATTCAATTATTTATAAATTCACAATATATTTTTTATTTGATTATAATAAAAAATTTAAATGATTTTATTTTGAAAAACTGAAATTTATCTGTACTGCAAAGCCGAAACAAAATAAACCAAATATTTTATAAACATCATTGACAGGTTCTAATAAAAGAAACTAATATATTTTCAAATTTTCAGTTATTTTCGAAAGTAATTTATTCAAATTACACTATTCATTAAAATGATTAAAAAGGAAAATAAAATGGAAATAATCAAATTTGATCCACCGATAAAATCTCGCTATTTGCCAGGAGAGGTAAATAATAATTAAATGTTTAATTAGTAGTGTATTATTGGTTATATCATACAATTATTTGATATTATATAAAATTCGAAAAAGCAAAATAATACGATTAATAATTGATTATAATTATTTAGGTAAATGCGGCCATTGAAAATGTAGATTTAAAAACATATAAAGCACACCGTTTAAATTGTATAAATGCCAAATCAGTTATTGATAATAAACCTCCGAAATTTAAACTGAATTGCTATTATAGTAAAATTAAATTAAACGAAGATGAATATAAAGCTAAATTAAATTTCAAATGTAATATGGATATTATGAAAGCTATCAATATAATTTCCAGATATGGAGTCAGTATTGTATTTCTAATCATATAAATTGTACTTATATCTTGTGTTATATTTTAGCAGTTTATTTCATTTATTTTTTCAATGCAATAGTTTATAATTATACTAATGATTAATCATTTTTTAATTATGAACAATACGATTAACTTAAACGTATTTAGGGAAAAGTCGATTGTTGGAGAAAGAAACATAAAAGACCAAAACTTAAGGTGAAAAGTTTTCGGTATGAAAGGAAATTTATAAACAAGCATATTATGCGCACAAATAATATTATTTATAAAAATTTGAGTGGAATGACGGATTACGGTGAATTTTCACCGCAAGTAATGGCAAAAAATTGGAAATTAATAAAAGCAAATATTGTATATAAATCAAGGTATTTTATAGTTACATTTTTATTTTGCATATTTTAAATTGTTATACATAAATTTTTTTATGTATAAAAATTCATATATCATTTTTGACTATACAAATATTATTCGAAGATTAAAGAGTTATTTCTATTAAGAAACTTCTGTTTATAGAATTTGTTATAAATTTATTTATATATTAACCTGCGAATATTAAACTTTATTTTATATTTTAAAGTAAAAAAATTATAAGAATATAATGGTATAATTTTTATTTCATTTGAGAAACTAAGAATCACGCAATCTTACATAGAATTATAAGAAATTGAAAAACATTTTTTAATAGAATTATTTTTTCATTTTCAATCTGTATTCAACTATTTGTAATTGAACAATGGCAGTTGTATTACAAGGACTAATTATTTACATGGAATTTGAGTATCATATTATGCTAATGTCAGTTATTTCAAAATCTAATTACCTGTTATTCTTAATTAATATAAGAATATAAATGCTGTTTTATTACAATAAAAATGAGCACTTGTGTACATTGATTATATACTAGTTGATTGTAATGTAAGTAGATGAATCGTTGAAATTATTCTCAAAGAAGTTTTTTAGTTTTTAAATTTATGCATATAAATTTAATATTTGTATATATATATATATATATATATATATATAGGAACCCTGATATTTAGTTTATAGGTAAATGGAAAACTACATAGTATCATATCTTCACAAATCGACTATAAAGCCTTCAGAAATCTTCCGCGTTACAGATTTTTAGTACTCAAAACGTTGATAGAAAAATATAAAAACAGTTGTATTGACAGTATTATATATTGCAATCTCGTAGAGAAGCAATTGTTTAATAATGAAATAAATAAAAATTTAGCATAACTCAAATAAAATTCTAGTTAAAATAATAATTCCTTGATCTTGACATTTAATTTTTAAACTTCCGTTTATCTTCTTTTTGTTTACAAAAACCATAATATTTCAGATTTCCTTGGTTTAAAGAAATATCAAAGTATCCATCTATTACTCATAATGCATCGTTAAATAATAAAATTGTACAACGTTCAAGATGTTTTTTCGATCTTGAGCTAGCACAAAGTACATTACCATTAGGCAGAATTGTTTTTGAGCTTTATAATGATTACGTCCCAATGACGTGTGCTAACTTTGAAGCTTTTTGTAGAGGTTTTAATGGATTGTCTTACAAGTAAAAATTCTATTATTATTTTTGTATTATTACTTATTTTTTTTCTCGAAAAATCTACGTAATTAGGCTCATTTAGTAATTATTTAAATATTTTAGTAAAATATTTAAATATTCTAGAGTAATTTATTAAATATAGAAAAAAGAAATATATGGGAATATGCAGTTTTATAATAAAAATAGATAAATTATCTGATAAATGAAATATGCTATTAAGAATGAATCATAAATAATAACATTAAAAATATATAAATATGACAAATTACTTTATTCACTACTGGCTAATCAAATGAAATTACTTATTTTAAAATATTCAATTATAAAACATTATTTTAATTTTTATCCTATATACAGTTTTCATTAAGAAAATTCATGTTTAGTATAATATTCAATATTTTTATTTTAGTATACTTGAATATATTTATTCAGCCATCCATTTATTCATCTATCTGTATGTCTATCTGTCTGTCTATCTATCTATCTATCTATCTATCTATCTATTTATCTATATATATAATTTTTAATTATATTTTTATAGAGGCACTCCATTTCATCGGATAATATCCGGTTATTGGTGCCTAGGTGGAGACGTAATAAAATATAATGGCATTGGTGGAGCATCGATTTTTCAAACACCATCATCTGATGATGATTTTAGCCTAGAACATTCCTGTCCAGGAGTCTTATCAACTTACAATGATAAGAAAATTGCATTCGATTCCAGATTCAATTTGACTTTTCGACCTTTGCCATCAATGGATGGGAGAAAAGTTGTTTTCGGAAAAGTCATAAAAGGAATGCAAAATCTATTTAAGGTATGAAAAATAGATTAAATATTATTTTATTTAATATAATTTAAGATTAAAGACCAATAATATTTTAGATTAATGCATACGGTACAAAGTTCGGAAATCCACTGCAGAAAATAATTGTTTCAAATTGTGGTGTTTTAGACAAGAAAAGAAAAATGATTTTAAAAATCAAGAAAATCTAATCAAAACATTTAAACAGATGAGAAATATTAAGTAATATATTACATTAAAAATATTGGAAGGATAATTAAAATATGTTACTTAGTTGAACTTAAAACAAAAATGAAATGTAATATTTGAGAAATTTATACAATATAAATTTTTATAAATTTTCAAACCAATAAGTTATATATAGTAACTTTTTAAAATGTATAAATTATCTGTTAAACATTTCAGATAAAAATATAACTTTATCTTCATTATTAAGAAAACATCGAATTATTCATATTTTCATATTATCATTTGAATTTTCAATAAACTTGTACATACGCACGCGCAACAATTCGCGAATTACTATTTTCCCCTTCCAATACCATTACCCAACTCGTCAGCAATGTTTGAAGGTCCCACCATACCCCAATGGCGTAGTAAGGCAATTTTTAGTTTCGTACGGCTTGCAATCTTGCATTGCCGATGAACATGTCGAATGTTGATTATGAGTGCAGTGTTGTGCGGTGCTTTTCGCGCCAGTTTGCCTGAGCGGTCAGGAAATAATTGTGTTGTGACAAAGAAAAAGCAATTAATAAATTTATGTAAATTGACGTTCACTCCTCAGCAATGACACGATCGTTTATATTTACGACTACGCTTTAGTTTTTCAACCAGCTTTAATATTGAACATGAGCGGGAAAAAGCACTAGGACAAGTTGAAAATCGATTTTCTGGTTTCTTTCTTTCTCACTTTGTGGAAAAGATTGCTTTAGCTTCTTTTTGTTTTTTATCCCTTTTGGCCGGAGTTCCGAATTGTGAAGAGAACCTCACTTAGAGTTACGTATATCTTTGATGATCTGTCGATACATACGAGTATACTATTTTGCCTAACGTTATTGCCGATTAAATTTATAAATAAGAATGTCTGCCAGTAGTGATTCCGAGGAATTTTTCGATGCCGAAGATGATACAACTACTAATCGGGTTGTTAGGTATAATTATTCTTATCCATTATATATTGCTGTGCCTTTTGCATACACACTAGGAACATACAGTTTTTCAACAGCATTTGTTGCATTTAAAATTGTAATAAAGGCAGTTAATATTAATTTTCGAAATATTTTGAAGTAAATTAGATTTGATCATTTTTTTTATTTAAAAATCAACATTTTATTTATGTATTCAATCTATTTGTAACAGTAGTCCACGCTTTAAAAAATATTGAAAAATATTCAATTATTAATAGTCATAGTATTTATAAGTCAATATATACAGTTATAAGAAGTTAATAAATTAAATTATAAACAAAGTTCTTATTACTTTGTTAATGACTCAGAATTTTTGTATTTTAAAGGGTATCTAATAATGACTATATTAAGTATATTTATGAAAAAATGTAATTGATTAGTTATATAATTAAAGTATAGACTTGAGATCCGTATACATGTATATATTTATAAATATTTATTTCAAATTTTAATTTGCAACATTCGAAAGAACTTTTTGAGTTGTATCATAAGTTTCTTTAATTATTAGGAAAAGTAAAAATAGAGACTCGATCAGTACAGAATCACCAGATGAGAAGTTTTCAACTCCAACTGGAAAAGCAGATAGTCACATTTTTGTCAAACCAGCTGATCCAAAGCTACCGATCGAAATTAGTGAAAAATTACCAAACGAAGAATTAGAACGTAAACAGAGCATTGAAAAAACTGTAAGGATAAATTGTTTGATTTTGAAAGTTAAAACTGATTTAATAAATTTCTAAATTGTATTATTTAAAACAAAAAAATTTGGAATAAATTGATGCATACTGATGTAATTCAATTAATAAATTTCTTTTCAAATTTACATGTTCAAATTACTTATATAATTTTGAACGATACGAGAAATACAGTTATAGTCTAAATGGTGTTAAAAAATTAATGAAAATGTAATAATATTATTGATTTAATAAAAGATTTTAATTTAAAAATATATTTGTAATGTTTCCATTAAATTATTAGATATTAACTTTAAAAGATATATTTTAGCTTAAAGATTGTTTTGTAGTTACATTCATATATATAAATATTGATTAATTTTAACATTGTTTTTTAATTGTTTGACTTAGTTTGGATAATTATGTTTAGAAATTTTATCTCGAAATTTTATTTAAAATCCAAATTATATTAATTTATGGTTAAAATAAGTTTTCGTAATTTTTCCTTTCATTTTTTATAAATTCTATTTGATAGGATGATGAAACAAAAGGAGCTGGAGCAGATAAAATAATTGGTAGACGAAAATTTCGAGAATTGAGGCAACGTATGCAAACAGAAGATGACGATATTCCTGTTAATAATTCTCCTCCGGATAGTCAAACTTCTTCCATAGAAGGAATATTTCCAACGCCTTCAAAAACTTCTCATCCTTTTAGAATTATTGAACATGACACACTGAGCTTGCAAAGTATGACTTCCTTAGGCCGTGTTGGTCGGATATTAGCTGGATCATCGGATAATACTTCACAGATTCTAGGTTCAGTAACGAGTATTTTACCTAGAGATGTTCAAATGTCAACCATACACAGTAGTTGTAATAAAGATGAGGATACAATTTCTGATAAATTATCCCAATCATCAAGTGTAATTACATTGTCCGGAGAAGGTGTTAAAGAAATAAATTTAAATGGTAAATTTGATCAATCATCTTCCATGGAATGTGATAAAAATATAGGTTTTCAAGAACCAGACGTTATTGCTAGTACTAAATCCAATGGGAAAGTTGCTGAAACTCAAGTCATTCCTAATAAAATTCCAGTTGCTCCACCTCGACGTAAAAAAAAAATAAAATCTCAAACACCAAACGATCTAGTTGTAAGTTATATTTGCTTGACTCAAACTGTTTAAATGTATTAGTGTTACTTATTTTTACTTTCATTGCAAACAAAATTTGTCGGAAATTTTTTTGAAAATACTCAAGTACGATTATTTAAATTGACAAAAAATTTAGTGATTGATTTTATATTATTTTATTAAATTGCACTGTCAGTAGATAATATAATTGAGAAAAAGTTGTTTTATTAATACTTTTATAATGAAACTTATTATGACAGCCAGTAAACAAGGATATTTTAATGTCAACGTCATCTTTACCTAGTCCAGCTAGTACTATAGAGTCTATAACTAGAGAATTTGAACATTCTCTTGACATAAGATCAGCCACTAAAGGACAGTATGTTGTTAAGCCACAGGTAGAATTTTTAGAAATTATTAAAAAACTTTTTAAATAAATTTTCCAACAAAATATTTGCCAATGTATTTATATATGCAAACACAATACTGTAATACATTTAATTATTAAAAAAAATTTTTTGATTTAGTTATGATTTTTAATTTTACAATGCATTATTATAGGATGAAGATAGAGCAAAAGCAGAAGGCCCGTCTAATGAAGAGCTTGAGAGAATAGCAAAAATGAAAGCTGAATTAATGAATATACATTCTAGTGATAAATCTAATAGTCCATTGGGTTCGATATCAAGTAATAGTATTGGTCGACATTCTTTAGGACCACATAAAATTTCAAGTTTAAATTCACAAGGTACCAGGGAAAGACGGAAGTCGGCTGGTGATCAGGATTTGGTAAAACAATTAAATATGTTTGTAAGAACTAGGACTGATTCGGGAAAACGCCTTACTGATATGGTAATAATATTAAGTTTCATTTTTCATAAATTAAATTATTTTTATTTTTTGGTAATTTAAATATTTTAGTGGCTACAGTCTTTTAAATTTCCCATCAGTTTGTAAATCAGATACAATTAGTTTTACAAATTTTTTTTCAAACCTTTTCAAATGAAAATCGCACTAAAATAAAAAAAATAAATTATTGGAAATTGATTACAAAGAGTTTTAGTAATATTTAGCATGAAAAATTGATACATAATTTATAAGTAAATTTATAAAATATGATTATATAATTTAAGCAATTAACTATGTACTATCCAATGTATTCCATATATGAAAATATATTGTTTAAAAATATATTATTAGCTTTAGTAATATTTGTTATTGCTGTTATATACTATTTATAGTTATTTCAAGAGTATTATTGTATTAATTCACTTTCTAGAATAGTAAAATCAATTTTTTTAATAGCTAATAAATCGCATAATTTTTTTCTTTTAGGAAATCCTTGAACAAGTAACCGTGCTAAATCTTGACACAGGTGAGCGGGTACCTCTAAGCATTGCCGAGGATAAGTTGCCTCAATGTATAAATCCTTTGTCACTTCACATAATGCGATTGACGTCTGAGTACATTAGTAACTCAAGTCTAGAGAAAGAGAAGGAAAGCGACGAGGAGAGTGTTGATAGTAAGATGTCGAGTATACCACCTGACGAAGATGTTACCGTTGGTCGCGTACGTAAACGAACTCAAAAATTAAGACGTTTTTTCGGATCAACGGTAAAAAAGACTATGGATAAGGCCAAATCCATAGCTCAAGAGGTCTCACATGCCCGACATAAAGAGGATGTAGATATTGTCGATGAGGTTAGTTGCATATAAATTATTATTTCTTACCAACAATTTTTTTTTTTTTTTTTTTTGTTTTTGTTTTTTAGAAATTAAATATTGATTATTTTTTAAATAAAAATTTATATAAATATATTATAGTTTTAGACAATTTAGTAATTTTAATGTAACACATATGTGGATTAAGAATTAATTATAAGTTGTATATTTATATTCATTGTCAGCTAGTTTTATATCAATTTATTGTATAAATGTGTATGAAATACAAAAATTTCTGTTTTATAATGTAATATTACATATCTTTAAATACATATTTCAATACTTCACGAATTACCTTTGTCCAATTAATCTAATTATTTCAAAAGTTTTTCATATTCAAATGTGTTTCATAATGTCAAAATAATCTAAATATTTCGAAAAGACGTTATAGTAAGTTTAAAGATTAAATTATATTTTTATATTCATATACAAGCTTAAACACGTTAATATCATTTGAAATCAGATCCAAATGAAATAATTTACATATTTTTATAAAATGCTGAAAATGTGTGTATGTAACTAATAACTTAATTATCCTTACAAAGGTCTATTTAGGTGAACAGCAGTGTATCAAACTGAAAGCGTCCAACAGTCATAAAGGTCCTTACGAATTCTATTGCCTTCAGCACGTACAAGACTTGAGTGGCGAGCACACTGGTCCAGTTTGGTGTATGAAGTTCTCGGCTTGTGGTAGATTACTCGCCACTGCGGGACAAGATAGGGTTCTTAGGATCTGGGTATTGCGCGATGCATTCGCCTATTTCCAGGATATGCGAACTAAATATAATGCCGAGAAAGTTAGTCCGACACCTTCGCAGGAGTCGCTCGTTTCACAGCAGTCGATGGAAGACCCACATACCCTTGCAAGTGGATTCGGTGAGGTTGATAGTAGCAAGGGCCCTTTTATGCCCAAACCCTTTTGCAAATACACCGGGCATACATCTGATCTCCTCGATGTTTCTTGGTCTAAGAATTACTTTGTCCTTTCGTCCTCAATGGATAAGACGGTTAGTTAATTACTTTTAGATTTAGGTTTATTTTAGCTTCTGTAAAAAATATATTGGATAAAAAATGAAGAAAAAAAAAAGGAAAAATATAAGTGGATAAAAAATCATTGTACTCTTTGTAAAAAAAATAATTGTGATATTTGTAAAAAACAAATATCATTGTTATTTTACATTTAATAATTTTTAAAGATAAATAATATAATTTGAAAGTTTGTACAATAATAATTTGTAATGAGAAAGCTTGTCAAACATCAATTTCATTTTCAAGTAGACTTAAGAGAAATATTCAATTTCATTATAATTATGGTCATTTTGATTCTCAGACTTAAACTAAAACTTAAATAAACATTGTTTTAAAATAGATCTTATGTACTTAGAAAATTAATATTTAAATTTTTAACATAGACCTTTTTTATTATCATAGGTTCGTTTATGGCACATTTCACGCAAGGAGTGCCTCTGCTGTTTTCAGCACATCGATTTTGTCACAGCCATAGTTTTTCATCCTCGTGACGATCGTTACTTCCTTTCCGGCTCGCTCGATGGTAAACTTCGTTTGTGGAATATACCAGATAAAAAGGTGGCCGTATGGAACGAAGTCGATGGTCAAACAAAGCTTATTACTGCAGCAAATTTCTGCCAGAATGGAAAATTTGCAGTCGTCGGTTCGTACGACGGCAGATGTATATTCTATATAACGGATCAGCTAAAGTATCATACGCAGATACACGTACGCTCGACTAGGGGCAAAAATTCTACAGGAAGGAAAATTAGCGGTATCGAACCAATGCCTGGCGAAGATAAAATACTCGTAACCTCTAATGATAGTCGTATTAGGTAAGTTTTGTCAGTCGAAAAAGTAAATACGATATTCTTCTAATACTGTGTCTATTGAATAAGATATTAGATTGTAATGACGGCTAATATTTCGAATTATATTCGTAAATGCGTCCGATGTACGAAGTAGATTTTTAACGTAAATTCTATGTAATCGTAGTAATACAATATGGTAATTTACCAATGGTGTTTGATTTGCACAATGGCGTTTTATTTGCTAACCTACATAATCATTTATTTCTACTTCTATTCAATTATTTTGGCTTGTTAAACGATTATTATCAATTTGTGGATTACAAGCTGTCGAAGAAAGAGCTTAAGCAATAATATATGTCCAGTTCTTATCATAATAAGTACTAATTGTACTTTATTTCTTGATCAGTGATTGTTAATTATTTCTATTGAATTTCATTCAATGTTAGGTTTTACATCATTAATGTTTTTTATCGCATAGTTTTGCAATTTAAAAAAATTTTTTTTTTAAAATTTGATGAGCATAAATGAAATGTAAATTCGGCTATTCACAATGAAACGCCCAAACAAATGAATCCATGCGTTATTTGTCTCACATTTTATTAATTATGATACATCTTAATACAAAATATTTTTAATTAAACACCTTTCCAAAATAAACCCAAGTAAATTGAAAGATAATCAATTTTTCATAGGTTGTACGATTTGCGCGACTTAAACCTCTCGTGCAAGTATAAAGGATACGTGAACGTAAGCAGCCAGATAAAAGCGAGCTTCAGTCCGGATGGTCAGTATATAGTGAGTGGCTCGGAGAACCAATGCATCTACATTTGGAAGACGCATCACGATTATTCTAAGTCGCTACGTCGCGATCGCAATGACTTTTGGGAGGGCATCAAGGCCCATAACGCCGTCGTTACTTGTGCCGTATTTGCGCCGAATCCCGATAGCATTATCAGGCAGATCGAAGCTCGTGAACAACAACTTGAAAGCAAGATTGCGGAAAGCGGCAGGACCGCTGAGAGCGTAAGCACCGATGCTACGCCCGTTGACCCGGTCGTTGAGCAGCGTACCAAGGGCTGCGGTGGCCATGTCCTTGTCAGTGCCGATTTCACCGGCTGTATCAAAGTGTTCCTCAATAAAACCAAGCCAAAGCATAGTTCGTTGCCAGCCTCTGCGCTCGCTTAAAACCTCAAGGTTTATTTTACTTTTTACTAATGGAAAGAAAGTACGAGCTTGATGCTTGAAAACGAATGACATAAAGGCGCATTCACTTGACCGATACTATTCTAAATTAATTTTCTTGAGAATTCATGAATATAACTAAACAGCAGACATTAAAGGTAAAGAAAATTAAAAACATGTTATTAAAAAAATTAATTTAAAACTAGTACTCTGGAATAATTTATTTGTGTTCTCAATGATAATGAAAATTAATAAGTAGATATTGGACAAATTGGCCTTTAAATAAAACGTTGGACTAATTTATTCACAATGTTAAAGCTTTAACAACGATTATTTGGTTTTAATGCTTGACGATGGACTTTCCTTCCTGAATAATTCAATTTATATTGTTATTTAATTCATTTAATATAATGTTTTATTTACAATAATTAGACATGTGGCAGTACTTTTATTACTCAAGCAATTATTGAATAAAGATGTTTATTAGTTATAAAAACTAAGATAAAATTATTTAGTGGAAATAACAATTAAAAATAAGCTGTTAAGTATTAAAATCGGCGATTATTGTCAAAGTTTCAATATTAAGAGAAATATTTCATTCGTGTACTTTATATCAACTTAGTTTGAAATTGAGATGATATATTAAAATTAAATCTTATAATGAAATACCGAGCTACACTATTGTTGATAACAAACACGAATTTTTATTCTTATTGAATTGCACAAAGTAATAAATTTCAATATTTTTTATAAGATTTTATATTATTATTATTATTTTTTTAGTTCAAAATTACGTTCCATGTTAACATTTTTATTATGCTACTTTGCTATGATATCTTAATTTGATAGAGTGCTTTTACAAATTTTGTAAATTAATTATTTTATTAAAATACAAAATTAATAACATGTGAACTTGAGTTCTTTAATACTTTATAATTACTAAACACAGAGGACTTAGCCTTTTCTATTACAGTTCATTGATCTATAATTAATTTATAATTAAATTATATTTCTTTGCGTAGAAAAGTATAGAAATTTAATTGTTAAATTAGAATAGTTAATTATGCTTCTTTAATAGATTTATTGATCTTTACATTCTGTATTGATTAAAAATTGTTATTATATTGAGCACTATCAAGACGGCAAATAAAATAAAATTACGTGCCTTTGTGAATATTTATTATTAATGAAAATATAAAATTAATTGTATTATCGTAAGACGTACTTAAAGAAATGTTTAATAATATTATAAAACACTTCATTTAAAATCGCTATGGCAATAGTAAGCTGCGAATATCTGTAGTATTTTCAAAAACTATTAATAAAGACTGATTCATTGTGGAAACTTCTAATATAATTATAGAAATTTTAAAATATTTTATACATTTTTTTCTGTATTTTTTTTTATAAATGTTAGTAAATTGTAATTTGTTTGATATATTTTAAATAATGTTCCTTTTACAAAGGTATCGCAATTTCATAAAAAGTGCATTTTTCAATATTAGAATCGGTACTTGAGAATTGTATGTTAAAAATGTTTAATAGTGTTTGGTCATTTAAGTACATTCTATATAAATCATTGAATTTAAAATTCTTGTAGGAACTCAAATTGTGTGAGAATAAAAATAAGTTTTTCTATAATAATGAAAATTTGTATGATTCTGAATGGTAGTAGTTAGAGCCAATTTCATTATGCATACAATATTTTTTATTTTTTTAAATACCTCAAAATTTTTGTAACTATAGTTAACTATATTTGATTTTGAAATTTTTATTTTTATTGCAATGAGAAAGAACCGTTTAGCAGGGAAAGAAGTTAGGATGAAAGATAGAGTAAGAGAGAAAGAAACATGATGTAATATTGTTAAATAATCAAACACTTTAACATTTTTAATATTGTACGAATTTTTGAAGATACATACAAGATTTTTATGAAAATGTTTGAACAAAATATATATTTCATATGAATTTTAAAGTTGAAAATATCACATTATTAAATATTTCATTAATAATTAGATTTTATTTGATTTTATTAATCTTATAATACTAAAGTACTTTTCAAATATTTAGAATTTACAAATATTTTTAACATTTTTTTTATTTACTTATGGTAATTATATTATTTATTGAATATGTTGAAAGAGATCTATTTATTTTTCATTGAGTAATTGGAACAATTGTATATTTTGGAATAGATAAAAACTCATATTGTGTTAATTGTCTCATCTAAAATCTTTCAGAATTTTATAATTATTTGGAGTTAAATAATAATTTGTAAATATTTTTGTTGTTTTAGTGTATATTTGTTACTTATTTACTATATTAAATAATGTTTATGAAAAATTTCAGAAATATTTTAGCATTAATATGTAATATATTATTTTTATTTGGAGCAATAGTTGAATAATTCAATAATAGCAATAATTCATTTATTAAAATTATACCTATAAAGTTAATTCAAGAACATTTCATAAAACTTTTGTATTTAAGAAAGGATTAATAATATCTTTAAAATTTATTATTTTGTGATTAATTATTAAGGAACTATTTATTCGAATTTACTTATCGAGAATTTTTGTTAAAGCGATGAATACTTTAATACAGAATTTTGAGATTTATCAAAATGTATTAATTTTAAAATATTTTAGTTCATGTTAAACTTTTATAATTCATTAAATTCCTTAGGTCGTAAAGTTTTTGAAACTTAATGCGTTAACATTGTTTTTGACATTAAAAAAAAGTAATTAAAAAGCTGAGGGAAATTATACATAAATATATATGTAAATATGAAATAAATAATGTGTATAAACACAATGAAGTGATGGACCGAAGTGCGAAACAATTATTGTAATAATGAAATTGTAAATATAATTTTTAATGATAATAGTAAAAGTATGCTTAAATAGATTAAACAATTATTACATTGCCATTTTTGGCTGTGTAATGCACAAATAGTTTATTTGTAGATCACTGTCGTCTGTTATAAAAAATATATTAGTATGCATATTAATTTTATGGCATATTTATTATTCTTTACTAATCAAGTTATCTATTATTTTAATGTATATAACTTGTTTATCGCGTGGATTATTTTTTTCTTATTGTTTATGTGTACAAGTGAGTTTAGAGTTAGAATACAATTTATAAATAATTATTTTACTGAATGTATGTGATTGACTAAATACAAAATAAAATGTACTTTTAAAATAATAATATCTTGTTTATACTATTTTTGTAAGACAGTTTTAAGTTGTTTATATTCATTATATTTATTGTTATTTAATGATATATTATAGAAATTCTTTTTAATTGTGATATTTCTTATTGAGATTTTCCTATCGAAATATTAATAACATTTGCCTGTTAATTAATTTTAGTATATATAAATTCTTGGTCTGTAACATTTATTAATGTAAATATAAATATTATATATATTTTAATATTTGAATTGAAATTATTTTATAGGGACTAATTAATCATACTGATATGTTTTCAAATGTATCTGATTAATTTTTACTTTTTTCAACAAGCATCGATCATAAATTTATTCTTATTGTATATTTTTAATATTATGTAACAGAATTTTATAAAATTAATCAAATAAAAATCAATAGAATTCTGTTAGTTCTATCAATAAAACTATCAATAGATTTATGTATTTATTAATTTTCCATAATTAAAGTCATGATAATTTTTAGATAATTATTTAACATCGAGGTAAAATGCACACAAATAAAATTTTAATTATTTTTTCTAAAATATGCTGTCTCTATTTGATTAAAACCTATCTTCTAAAATAATTTATAAATCATTTGTTCATTATTTTACAAAAAATAAAACCTTAAGCCCTAATCTTTTGTAAGTTATATTTTGAGTTTTATATTTCTTAATTCAGTCGAATCATTTTTATAAACTTAAAACAGTAATTTTAATAGAATAATTTTTGTATTTATTTATTTTTTCAGTATGTTATAAGTTTAATTATTTTTTTAATATAGTACTTTAAATAATTATTGATAATAATTTAAAAAATATTTGCAAAACGTAAGTCTCAATTATGTTTATAATAAACAAATACGTAATAACAGAAATAATAAATAAATGTTTTTTGTTTTCTTATAATTCGATAGATATACGTGAAATAAAATCACGTATTCCATTTACACTGACCTGAATAGATGAGTCAAGTTTGAATTTTGATTATTTTACAAAAAGATCAGTAATAATTGCAGTATGCTTCATGTTATCGGACACCTCTTAAGTTTCTCCATGCAATTTAGTTATTTAATTGATTGTTATGATGTTTAGTAGAAGTACTTTAATATTACACTATAATCATATGACGCTATAACATCCATCATTGAGAAATATGCCATACCATTTTCATAACTCATTTTTTATAGCCATATATGTGTGTGTGTGTTATTCGTGTAAATAGATACTGTAAATAGATAAATGATATTGTGGATTAGAAATTTTACGATCTAGGTGTATTACATTATTTTTATTGTACTGAGAAATTAGTACTTTATTTTTTATTTAATCCAATTCTTATATTGATTCCATCTTTTAATTCATTTGCTTTCAATTAATTTTTTAATACTATAAATAATTATTATATTTAATATTAAAAACCGACTGAATTATTTTGTTATAAACAATTTTATAAAAACACGGACAAACTTAAACGTAAATTTTTTTAAATTATATTGATTTGTAGTTACATTGATTTATATATTTTCATTCAAAATATATCTACATAATATATATATATATATATATATATATATATATATATATAAATTTCATTTTAAGTAATCGATATTAAATGCTACTTAAAATATATAATATAAAAGTTTACAAATATATATAGAATATAGAATAATAGTACACTATATATTAAAATTCTTTATTTATTTACAATCAGTTTTATTAATTACGTTGACATGAAGATTATTAAAACAATGTTTGTAAGTCATGCTCTACACTTTCCCTAGAGTACTGTAGTACTCGATTACAAACACATTTTTGGCATTGCAAGGATACTACATAAAGTAATATCACCATATGTACAGTTATTTTTACAACAGTTAGACTAAATA